CGATGTTGTCATATCTGGTTTGGGGTCAATGAGACGAGAGAAGAGAAGAAGAGGTCTCGAGGGTGGAGACTTCATCTGCATCAAGTGCACGAGCTTCCCTCACCTGTCATACCACATGCTCGTGACTTGAGACTCCACCTCATTGACGAGAACCTCAACTTCAAGGAGGTTTTGGGGTGGACCGAAACTTAGGAGCCATTGTCCGGCTCACGACGTGAAAGGAGCGCTTGTTGGGAGGCAACCCAACCTGTCGGTTTGCATTTCTTTCTCTTTTCTCCTCGGTTGAGTCAGTTTTGTTATTTGATTTTAGAGTCAATAACTCAACCTTTAGTGAGATTTTGAGTGGTGTTTGTGTTTCGACTACTCTCTCCTCTTGGAATGCACCGCCTGCCTCGTCCACCATCATTCACCCTTGATCTGGTAACTTCGTTCTACCCTCCTTATCTTTCCTCCATTGAGGAAAATGTCGTGCTTAAGTGTGGGGGATGTTCGATTATGTATGCGGGTGAATGTTTGGCTGTTTGTGTGCTTGGAGCCTAGTCCACTGTCCAAAATGTTAAATTTGAGGGCTCTAAGTACGTGTTTCCTTGCAAATTGCCTGCTCATTATGCTTTGAATTGACAGTCTCTATAGTAATGTGCAACCTAGGGAGGTAGTGTAGCACTATGGAGGATGTTGAAGTATAATATTTTTCCTATCTAGCTCTCTGTCGTGCCAGTTGATTTTGTGAATTAGTGGAGCTAAGACCGTTGAATTCATGTGGTAATGGTGACTCTGATTGGATTGTGTTATGGACTCGTGTATTGAACAGGGTGCTCATGTGGGAAATGAAAAGCAGTTGGTCCTCCATGTCGAAATCATTGAAATCTTAAACATGGGGTAAGCCCAACATGTGTGGCACCGTTCATTGCACAAAATCGGGTTTTGGAAGAGATTTTAATGATCCTTAGTGGGGTACTCCTACAAGGTGAAGCTAAGCTGTCTCTAGTACAAGTAAAATTTTCACCCGTTGAACGGTTTGCCTACTCGAGGATGTGTTTTTAAGGGCACGGATAGAGCTTCTGACCCCCCCCCCTTTAATTTCATTGACCCTCCACACGAGTTGAGGAAAAGGAGTTAAAAGAAGTACTCTGGCGAGCGCCAGATGTGCAGAAATTGCTCTTGCTTGACTAATAAGGGTCGACCGTGCAAAAGACTGCAGTTGGAACCCCCGCCAAGTGAATGAAAAGAAACAAAAAAAAAGTAAAATGAAAGTGAAAAAGGGGTTCCAACGGTGAAATGAAGTGAAAGAGCACCTCGGTACAATGAGTACTTGGTTGTGAATGGTGTGAGTCCCTTTATCCATGAACTGGTTGTCTTGCTTCTACTTCTTCTCATGTTCCTAGCTTGAGTCTAGTACTCGCATTGAGAGAGATAGGGGACGTCTTAGAAGACCAATTGACCTCGTAAGCTGCTATATGATCTAGGAAATCCACTACCGACGATCGGGGTTGTTTGTTGCTATAGAGATCTGGAGAGCTGCATTGGTTTGAGCTAGGTTTGCTTGGGGACAAGCAAACGGTTAAGTGTGGGGGAATTTGATAGAACACTGATTTCACATGCTTTTACCCCTATTCTTGAGCCGTTTGAGATGTTGATTCTCGTGTTTTAAGCCGATTTCACGCTAGGTTGTGTGTTTATGTCATATTTCAGGGCTTGGCGTTGGCATCGAGGCGAAGAAACGAGTTTCGGGTCGAAAGGAGCACGTTTGAGTTGAAGTGTGCTGGAGGAGCAAAATACCCGGCCATGAGCAAAAATACCCGGCCGGGTATTAATCTGAGCAGACCGGGGAAAATCATTTTGGGCGTTTGAGAAGCAGAAGGGGGCCCGGGCATTGAGCATAAATCCTCGGTCGGGTATTCTTGACCTTGACCGGGGATTAATCCCCTGTCCTCGATGGTGCGTTTCAACAATCCCCGGTCGTCACCTAAAATACCCGACCGGGTACTATGACCGGGGATCGCGAACGCAGGCTGTTAAAAGCCTATTTTGTGTGTTTTTGCAAGGGAGAGCTGGGTTTTGGTTCCCAAACACCCAAGGGACGAACCAAAGAGAGAGAGGGCGATTTGAGGGCATTCTTGGAGTGGAATTGGAGGATTTCTTCGCCTTGGAAGCTCGAGGAACAAGCCCGGACTTGAAGATTGATCATCTGAAGATTCTTACTGCAGTCTCTCTCTTCTCTATGGAGTAACTTCCCTTCACTTAGGTTTTGAGGAACTCTAGCTATGTTTGTTTGATTGGATGATTGTATGAGTACTCCTACTTGATAATCTTGAGTTCATATTCAATCTATGCACGTTTTCATGATTCAATTCTGCTTTAGTCGAGATTATTGATTCTGCTTTGATCCTATGAGAGCGAATACCTGATTAGGTCAATAGAGCACCATAGATTGATAGTATTGGATCGATTGCTTTAGTCGAGGTTTGATTCAATGCTTTGTATCGATTGAGAACCTCATTCGGTAGAGAGAATTTAGTTCAGAACGCCTTGATAGATTGTTCTAGAGAAGGATACGTCCCTCTAGGCAATTGACTCAAGAGGGCCTTGATCCTTAAGTCGAGATTCAAGGTTTAGTCAAGGATTCTCCGCATTGTGAATGAAAGTGAAACAAGTTAGAGATCATCAATCATTAATCTGGCTATTGGCTAGGGGGAATCATACCTAAGTGAGTTCCCAACCTGTAATTAGATTAACTTTAACTGTAGTTTGTTAAAGTAGTTTTAGTTCTTCCATCTCAATCTGGGTTGCTAGATAATGAACTGAAGCTGAGTAATAGAAACTCTAGAGACCCGTGGATTCGATATTTATTACTTGAGCTACTATACTGCAGTTCCTTTCATTGGTTACACTTGGCCATTGTTAGGAGTTGTGTCATAGCGAGTCACAACCCCATTTTCACACACACTTTGGGGTATCCTAACCACTGCCCTGTTCTGGAAGCTTTGTCAAACCATAGAGGCCTACCAATTATTGCTATGAACCTAAGATAGAAATTGAAGGAGGGGTTCTCAAAAAACGTTGGCATAACACCCCTTACTGCTAAATATGTTCACTATCAAAACCGTATAAAAAAGGACAATCAAGACAATTTAACCGCTGCAAAATCCCGCGCTAAAACATCCCCCTGCGGTTGAGACGACCGTTGGCACAACTTTGAGACGGTTTTCCTCACAACAGTTATGCAGCGATCACAGAAGACGTTGCGGGTTTGTTAACTATGGTTATATGGTCGCTAAATTTTTAAAAAAAAAAACAAACAAACTGTTACAGGTGGTTTATTTTGTAGTGTGGTCATAATATGCCAGTAAAATCCCTAATCTAAATTCAACCTACGATAGACACACAATCCACTGCTTGGTTAGAAATCGATAACGAAAACAAGAAAGGGAAGATAGACAATCGAATTTTAGCCTAAAGATGAGAGCCACTTGATTCGTGGAACCCTTGACATAAAACTGGCACTTCCATTTAGGGTTGTTAATGAGTCGAGCCGAAATGAGTTTTGCCTTGTTCAGATTTGGTTCATATATAAACGAGCCGAACTTGAGCTCGACTCGTTTATGACGAGCTGAGTCGAGCCGAACACGAGCCAGCTCATTTATTGAATTTTGGCTCATCATTAGGATAAAAAATCTTGCTCAAGCTCAACTCTAAGATAATTTATGAATTAAATAACCAAACATTTATATGTTATATATGATACATGCGATTAACTGATTTTCATGTCATATACTGGATTTGCTCACATACTCAAATTATTAAACATCACATGACGTGTGATATACAAGTTAACAAAATATATGCATCATTAACAAACCAACTCATAAGATATAGATCGATTTTCTCATAAGTAGTAATCCAAGTTGGCTCGCGTTAATTACAATGTTGAGACATCTCATGTGCTCAAAACGAGATAGTTCATGAGTCGAACTAAACAAGCCACCTAATCGACCCAGTTCACGATCGAGCCGAACAAGGTTGAGCTCGAGCTCGGCTCGTTAATAAACGAATCGTCGAGCTTTTTATTGTATCGAATGAGCTTTTATCAAGTTCGATACCGAGCCGTACGTGAATAGCTTGGTTCGTTAGCGGCCCTACTTCCATTGCATCGAAAGAATTCAACAATGATAACTGGCTATACATATACATATGCTAATTAAGGTAATTAGTTTTTATTTGTCCAATCAAATTCTGCAGAACATATATATATATATAGAGTGACTACACACATGCATGCTTAGGTAAAAAAAAAAGAGAGGAACAATTAACTAACAACCTGTTGTCGTAGGCCCCAACTCCTGCTCAAATTCATTGCTCTCCCACTCCAAAATGTATGATGGTACGTACCAAATCTTTGAACACAGAGAAGAAGTAACGTATCAAAACATGTGGTGTTCAGAAAACAACAATTGACAACACAGACTACTCCAGCCAACCAAAAACCAATCACGAAATGATGATCGACTTGAAGCCACCGCTCGGCCAGCCAGCTAGCTAGCGTGCGTGGCTATTGCGTACCCCACTAGCTTTACTTTTTTTTGGTTCCACCCGATTTATGGGAAACTAATCAAATCACATCACCATCATATTGGCACAGTAATCACGGGCCATTTTTCATTTGATGATCTCCTCGCAATCCCATTTTGCCTATTATTTTGTAGAAATGGTTAATTAGGTAACAATCACCATCATGGTCATGCATGCAAAATTTCAGAAACAAAAGCAAGCCCAATAAATAAACCCATGAATGATGATGCAGTCAAGGGCCAAACTAACCCATTCATGTTTAGAAACCCTAACCACGTTACACTTCCCCTAGCCACAACCCTTTTTCTTGTTTCGTTTTTTTTGCTTCTGCTGGTGATCAGACTCACACTTATCCAAAAATCTGGCAAAACCCACCTAACGCTCGCCTGTACATGTATAAAATCATGCATGCTTTTGCTTGCTGCTGATCATCCCCATTATTCCACCCCAAATCCATCTTCTCCCACTCCAACCCCGAAGCTTACTATAATAATAATAATCATAATAACAAACTATTATTGGTTATATCATTTCCCCCTCACATATGGATACCATTATTACTACGACCAATTTCCTTCTACTTATTACCCTTATCATCGTCAACGTCTCATTTGTCCATGGCGGCGGCCCGACCGTAACGGACGCCTGCGCCCAAACCCCAAACCCTGACCTCTGCAACCAACTGACCGCCGTCGTCGACACGCAAGCTCCCGACCTCCGCCGCCTGTCTATCATGGACGCCATGAAGCATGCCATGGAGGCGCATCGCCAGCTCCTCACCATCATCTCCTCCTCCTCCAACTTCGTCCATAACTCGCTGGATGAACGTCAACACCTACGAGCTGAAGCCACGTCAGCGTGGTACGATTGTGCTGAGCTGTACGAGGAGGCGCTGGGACACCTCAATCGCTCCTTGGGTTCTTCTACCTCCGACTCCCAGACTTGGCTCAGCGCGGCCCTCGCCAACCGCCAAACCTGCCGGGACGGCTTCCTCGACCTCAACCTCACCACCACTACGTCCTTGCCACGTGTCATGGATGACTTCTCCAGGTCGCTCAGAAACTCACTCGCCATCAATGCGGCTGCAGGAGGAGGAGGTGGCGGCGGGCGGAAGTTGCTTTCGGCGGCTGCAGCAGGAGGAGGAGGAGGAGCAAGGAGTAGTACTCCTCCTCATCCTGTTTTCCCTTGGTGGGTGGCGAAAAGCGATCGACAGCTGCTCGAGGCCAGGCCTGCTGATGTCGGACCCAAGGCCCATCTAGTGGTGGCCCAAGATGGGTCCGGAGACTACAGCACGATCTCCGAGGCGGTGGCGGCGTCGGCGGAGATGAGGAGAGGCCGGGTGGCTCATGGCCATGGGAGGAGAAGGTTTGTGATCTACGTGAAGAGGGGGATTTATAGGGAGAGCGTGGAGATCAAGAAATCGATGAACAACATAATGTTGATTGGAGATGGGATCGACGCCACCATCGTCTCTAATTGTAAAAACGTCCGCGACGGCTTCACCACCTACCGCTCTGCAACTTTTGGTGATCAGCTTATTTGCCATATTATTATTACGTCAACTTTACTAATTTGCGTTACTATGACTTCTATACTACACCAAACATATATTGGGGTATGTCGTACATCAATCACTTTTCACCGTCCATATTCATCTCAACGGCTAATACTAATGTGGGTTATTTATGTTGGTCGTTGAGATGGACATAAACGATAAAAATTGTCTGGTGTACGACATGTACCAAATTTTACCTGATGTACGGTAGAACCATCTATATATATATGAAATGGTTGGTAATGGTGTGTGCGTGCGTGCAGCTGTGTCGGGGCATGGGTTCATAGCGAAGGGCATGACGTTCGAGAACACGGCGGGACCAAAGAAGCACCAGGCGGTGGCGCTCCGCTCCAGCTCCGACCTCTCCGTGTTCTATCGGTGCAGCTTCAAGGGCTACCAAGACACCCTCTACCTCCACTCCATGCGCCAGTTCTACCGCGACTGCGACATCTACGGCACCGTCGACTTCATCTTCGGCGACGCCGCCGCCGTCCTCCAGGGATGCAACATATACGTCCGGAGGCCACTGCCGAGACAGAAGGCCACCGTCACCGCACAGGGCCGCTCGGATCCCAACGAGAACACGGGCATCGTCATCCAGGCCTCCAGGGTGATGATGGCTTCTGCTGATGAGCTGGCAGCTGGTGGGGCCCCACAGCCACGTGGATCCGTGGAGGCGTATCTCGGGCGGCCGTGGAGGAGGTTCTCGAGGACGGTGGTGATGCAGAGTGAGGTGGGAGGAATCGTGAATCCTGCGGGGTGGCTGCCGTGGAGCGGCGACTTCGCGTTGTCGACGCTTTACTATGCGGAGTTCATGAACAAGGGAATAGGAGGGAAGACGGAGGGGAGGGTCACCTGGCCGGGTTTTCATGTGATAAGGAGCTTTAGGGAGGCACGCAAGTTCACCGTCGGCAACTTCTTCGACGGTGATGCCTGGATTCCCGCCACCGGAGTGCCCTTTGATTCTGGCTTGTAAACCATGCACTACCTAGCAGCTACCATGTACTTTTATATATACGTTCTCTTGATGATAAGATGTACAATTATTAATAATAGGTGACAATTAGGTTATTCGCGTTATATTTGCATTATTCACGCCATATTTGTGTTATTTACGTCATATTTGAGTTATTCACGTAAGAGCATTGATTATTCATGCAATCAATATTATTAGGTCACGTGATAGGGCAAAAGCGTAATGCCAATTCCTATCTTGTAGTAATCCGGAAAGTCCGGGTATCGTCTCTCAGAGACTGGTACAACCTTATGATTTACCGATTCTATGGAGCAAACTATAGGTGAAAAATGGGTTGGTTGATGAGATTATTAACTAATAGCAAAATAATTAAACTAATTAAGCAAAGTAAACTTGTCGGGAGAAATTCAATGGGAGAAAGCTCTGGGAGAAACACCGGGATACACTACCTATCCTATCCAGATTAATTCACATATTCTAATCAATTTAATCCAACTCTCTACAGCCAGGATATCACGAATGTGCTAGCTATCCCTGTCGGGAATTATTACGTACTAAACAATTATTTCAAATCCTACTGTCGTAGCTCAATGAATTAACTATTTAGCCTGAAGAACGATATCCTATTTAAGACCGCATAGAACCTTATTTAATCCACTGTCGCTTCGATAAGTTACTATGTCACATGAAATATGTTCAGTTATTAGGGTTTCACTGTCGCTAATAACCTAATTAACAACAAATCAATGTATTGGTGGCCAGTCAACACAAAGCATTAATTAATTTCATGCAATAGAGATTGGAAGAAAAGAAATATGAATCAATCCATCAAATATATAAATAGCTACATCCTATGGTGTTTCCCCCAGAAATCGGGGTTTAGTTCATGACGAAAATAAAACACACAATCATGTTCTTGTTCATCATAATGCTAGTAACGAAAAGGAGAGAAAATACTGATACGAATAGAAGCACAAAATCTGATTCTCTCTTCCGATTCGCGGTACTAGTGATATGCTCCAGTCGCTGCACTCCTCCTCGTCGTTCGCTGCAGCTGTTCCAATTCCCAAAGAAATTATGTGCGCCGCCAGCTGCTTCTTTTCTCCCAGACTTCGCTGCGCCCTGCTCCTTTCCTTCCCCAAAAAAGGAATTCCGTGTCCCCAATTAGTTCCTTTGCCAATTGCCAAGAGATCTATCCTCATTAAAAGTCTCCCAAAATAATTCCCCTCCGCCAATCCTTGCCCCCCGGCCCAATTGTGTCTCCTCCCCGAGACAAAGCGATTTGGGCCCAATTAATTGCTTGTGCACTCGCTTCTTTTTCGTGCTTTCTCCACCTGTAACATACCAAACTCATGGCACTAGGGAGTTATGGTTTTTCAACCATTCCCGGGTTAGCGAGCCTTAAAATAGCACCAATCGGCTTAAACAGATCATAGGATAGTCACATAAAGTTCAAGAATCCGATATATTAAAGCCGATTATCACAACCCCACAATCAATTGTTGCTTGTCCCTAAGCAACGACTCAAAAGACAAAGACACAAAACCATCCACAACAATGACACATCACAGACTCACCAATCAAACACTCGACACAAAACAAAATTTTCCTTGTACTCTTGTTGTAATCAGTAGTTTCTTTCTCAAAGGACAAGTTGTGCTTTAATGATCATACCTTTCACCCCACACTCAAGGTCTTTACAACCATTTAACATCGACTGACTCCAATCCATCAAAAACTCAAATAGCAACACTCAATTCCGATCGTCGGTAGTGGGTGATTAACAACTTATGGTGTAACAGTTATTAGGAGAATCTAACCACATCAGTGAGGTGCATATCTCGTGAGGAGAATCTGGCTTACTCACACCAATCATAAGCAATTAACAAGGCATGAGTCTCAAAAAACTAATGGGGGAAGCCTTTCGCAAACATGATTTTAACTTTAAGCACATCACTACCTTTTATGACAAGGAGAGGCTTTCTCTCTTTTTGATTTTGCTTGCCGAGTGGTTGTATTTAGTACAAGTGGGATTTGTTTCTTACTAGCGGTGACCGAGCAAGAGCAATTTCTACTTCTTAGCACTCGCATAAGGGCTTCTTTCAACTCCTTTTCCCCGGTCCGTGTGGAGGGTCACTGCACATCCTCTAATGGCACTTCACTCAACTGGGGATTGTACTTGATAAGCAGCATCGTACGGTCGTGAACCGATTCTCAATTGAATCTTTCCTAATCCCCATGTGCAATGAGTGATTGCCTCACACGATTTTGGTATTTTACCCACACTTTAATTGTTATGGCAACTTTCTTATATTCTTCTTGTCAGGTAGTGTTTTCTCATTTTATAAAGATACAGTTCACCCCATCATAAAACATTCAAAACAGAGACTCATTGCAAAATCAAAAGCTCACAATTGATGCAAGTAAGCTCGGTATCCAAACATGTCGAATGGTCAATGTTCTCCACCTAACTACTTCACCAAAAGTCATTACACTATCCTCACAAAAGACAACGTTGCTAAAAGAGTTTGTTCATTCAAAGCATATCAAGTCAGTCAAAACATTCAAGCTCATTGTGAAGAACTATGCAATTCAACACTAGTGGGGTGATTTTGATGATTTCATTCAAGCACAAACTCAATTTCAAGGCATCACAGTCATTTACATCATGTTACCACAAGAGTACAAGGTTTTGTTTTTAATTTTTCTGATTTTTGGGTGTTTTTTAGCCATTAACTTTGCACAGGCAGACTGCACCAACACAGGCAAACTGCATGCAGTTTGGCTGTGCTCAACCTAATGGCAATTTTTTTTTGTTTTTTTTACCACACGCAACAGGGACAAACAACACTAAGACTCACCACCCCACACTCAGGATGGAACATTGTCCTAGTGTTCAACTCCTAAACTAAACATGCACGAGTTTGACACAACAAAAAAGAAAAATAAAGAAAAGAAAACTTACATTGGGTTGCCTCCCAAGAAGCGCTTGTTTAACGTCCTCAGCCTGACGTTCATGGAGCTTTCAACCAATGGGTATGGAAAGGTATCCAGAATACCCTCCTGAGCAATGATAGAACGCATAACCTCCATCCAACATATGAGTCACCTCTGCAGGGCCAGGTGTGCGAAAATTTGGTATGACCTTCTTAGTTGGAATGTTGGACCCTTTAGTGAGGCTAGGTGGTATTGCAGTGCCTCAAGCAAGTACTCTTCCTATTTCAATGTCAGTGAAGAAGGAATAATAACAGGAAGATTGAAATCCTTACCCAAATATCTATACTTGAGGTGATCTGGCAAGGATTTCTGTCCTTGCTTTGATTTCAGAATCTAAGCAGATAGGACATGTGATAGTTGTTCAGGTTGTCCACTATCACATGAGAAGGGATTTTTCCTTTCTCGAGCTCCACTTTCAAAGTCATCAAATGCATCGTGATTATGATCAACTTGAAAGACATTAAAAATTTCCTCCTCCTTACCTACTCGGAATGTCAGTTTGCCTCTCCCAACATCGATGAGTGCATCTCCAGTGGCTAGAAAAGGTCTACCAAGAATGAGAGGCACTCCTCGATCTTCTTCCATCTCCAGAATCACAAAATCTGTTGGGAGAATGAACTTTCCAACCTTCACCAATACATTCTCCACCACTCCTTTTGGAATTTTTACTGATCGATCAGCCAATTGGAGAGTGATCCGAGTAGGCTTAAGAACATCTCCCAATCCCAATTTCTTGTAGACTGAGTATGGCATCAAATTAATTCCTGCTCCAAGATCACAAAGTGATTTATCGAACTCTGTACCTCCAATGACACAAGGAATGGTGAAGCTTCCTGAATCATCCCTCTTTTCTGGTGATTTATTCTGAATCACAGCACTACATTCAGAAGTAAGGGTTACCTTCTCCAGATCAGCCCATTTGCGCTTCTTTGTCAGCAACTCCTTTAAGAATTTAGCATATGTAGGCATTTGTTCAAGTGCCTCCGCCAACGGTATATTGATATGAAGTTGCTTGAAGATATTCTCAAATTTCTTGAAGTTCGGGTCTTCCATGGGCTTCATTAACCTTTGAGGGAATGGTGCGGGAGGTTCATAAGGCTTTACCTCTTCATTCTTGAATTTTTCCACCTTTGGAGTTGCACAGGCAGAATGCTCATGCACAGGCAGATTGCATGCAGTTTGCCTGTGCAAGTCAGATTTTTCAGCTTTTGCACTTTCTTCATCCTCTATCTCTTCAACTCCTTCTTTTTCTGATTTTGTTGACTTCCTCGAACTCTCTGGATCCTCCAAGGCCTTTCCACTCCTCAATGTGACAGCTACAACCATGGCATCCTTCGGATTCCTCTCGGTATTTGCTGGTAAAGTTCCCGGAATCCTACCTTGAATATCTGCCAAAGTTTGAGCCATCTGGCCTATTTGCCTCTCCATAGCTAGCATAGATGATTGCATATTGTTGTTGATGGCTAGCTGTTGAGTGACAAATTGATCAAGACCCTTGAAATTATTGTCTGTTTTCTGCATATGAGCCAAAATCAACTCTTCCAGTTGGGGCTTCTTCTCTGGTTGAGGCTGCTGTTGTTGAAAACCAGGAGGTGGGATGTTTCGAACACCAGGTGGATTATTGTTTGACCATGACATATTGGGGTGACGTCTCCATTGAGGGTTGTATGTATTTGAATACATACCACCCTGGCCTTGACTTCGCGGATTATTGATATATTGGACATCTTCCAATTGAGCAGCTCCCAGTGGACACATATCCCTATGATGAGGACCCTCACAAAGTTCACATAAAGCAACCTCCTCTTGTCTACCAAGAGCAATCTTGGCCAATCTTCGTTCGAGTGCATCAAACTTGGAATCAGTTTAGCATCCAACTTGGCTTCGAGACTTGTAACTCTGTCAACTTCATGAAAGCCTCCTCTTCTTCGAATACTGGCCTCACTACCCCATTTGGTGGCTTCTGAACAGATCTTCTCTACCAGTTCATATGCTGCTGGAGCCTCCACCATCCTTGTGAAACCATTTCGAGAAGCATTATTCAGGGCATCCCGGAACTCCCTTCTGATTCCACTGAAGAAAATAATGATCACGTTCCAATCTTCAAGACCATGGCTTGGGCATCTCATCAATAGTCCCTTATAGCGCTCCCATGCCTCAGTCAGACTCTCATCATCAGCCTGTTTAAAAGTAAGAATCTCTTCTTGCCTTTTCATTGCCAAGGCAGGTGGGAAGTATTTATCCAGAAAGACCTTCTCAAGCTGAGTCCATGTCGTGATGGAACGTGGTGTTAAGTTCTGAAACCAGTGTGACGCATTCCCTATCAGAGAGAATGAGAACATCCGAAGACGAATTGCATCATCATACACAGTTGGGCTCTTCATCGTATCACATATGCTTGCGAACCGGTGGAGATGCTCGTGAGGATCCTCAGTGCTAGCCCCTGAGAAAGTATATCCATTAGTGATCATATTGATGAATGCTGGGGTAATTTCCATGGTTGCATCCCCAGCCAGAATGACAACACATGAAGCTCGGGCTCCAGTCCTTCGATTCAGACGAGCCCTGATTGATCGATCCTCGTTTGCCATGATGTCTGGCTCAATATCACGAGGTGGTGGTGTCGGTGGTGTAGGGACGACAGGTAATGAAGCCTACCCTCTCTGTTGACGATTCATGGTTAGGGAAGGCCTAGGATTTGTGGTTGTGGTTGGCTGCTTCCCTAACTTGACCTGCTTCCTATTATGTCGGCAGGTCCTCTCTATCTCTGCGCTCCTCCTTGTCGTTCACTGCAGCTGTTCCAATTCCCAAAGAAATTCCGTGCTCCGCCAGCTGCTTCTTTTCTCCCAGACTTCGCTGCGCCCTGCTCCTTTCCTTCCCCAAAAAAAAGAATTATGTGTCCCCAATTAGTTCTGTCAGAACAGAAGCGTGTAATCGATAATCCAAACCAACACGAACGAACACAAATTTAACGTGGTTCACTAACACAATGTGTGATAGCTAATCCACAGGCAGGGGAGAACAAATTTCACTAATTTGAGGAGAGTACAGGTTACAAACCAAATTCCGGAACGGGCAAACCAAACAAACTAACCTGACTGACCCCTACTACAAACTAGGGTGATGAAGAGTATTTATAGAACTCTTCTCCTAATCCCAAACAGAAAACCAAACACCTTTTCCCAAACATACAAGGAAAAGGTCAAACAAAGCCCAAACACAAACCCAAACAAAATAGGCATAAAACACAAAACAAACCCAAATCAAATTCAAGTCATATTCTAACAATCTCCACCTTTACTTGAATTCTCTGTCAAATACCAAATGTACCAGACGCAACCAAAGTTGCCAGATGTACCAAACGCAACCAAAGTTGCCAGATGTACCCAGACGCGATACATATCGCCAGACGTATCCAAATGCGATCGAAACCGCCAAACTCAAACGCGATGCAGATTGCCAGACATATCCAAATGCGATTCATATCGCTAGACCAAACGCGATGCAAATCGCCAAACTCAGATGCAATCAAAATTGTCAGACGTACCAAACTTCTCCAAATCAGCTGTACCAGAATCTCCCCTGCCTCCAAATGCCCCTAAGGGCGATCAACAAATCAAAACATGCAGCAAGTCCAACCCATGTTGGGACTTGCCATGCATAAGCAACTTGGTGTTATTTCCATTGATAACACCAACATCAGATTTACTTCCAACTCCAAACCTGCAACTCCAAATCGACTTCTCAATCTTTAAATCCATAACAAACATCCTTGGTGATCGAAAACCCTGGTCACCACCAAGGGCAACAAACAGAATTCTCCCCAAACCACAAGCTATTACCGAACACAATAAATTCAAGTAATTGCTTCCAAATTCCAATTGATCCGCCAATTAGCTCTCTGCCGCAAATTCCAAATTTTCTTCTCGACAAACCAAACGATGCAACTCCAAACTGGTAAAAGATTGGAATCACCACCCAATACCAAATTGCCGCCGAACAAAGAATTAACGAACACCAGAAGCGATTCTTCCGACAACCCAAATCGAACACTATCTCCTGATACCGCAACAGTCACCAAAATCCCTAGCCAATTGCCCAGTCGATCGACCAGACTCTGATACCACTTGTCAGAACAGAAGCGTGCAATCGATAAACCAACACGAACGAACACAAATTTAACGTGGTTCACTAACACACACTACAAGAAAACTTGGCTATAGAGTCGGAGGTTATTTGCGTCTAAAAGTCAGTTATTTGATTCTGTATATCTTTTGAAGCAAATAAATTATTTGCATCGGACGCCTCCCTCTCTAATTCTCTTTAGAAGCAAATATAGATGCAAATAATATCTGCTTCTAATTATAAAATCTGAATCAAATCTTATTGATTCTAATCCCACTTTATAATCCCACTTTAAAGAACGTATATATTCTCTTCTTTTTTTGTTTTAGAGAGAAAAATGTTTGTTCCCATTTCTAGACTTCTAATTATGGAGACAATTATAATTGTTTCTAGAACACCTTCCCGAAACAAATATTTGCTTAGTGAACAAATACTTTAGCTACTATTTTAACTTTCATAATTTTGATTAATTTAAATTCTACCTACGATTACCCAAATAAAATAACAATTTGAATTTTTTATTAATAATTTTTAATACATTTATTCGTAAAATACATGAATACATTGCCATAATACATAAAGAATACATTGTGCTAAACCATAAAAAAAAATACATTGTGCTAAATCTCTGTGATGCCGCTGCTGCTTTTCGCCATCACGATTGCAAAAACTTGCCCCATCCAGCCCTCAAACAAACAGATTGGAGATTCGTCATATGCAATCCAAATCCAGTTCAAGCGACGTCCACTAAATAAAAACCCCAGATCTAGATCTGCAAGGACAACATAATTAACAGTTGAAAACGTCGCCGATATGCACTCAGATCTAGATTTTTCAAGCTCGATCTAGAAGCACTCAGGAGGAGATGGCTACATCAACAGATGAAAATTGCTTCCCATATGTAGATCTAGATCATCGAGGCAAAGAGCTCCTTCAAGGATTGGTGTCGTTACCGGTACCGTCTTCAGGTCCGAATCGAAGAGAAAGCCTAAGAAAGGAGCAGTCTAGCGTTGAGTCATCGTTGGAATAAGTACCATGCCATTGCTTGATAGACACCGAAACACTGTTGGAGAGATAGATCTATTCTCAAATATGCTAAAATAATAACCCAATCCACTTTGGAGAGATAGATCTATTCTCACCTGTTTTCGTGCCGTCTATACTACTGGCATCATGTCATTGTCACCTTGCTAGACCATCGACGTTTTCCCTCCTCCATGCACAGTTCAGCGGGTTAAAGATGTTCACCGAACACACCGTCGTCGCAAGCGTAGGAAGCTGGGCTGCGTTGGATCCGAATTTCCTTCGTCGGAATGCGTATTTGGAATAACCCAAGACTAGCGAGCAGGTTATGGGCGGACGATTCAGTTCGCCGGCTGGAGTTTGAGGGAATTTGAACAGACTTTCACGGTGGTAAAAAGAAAGTAGCTAGAGATCTAGATCTGGAGATTTGAGGAAGAAACAGGGGGGAACGGATCAGGTCAGTAACCTTATGGTGAGTAACCAACTAACCATGAGTAACTAGCCCACATCAGCATCTTCTCTCTCCTGGAAAGCCTTTAATTTTCCCCTCTTTAATCTTTGGCGGACGATTTCTCACTCATTTTAAGTCAAAATTTAATTTTTTTTGCACAGTTAGATCAGATTAATTGTGCTCTTCAAAATGATATCCACTTTAATATATTTTTCGAACAAAAAAAATTGAGCCATTTTTTACCAGTCTATACCATATGGTATTGACTGGTATTGAAATAAAAGCATACCTATGGTTTGAAAAACGTACCATGGTGGTATGAACAAACAAAAACTGTAGGATGGTTGAATGCATGATAGCAGAAGTATATTAATTGTCATTTACGACTTTTAACATTGTATACCATACAATACCACCCGTACCCGGGTGGTATTGTATGGTATTGTGTGGTATTTTTTGGTCCTGTAATTTGTTCACTCAGAAATTTGTAGATCCAATAGATCATGATGAAATCGTCCTTTCTGTGCAAACGTTTTCAAAAACGAATTAAAAACGAAGAAGATATCATACAATACCACCCCGTACCAGGGTGGTATTGTGTGGTATTTTTTGGTCCTGTAATTTGTTCACCCAAAAATTTGTAGATCCAATAGATCATGATGAACTCGTCCCTTCTGTGCAAACTTTTTCAAAAACGAATTAAAAACGAAGAAGATACCATATGGTATGCAGTTGGTACCGAGAGGCCAGAAAATTTTTTTTTTCTAAAAAAATATTGAAAATTATTCTCATTTGGTAGAGCACGATGAACTCGTTCCATCTGTGTAAAAAAAATTAAAATCCGAGTTAAAACGAAAAAGATATGAGCCGATTAAGAAAGCTAGGAAACATAAAAATGGTCCTTAATTTTCCATCCTTAAATCTGGATTTTCTAAATGAAGGGTCCAGATTTGGTTATTGATGGATGCATAACCCATGGTTATGCACCCTATCTTGAGCCGAAACAGGGAGATTGAGGGAAGATTTATGGTTAGTTACTTCCTGCGTATGGAAGTGGGAAAGGTTTTCGATGTAGTAATTACTTATAAGTACTATTTTTAAGGGATTTGGGAGATTTTTTTTTGGTTGAGGTTATATCAATACGCATAAATAAACAAATAAAATATTATTTTAATTCAATAAATCAAATATTTATTTTATACAGAATGATTAACTGAGATAAAAATTGAATCTTTCCTTTATTTCGCATAACTGAGAAAATAAAAATGAGTAAATGAATAAATAAAAATTATTATTTTAAATACCACTTTTTAGATTTGACTTTAAGAACAATCAGATTAATTATATGCGATATTTGTATTTGTCTCTAAATACTATTATATTTGTGTCTATAGGACATACATATAACATATAGGTGACATTTGCATTTGCTTTTAAATATAATTTCTTTTGCCTCTATATGACATACTATAAGTAACATTTGTATGTGTTTCTAAAAGCAATTAAATTTTTTTTAATATGTATCATTTATATATTATATAGACGCAAATAAGATAAATGCCTCTAATGATATTATTTTAATTTATTTTATATATATTATAAGAGACTTTTATGAAATAGAGACAAATAATTTTACATATTGCAACAAATAATATTTTTGCTCCTAAAGATTAGCTATAGAGACTATTAGAATAACTGTCTCTAATTATTTGTCTCTGTTTCTAGGTTTTCTTGTAGTGACAATGTGTGCTAGCTAATCCACGGGCAGGGGAGAACAAATTTCACTAATTTGAGGAGAGTACAGGTTACAAACCAAATTCCGGAACGGACAAACCAAACAAACTAACCTGACTGACCCTTACTACAAACTAGGGTGATGAAGAGTATTTATAGAACTCTTCTCCTAATCCCAAACAGAAAACCAAACACCTTTTCCCAAACATACTAGGAAAAGGTCAAACAAAGCCCAAACACAAACCCAAACAAAATAGGCATAAAACACAAAACAAACCCAAATCAAATTCAAGTCATATTCTAACAAGTTCCTTTGTCAAGAGATCTCTCCTCATTAAAAGTCTCCCAAAATAATTCCCCTACGCACTCGCTTCTTTTTCGTGCTTTCTCCACCTGTAACATATCAAACTCATGGCACTAGGCAGTAATGATTTTTCAACCATTCTCGGGTTAGCGAGCCCTAAAATAGCACCAATCGGCTTAAACAGATCATAGGATAGTCACATAAAGTTTAAGAATCCGATATATTAAAGTCGATTATCATCACGCCACCTGATGTTTATTCAGGCATATTGTTAATTATTCACGCCGTTGTAAAATAAAATTTTAAACTTTGAAATATATCAAAATGGATGTCATTCTATAGATTAGGATCAATGCAACATATTTGTGCAGATTAAATGCCAAATTTTATTCCATAAAATATAGCCAATACAAATTATTAGGGGGAAAAAGTACGAATTTCCATTTACGTGAAAAACTTACACTCTTACGTAAATCACCATAGTATTACGTGAATGAGCACAAAATGGCATGAGTGAGTATAAAATAGCGTGAATCGATGAATGAACTGTTATTAGGTGTTCTGTCATCTAACGTGACAAGAGATCTTTTCCTTAATTAATTAAGGGAGCTACCTCGTACATACATGGGCTCTAGCTCATGCACATGGTGACCTATATAAATAACTTTCATGCGAGCGCCCTTACTCTTTACCTATAGGAATGGCAATGGGGCAGGTCCAGGGCGGGTATCTCAATACCCATACCCGCCCCATGGCAGGTCGGGTCCAGTTCGGGTAATTTATAACGGGGCGGGTCGGGGCAGGTCGACCCAATGGGTATGTAATTTATGCAAAACACATTAGAAATATTCGTTCTTTTCATTAAAAGACCAAGAAAGAAACCATTATATGATAAAATGTAGTTAAGTTATTGGAGAAATTGAGGTTTTTACTTATTTACAACTTTATTATAGCTAAAATATGATGTAATAAGAGGAAAATTCTAAGTAATTTGACTAAGATTACAGGTAATCTAGGCAGGAACGGGTCAAGAATGGGGCGGGTCGGGACAGGTCCGGTCAGTGAGAGGTACCCATACCCGCCCTGCCCCGCCTACGGGGCGGATCAGACCTACCCAAAACAGGCCAAATAGGTCGGGTAAATTGGGTCAGGTCGAAATTGTCATCCCTATTTACCTATAGTTTACGAAAATTTTAAGAACACCAAATGGATGTATATATAGTTTAAACAATACAAAAGTTCCATCTAGGTCCTCAAAATCTTCGCCTTCGAACAACAGACGCCTCTGGAAAATTTTATCCAATCACTAGTTTTAACTTTTAACCCACTTTTTACCCAAAACAGGCCAAATAGGTCGGGTAAATTGGGTCAGGTCGAAATTGTCATCCCTATTTACCTATAGTTTACGAAAATTTTAAGAACAGCAAATGGATGTATATATAGTTTAAACAATACAAAAGTTCCATCTAGGTCCTCAAAATCTTCGCCTTCGAACAACAGACGCCTCTGGAAAATTTTATCCAATCACTAGTTTTAACTTTTAACCCACTTTTTATGTTCCCTACTTTTTAGAATGCGTCTTTAAAATCTTGATCCGCTCTTTCATTTAACCCACTTTTTATATTCTCTCATTTCCTCGTTTTACGATACATCCATCATTTGAAAGGTTATGAGATAACAAATTAAAAAAGATTTAGAGCATACAAATGCCTAAAAAATGAGAATCAGAGTATACATATGCCTCTTTGGAGCAATCAATCAAGTAATTTATTCAAATCAAGATGAATTTTACAATGCTATATAAAATTGATGGTATAGGTTTTTGTTTTTATGTTACAACTTAAAATTGTACCTTTAACATTATGGTACAACTTCAGATTGTACCTATATTTTTTGTACAAATTCATTTATGGTACAACTTGAACTTGTACATTTATGTGATGGTACAACTTCAAGTTGTAAAGTTGCACCATAACATAATGGTACAAATTCATTTTTGGTACAACCTAAACTTATACATTTAGGGCATGTTTGGAGGTTGTGATTCATACAATTGATGTATTCTATCAATTTATGTATTGTAATTATATGTATTGTCTGAATAGATGCATTTGACAAATACATCGTTTGTTTAATGTGATTCTACTTTTTGCAAATAAAAAAAAACACTCATTTTAGTAAATAAAGTCAAGTTTGCCCTTTCGTTGTCATCAACCCTACGGCTCGAACTTCCTCTCCGAGAGTTGCCACATTTTCACTTGAGAACCCAAAAACCCAGATTCTTTTATACCAATCCCCTTCCCCTCACCGCCCCTGCAACCAACAATTGCAACAATAAAATTTGGAATTTGGAACTTTTGGAGACGGAAAGAAATAGTGAGACAAAGTGACTGAAGCTTTTCCCCATTATGACTTTATTATTGCTTGGAGCGACGAATTTTTGCGGCAGAGCTCGGCGACAGTAGATGATGGGGAGCTCGGGATCGAGCCCAGATGGAGGTCGTTTTGAAAATTGAAGGTTGTGTTGGTGAGGTAGGAGACGCAATCTTGCCGGAGCAGACTCCTGTTGCTTTCGCTAGAGCCTAGAGGAGAGGAAGGAAGAGATGCAGTTAGTGTGCGGAGGAACGACGATGGGAGAGAGAAGCAAATTATGAGGGAAATTCTAAAATAAGATAGAAATAGAAGGGACAAAGATGGAATAAAAAATTAGCAGACAATCCTTCATCAACAATTTCAACTTTGAGTAGAGATTTGAAATCACTCAATTTGAATGATTGTGGGTGGGGTCAGAAAAAGGTAATACATGCATTCTGTTTCAAAATAAACCAGAAAAACAACTCAATTTCACCATTACATGTATTCATTAAATCATTCACGTGAAATCACATCTTCCAAACAAGCCCTTAATGTTATGGTACGACTTAGAGTTGTAAGTGCTCTCAAACAAAATTGTTAGATGAACAAAGGGGAAATTTAAAAATAAAATGCTAACATCCATTCAATAAACGTAGAGAACCCAACGTGCAATCTAGGAACAACAATACGACAGGTGGAGGCGAGTATCTCGATACACAAAAATGTTTAATGGCGTATTGGTTAATTTATCACAGAGCGTGTGTTCGGGATAGGTCTACTCGTATGAGTATGTATCTAAATGAAAAACGTTAAAATATTCATTTCTCCATTAAAAAATCAAGAAACAAACTATTGGAAGTGTTCGCTGCACTTGACAGCGAACGAAGTGGTTAATTTAAATTGAAAGCGAACTACGTACAAATATGTGAATAGAAAAGTTTATGTTCGCTTACCTAGCGAATAGTCATTCACCTTTCCTAGTCAGCGAATCACAACAATTTGCTTACTGTTTTAGCGAACCAAGTTGTTGGCTCCGCCAACCCGTGGACCACTCTAGTTGCTCCCTAGACCCGCGAACCATTGAGTCCGCTTTTTCCAACAATGTCAAGCTCCGATCGCAAGCGAACTGCTTAGTGATTCGTGTAACTATGCAACAAACTATGAGAAACTTATGCATTTTCGAAATTATTTTTTAAATGCTGTGCAGTGAGAATTTTTATTTTTTTTTAACTTGGCCATTCTGGGAATTTTTCCGCATAGGAATAGCCATCTAAGTTGATTAGAAATAGCCCTCGCCCCTCCGTTAGGGTAACACGTACAACACGAAAACAAACAGAAAGAAAATGGAAAAGAGAGCACGCCTAAGTGGGTGGAAAGTTCATATGACTTGTGTTGGATTTTACACCAAACAGGCGAGGCAGAAAGTGACGACTCCACTCCTGTCTCTCATTCCTAGCAAAACATCCTACACTTGGTTTGAAACCTAATCCACTGACGTGACCAGTGACCTACGCAAGCAATTTAACAACACAAGTACATGTGAAAACAGATGGTCTTCTCTACATAACCAATCCCCTTACCAAAGCAAACACCTACTGCCAAATATCAGATCAAAGAGCGAAGCTATTGTGCAATCAAGACATACTAGAAAGTCGCTCAAAATAAATGACATAGCAGCAAGCTAATATCAGATACGGCAAGGTAACCATGTCCAGATAGGGCCAGGCCAACACAATCTACAGTAACCGAGGAGTGAAACAAATAAGTAGTCGACGATGAGCTAATGAGAAGATTGATGATGCAGAAAGCCGCATCAGGCAGTTCCGTTACCCATGAAGTCGCTAGGATATGTGCCGACATTATAAATGCAGACATCAATACTAATCTGTTTGTACCTTCCGAAGAAACTAGCTGGAACCAAAAGAAACCCCCCAGTAGCAGTTGGAGCTTCGTTCCCCTTCTTCAGTACATTCTCTGCAAACGACTGAAACTTGACACTGCTGTCTTCCGTCTTAGCACTTACTTCGTAGAAGAACCTTCCTTTGTACGAAGCTGGACCCATACAGCTAACCTTGATTATGTTCCCCACGTTCCCCACACTGTTGGTCAGCAGAAACAGAACCCCTTCTGTCTCCTCTTGAAGAACAAGGAGCTTATGATCACTGGTGAAGAACGCCGGGAAGACAGTGTCGTACTTGAACCGAACAGTGCGGTTCTTGTGTGTAGTACGAAAATGTTCGCACAGCTGCTTGACCGAGTCGGAGAAGTTGCACCCGGATAGAGGACACAGACACGGCGCATAGACGCAAGCCTTGTCGTGAGCCTGTTTCTTGCTGTAGGTAACTACCTCTCGGCACCCGTAAACAGAATTCAGGCATGGTACAGAGGCGGACTCGAGAACCTTCTCGATGGCCCTGCAGCGATTGTAGCCGATAGGCAGACAGCATGAAGGACACTTGTATGCCATTTTGGTGCAGCAGGGACTGCAAGCTGTGTGTCCATTCTCACACTGTCAACAACATAAGCAGAAAGGGTGGGAGAATCAGAAGAAAAGATAGATAGTGCATGTATAGTAGCATGGTTATCAACAATGGTTAAATACTAGAAAAAAATCTGTGAATCAGATGTCCAGCACTACCAATTAAACATGGTTATCTAAGACTACCTTGAAAATCTATGAAGCAGATATACAGCACAGGAGACTAGAAGCCAACAGTTCCATCATTTACTTTTTGGAACATGGGACAGTAAACACAACTACATTCCAATCCAATTACTACCGGCTGAGAGATAGAGAAAGCAAATTAATAGCAAGAAATTTGATTGTTAGATATTGCCCAGGATGGATGGTAAGTTCCTAGAAATATAGAGGAAATTCAAATATGCTAAGTCATGATATCCATGAAAGCTTCATTTCAGAAATAGTTGGTAATACAGGGTGGTTTTGAGATAAAGATAAGACTCTCCATCCTAACTTGTAGGGTGGTCTAGGCTATATGACCCCTCCATTGTCACGGTGTAAGTCATTTAAAAGGTCTATGTTTGATGCAAAGAAATCATTAAGATTCTTTACCGAGTGTGATGTATCTCCAAGTGCATGGACTTAAACCCCAGTGTATAATAGCCATGTAGCATACCAATTCTCATAATAAGTTCCCAATAACCAAGCCATAAGGGAGAACAAGTCTAATTCAGATTTCAGAAAGCAGGTGTTCCTCATTAGTTATGTTTCTATACGTGCTCCAATGTTACAGAACTTGGTTCTAACACAGAATTAACTAGTTATGCTTTAAAACCTCTTGGTCACTATTCCAACATTTCTAAAGCAAACCAACAGTTTTAAAGACATTCAGCGCATGAGGGGAAAACAATGACTTCTTCCGAAATCATATATCTCATGAGCACCAGCCTTTCATAGGCCGGTCGAACTCCTGAATCTATCAGAATTTGCCTCCCCAAAGACTATGATATGGTAGATTTAAGTAGTCCTTCCAACAAGAAACTATGCTACATAGCAATAGGCAGATCAAATCTATTCATGAATATCCGGCAAAATATGTGAATTAGCAAACATAAGACACTAAGATAGTAGGATAGATGCAGAAAATATTGTAGTTCTATATCTAACAACTGCACTAAAATGTTATATGCCATCATATGCTCCGTGTTCCTGTTTCCATGAAACTCCAGTAGAAACGATCAAAACATGTGCAGAAAACATTACAACATTTGAGGAACAAAAATTCAAGCCCCAAGCAGCAAGAAGGAATGACTATTTCTATGTACAGCCGATAATCGCATCAATAAATGTTCTAGGTTAAACAAGGCGCAACTTAAACTAGGATAATCCAAAACTCAATTGACTAGCTGGAACTTGCTCCAGCAGCAATTAGCAATCACAGCTACAAACGACTTTTCCTCTACCTATCAGCTCTTTGAGTATCCCTGTGGTTAAATTTTCAAATGCAAGACTACGGGCGGCGAAGATCGAAAACACCAGAAATGGATTACACAAAGCAAGATAGACCAGTAGAAGAAATCTAAACTTTCAAAACCAGCGGAAAGACTGCCACAAGTTAGCTGCTACCAAATCAACGCCATCAAAGGAACAAGCAAAGCTTTCAACCCTAGCACATTTTACCATAGGGGGTCGGGAATCGAAGCAATGAGGTGCAGAGAACAAGACCTGGTAGACAGGAATAGTCAGGGTATCGAAGCAGACGGAGCAGTCGAGCACTTCAGGATCAGTTAGGGTTACAGAGACGGAACCGTTTCTGCTACTCTCCGCACTCTGCGTATGTCGGCCCGGCTGCTCTGCTTGGTCGTGATCGTCTTCATCGTCATCAACCTCGTCGTCATCGCCATCTTCCTCCTCTTCTTCCTCTATCTCTTCTTCCTCGCCCTCCGCATCCCACTCCACATCATCCTCCTCATCTTCCGCCACTTGAAAATCGAGATCCACTTCCTCTTCTTCGTTCTCATCGCCACTAAGTATCACAGCTTCCTCGTCGTCCCCGGCCGAGCTCGTCATGGTTTCAGGAGGGGGATTCATAGAGGCGGAGGTAGTGCTTGTCCGGAGTCGTTTACGGAGTCGGTTGCTCGGTCCTTCGTCGTCTTCAGCCGAGAATCGTGCCATCGCTCACAACTGAATTATAATTACAGGAGATGATTAGGGGATCGGAGATAACCTCTGGGGCGATCGGCAGCCCTCTTGAAAATTTGGGGACATCAAGATACGCTCGAAAGTTCCGCCAATTGGTGAATTGGCATTCTTTCGAATTAGAATTGGAATTGTTATATGGAACCTATGAGAAAAACACCGTATCGCACCGGTGATTGAACCGTAAAATACCGGTACTGGAAGTCTGGAACCAAATTCGGAACGGTATAAGTATAAGTCGTAATGGCAAAAATGAAAATCCGTGTCGACTAGGTTTTAGAAGTTGAATCTATGAACCACAGTATTCAGGCCTGTTTTAATCATACCAAACAGCTTGAAATTAAAAAAAAAAAAAAAAATTCTACGAACGGAGTGTGATCCCATGATTAAGGGGGTGCTTAGTCACTTGCCTAACCTGTTACCAGCCCTTAGATCTAGACACAGCAATCTGACGATTAAAAAGTGGGAAGGACTATTTAATTAATGACATGAGTAGTTTGGGTATTATGGAAAATTACGAAGTATATAAACCGAACTTACAATCAGTACAAACCATACAAACAGTACAAACTACAACGACAAAACATACAAATAGATTTACAAACATTACAGACGTATGAACTGTACAAACAATACAAACTAGACCGACAAACAATACAAACCATACAAAAAGGGAAAAAAACAACCGGGTTGACTTTAGAGGCTCCATCCCTCTATAGAGGGCTCCGTTTCAAAGTCAAAACGGTTGTTTTTTATACATACAAACATTACGAACGTAGTGGACAAAAATGACAAACTAGACCCACAATCCATACAAACTGAAAAAACACCCGCTTTGACTTTGAAGGCTTCATCCCTATATATAGGAATTTCATCCAAAAGTCAACCAGGTTGTTTTATAGACATAAAAAAAATATTACAAACATGGTTGACAAATTTGATAAACATGGTGCATAAAAATAACAAAGTTTACAAACATTACAAAAGAAACCGACAAACATTACAAAATAACAAAGCATACAAACATTACAAAATAAACCGACAAACAATAGAAAGCATACTAGCCGTACAAAATGTCACTAAAAATGCCAAACAAGAATGATAAACAATACAAACCGAATCTATACAAACATTACAAAATAGGTCAACAAACATCACAAATCCAGCACTGTCACCGGAAAGTCTCCTCCGATCAGTGGAAAATCTCTCTCTCTCTGCACCTAAGGGAAATAAAAAAGTGTCGCTTCCCAAGAATAAATAAAAGCTGGCGGCGGGGACCGGCGGGAGGAAAAAGGCGACAGGGACCGGCGGCCGCTGTAGGGGAAGTTTCGTCGGTAGGGACTCGCGGGAAGGGAGCCAGGTAGCCGCTTATTTTTATTTATTGTTTTAATTAATAAATTAAATAATAATATAATTACTATAATGTCTTTCATTAAATTAAATTAATTAGAGTCATTGGATTTTAATGAGGTGTAATGGCTGAGATCGACTTAGACAAGTAACTAAGGGGACCATATCTCTACAACGTCAACAACATTATTTGGAGAAAAACTTGGTGGAAAAAAAAAAGGGGCGGAACCCTCATCTCCAACACAACCCTAATTTGTAACATTCTCTCTGTTACGATAATTTCATTTTTATCAACATAAACTCATACAGTTGGATTTACTTATTCTTTAATTATCATTGTCGCCGAACAAGCTCTCCCTGTGAGAATGACTTGGATTGGTCACGGTGATGCCCGACAAGCACTTCGCAATTTAGTTTAGATAGAATTTGTTTTAAAATTAAGGGTTAATACCCTAGTTTGGCCCGAGGTTTGGTGTAAGTGACACTTTTGACCCAATTTTTCAAATAAGATATTTATGGCCTACTTTTGAAACTATTGGACAAATTTGGCCCAAAATTTTCTTTGACCGTTAATATTGACGGTCAGACACTATTTGGTTAGTGACTCAGAAAAATTGTTGATGTGACATGACACGTCATTAAATACTATTATTTTAATTTTATAATTCAATTAAAAATAATTAATTAAAAATAATATTATTTAATAACGTGGCATGCCATATCAGCGGTTTATTGCTAAGTTACCTAACGGAATAGTGTTTGACCATCAATATTAACGGTCAAAGATAATTTTGGGCCAAATTTGTCCAATAGTTTCAAAAGTAGGCCATAAATGTCTCATTTGAAAAATGAGGCCAGAACTGTCACCAATGCCAAACTTCGGGCTAAAGTAGGGTATTAAGTATTAACCCTAAAATTAACTAATGAAGTTGTAGATTTTCCTCTATGTGCCTTTTGTTATTTGATTTCTCATGTTCAGTTAGTTAGTATTTGACTTATTGATATTAGTATGATATCATATTTTTGTCAGTACAGTATTTTAACAAAAATATATTACTTTATTAAAAAAAAGTATTATACCAATAAGAAGCAATTGAACCACGATCGTACCACAAAATTCCATACCATGGATTAATCTGGCATGACCAGTAAGAAGAAATCTCTTCTTTCTCTCTCTTCAACGACGAAACCCTAATTGTCACAGCTGCCATTGGGGAATGGCCACTCCGACCAATCCCCCACAAGCGAACTTTGTTTAGCTTTTTGAAGTTGGTGAGGGGAATCGATTGCAGTATGTTCCTCCAACTCTGATAGATGGAGAACTGGTTATTCAGCATGGTGTTTGAGAGGAAGGTGTTGCCTGATGGCGGAAAGCACTGGTGGGTCAAGGCTAGGTTTATGTCTCTCCACTAGGCGAGAACCTCTATTTGTTCTAGCTTCCAGACAGTGATTCCTAAACTTCTTTTTTTAAGAATTGTCGGTGGCACTATGAAAATAACCTTATTTGTGAGGAAATGGACGTCGGTATTCAGCCTCTAGCGATTAATTTGGGTGTTCTTTCGATTTGGGTTCGAAATCGTGGTCTACCTCTCGAATACTTTATGGTGGAAGGTCTGAGTAGGGTTGCTAGTGTTCTTGGAACTCCTCTTTGGACGGATCAAGCCACTAGGTTGGGTTCTCAGATTGGTGTAGCAAAAATATGCATTGAGATGGCGGCTTTGCGGTTGCCTCTTCCTTCTCGTCTGATTTTTGTATTAGGCTAGAAGGTGGAGAGGCTATGACAATTTTTTGGACTACTTAAATTTTCCTCATTTTTGTGCTCAATGTGGTGTTTTTTGCCATAAAATTGGTGAAGGTACAAAATGTAGGGCATTTGAAGTGTTGAATTAGCGCGAGCTTGTTAGTACAGAATCTATTGATACTGATGGACTTTAGGTGGCTTGCGCTACTAAGGAGTCGGTGAAGGAGGTGGATGAAACAAGTCCACACGTTATCACACAACCAACAGTGCAGACCCCTGCCAACTCTGGATCTCTGGTGACGTCTTCATCCGAAACTCGGGGTAAAGGGGTTATAAATGAAGTTGGATTTCAATTGGTTGGTCGTAAAGGCAGGCAAGCAAGATCAAATGGGCATAGTGAGCTTCATATCCCTCCATCAGCTCTTGCAACAAGGGTTCACCTCAATGCTCGAGGTAATGCTTTGGTTATTCCTTCTTCTCATCCAAAGAGAGGGAGGGGTAAATGTCTTGGTAAATGAAACTTCAGTGTTGGAATCTTAGGAGCTTTAATTCCCCCTAAGAAGCATAGATATATTAGTAGACAGTTAAATAAACATAATATAGATATATTTGCTATTATGGGGAGATGGGTTATTGCTAAAAATGCTCTTGATATACTTAGGGAGCATTTTAGTCAATGGTTACATGTAGATAACTACTCTCATTCTTCTTCTAGAAGGCTATGGTTCCTGTATAAGCCTAGGTTACAAGTTATTAGGGTGGTAGCATATGAACATTTCATTCATCGAGGTTTCTGATGTAGGAGGCTGTGTAATTACAACAATCTACAGTCCTAACAAAGTGCAGGAGCGACAAGTAATGTATGGTGAGTTACTGAATTGTTTAATTTGTGATGACCACGTATCACTATGGGTGATTGAAATGCTATTGTTGAAGCATTAGAGGCTTCTAATACTGGTGTTATTAATTAAAGTACTTTGCATTTTAGCTAGTGGCTTGGGAATATGGGACTTTTTGATCATAAGGTTCTTGGATCGTGGTTTACATGGTGGAATAAGTAAGAAGCCAATCCAATTGCTAGACGGTTAAATAGGTTTCTGGTTAATCTACCATGTCTTAATGAGTTTCCTTAGCTAATCCATTAGTAAGAATATTGATGCTCTAAAACACAACACCAAACTGCAACCAAGTATAATCGCAGTCCGGGAATGCAGTAAAGTGACAAGTTATATTATCAACCCGGGGTCTAGATATACTGCTTACTCAGTGATTCTCTATTATCTAGCCAACTAAGTTAAGTGTTTGTTGTGTAAAAGCAAAAGCAGAAAGAAAGCAGGAATTGATACGGTTTTCTCAAGCAGGTAAGAGTCACTCGGGAATGAGTCCCCCTAGCTCCTTAGTTAGGTTTCAATTGTATTTCCCTGGGTTGATTTAGTGTTGATTAGACTGCGGAAGATCCGACAGTAGCTTGGAATCTCTTAAGCTGACCAAGCCCTCTCAGTCTAACTACCCGGCAGACGACTAGTCTTCACCGGGATAGAAAGCTGAAGCAGTAAGAGCAGAACTCCACTATTGGAATTAGATTCCAGTACAAAGCAGTAAACTGGCTAACTCTCGTATAGCCAATCTCCTACTACCGAATGATGAGACTCTAGCAACCTAATCAGATTCTATCTATCTCAGATTGCAGCAGGAATCAGAAAAAGTTGATCAGACTTCAATTGACTCAATAAACATGCATCATTCGATTAAAATCAAACAGTAATATCATCCCAAGTCATTACAATCAATCCCTAACACATAGAACTAAGGTTCTTCATCCCCAAGTGAGAGAAGGGTTCTACTCCATAGAGAGAGAGAGAGGAAAACAAGATACAAAGCAGTCATACTCATTACAATGGGAAGAATATGCTCTGGGATGATGATTTCCACTCCTATGACAATCTCCAAGCTTGATTTGATGAAACCCAGCTCCAAGATAGCTTCTAGGATGTGTTCTTCGTACTTTCTCTCTCTAGGGCTCTGTTTTTGCTCAAAAAGTCTGATTTTCTCACTTGCAGCCCGAAATTGGGTTAAAACCAGGAATTCCCGACTCACACGGGCAGGGCCACACGGCCGTGTGGCATACCCAGTGCCCGTGTGACTTCAAAACGCCGCGTATCGATTAATGGACTTCAGTCAACTATACGGCCAGGGTCACACGGCCGTGTGGATCACCCTGCCTGGCCGTGTGAAGCCTCGCATAATTCCACACGGCCAAACCACTCCTTCACACGGCCGTGTGGATATCAGGGCAAGCCGTGTGAAGGCTCTCACAATCTCACACGGCCAAATAGGTCACTTGCACGGCCGTGTGAATTGTGGGTGTGCCCGTGTGGCTTCCTTTTTGACTTGCCTCACGCCCAATCGTCGTCCAATCGACCCCAAACTCGCTCCTAAACCTTCATTCACTTGCTAGGACCTGAAATATCACAAACAAACACAACCTAGCGTGGGCCTAAAACACGAGAATTACCATCCCAAACGGCTCCAGAATAGGGGTAAAAACATGTGCAATTAACGGCTTATCAAAATCCCCCACACTTAACCGTTTGCTTGTCCCCAAGCAAACCAAGTCAGACACAAGGTAAGCTCACATATTTCAATCATACCAACATTGGGGACAAATCATATAGGCACAGAACACGTGAATCATACTGGTTTTCAAACATCAACACATGAACAACCTTAATAGCAACCTGGACAACCACCACAGAAGACGTTCGAGTGCAGCAAAATCAAGTAAAGAAGGAGTCTCCCTTCTGTTCATCAACCAACCTAGACTTGACTCAATCACTCACTCAAGACAGTCAACTCATGCACAAAACTCAAGATATCAGAATAGAGACCGAGCAATCTAGGTCCTCACCAGCTAAAGAGAGTAAAGAAAAAGGAAATGAATCGCTCACTCTCGACCAGTGGGGTCAGGACAATTTGATGCGAAAAATGCGCATACTATTCCTCTCAATTCCTAACATCTCTTCACCATGACGGCAGCCTCTAAAGGTTAGAGTTCACATAAATGGTTGTCATCACTAACTAATCAGGAGGTCTTAGACACAGGTTCAAATGACTGGCTAGGGTCTTGGACATGGGGAAAAGGCCTTTTAGGTGGTGAAAGTATTCATAGCACAAGGTTCCACAATTCCAAACCCAACAAACTCACAGTCAATCAAACCAGTACTTTCTTTCTGCTATTCTGCATCACTCAAATTCAAAGCACAAGAGCGAAGGAGGTCACATAAATATCAGTATTTCTAAGCCAGACTGCTAAGAAACACTACTTAATGGGCACTATTCAGATTTTTGGTGGTAGCTCTCTTTTGCTTTCAGTTTTTCTTTCATTTTTTTTCATTTCTTAAGAGAACCACCACCTCTGCACATTTACAAACACCTGCCCAACTTTTTAAGAACTACCTCCAACTCTCACATTATATTTAGCAGAAACAGCAGAGAACATGTAAAAATCACTCTGTGGAACCTTCTAAAAGATGCAAAAGGGTGACTTTTCATTGAAGACCGAAAGAAAGACTACACACGGCTCAAAGGGGCTGACTAGGGGGTATGACACACCAAGACAGTCAATTTGGTCGTGGGCTAATCCTATGCCTCCATCATCTTAGCTAATGACAACGTGAATGCTACACATCATGGAAGAGGGAACTATCGCACAAGAAAGAAACGAGCAGGCTCAAATCTCACATGGCTACCTATATGCTCTATCTCTCATTCTGATTCCCTGAACTAGATGCATAAGAGACTGTCAAAAGCAAGTAATCAATCCAAGTCACAGTTGGTAAGCAAACAGTTGAAAAAACTGAACCCCTACACAATTCTACTGCACGTCTCAGTCATCATTATAGGTTGTCCTAGTCACTATCCAGTTGTCATGCATTAATCCGAAAACCATTCAATTTACCAATCAAAACACAGTGCCAATATGATCAAACAACCGTACTTGGAGCCCTCAAATCTCGAGATTTGGACAGTGGACTAGGCTCCAAGCACACGTATATACATTCCAACCGATACAAAGCACCCCCCCCCCCCCCACACTTAAGCACGACATTGCCCTCAATGGAGCAGAGGGATAGAGAAGGGGAACGATGTTACCGGATCGAAATGCTGCGGGGGACTGGAAGCGGACCAGTCAACGTGAGACATATGGAACGAACGGACAGTTCTGCACTAAGGGAACATCAAGAACACACTAGCACATGTTCGTTAGGGATCAGAGTAGGCCCAGATGGCCACAAAAGAAACAATCCACAAAAGAAAAGAAACAAAACACACGACAAACGAAGTTCAAGCTCCTTAACACATGGAGCAAACAGAAAAAAGTCTCAACCAAAAATAAAATCACACACTGAGGGGGGCGACAAGTACAACCTACTCGTCGCCGAGGTTGTCCAGATCGATGTCATTCATGAATGCATCATCGTCATCAGCGGGTGGAGGTGGAAGTGGAGAGTCCTCCCAGGGAGTCCTCCAGACTGGCTGCTCGCCCGGTAGCAGCTGGAGCAGATGCCCCTGTACCTCCTGCATGCGCCTAGCTCGGGCCTGCTCCCTCTCGATGCGCGCCAAGGATATCCCCTGCTGGGTCTCCATCCTGTCCAGGCGCTCATCATACGCAGCCATCCGGGACTGGTACTCGGCATGGTGTGCCGAATACTACTGCTGGAACTGCATCTGATAGTCATAGAGCTGCTGGTTCTGGAGACGCAGCTGCTCGAACTGCTGAGAGAAGTAGTCCTGGCCCGGGAAAGCGGAACTGCCACTCCCATAAATGGAAGTTAGTCTGTGATGGATCAGCAGCAGTGTCCACATCATCTGGGTAGACATGATCAGCAGCCTCCTCCTCCTGGCCCTCTGGCTGGTTCTCCGCGGGGATCTGAGGTTCCGGAAACCCCTCGATCCATAGAATGCCACGGTTCTCTCGCAGCAGGTGCATGTGACTGATCGTCTTCCTGCCAAAGACGCTGGTGTCCCCCTGCTGTGCGCACCCCTACAGTGAAAGGCCGAAGTAGGTGGCCAGGCGGGTGATGAGGGGGGTGCAGTGGAGGCTCTTCAGTTCTGAAGCAGTCTTCTCGAAGGTCCTGGCCACCACCGAACCCAAGTGGAGGGGATGGTCGTGCTGGCGGATCGACTGGATGAGGTACATGGCCCTCTTGGTGATGGCGCTGGCACTGTCTGAAGCTGGAGTATAACACTTCGCCAGCAGGTGGTGGAGAAGGCGGTTGTCGAGCTGCAGGGTAGTGGCCTTCGTCCTCCCGGCCGAGAAGGGACGTGTCTGGCCTGGCCGAGCCAGGCGGGTGTACAGCGTCCTGAAGTCCACCTCCGGCGGATCGTTGACCTCGGTGACGTAGTCCTCACCGTCGTCTAGGCCGAGGTCGAGAGCCTCGGCCATCTCGTGGTAGCTCATGGACTGGGGGGCACCGTCTAGCCTGAAGTTGACGGCTGCACCGTCTCTCCAATCGTCCGTGGGTGTGTGCTTGAAGGTCGTGTAGAACTCAAGCACGGGCTCGTAGTAAACCTTCTCGCAGATGGAGAGCAGACGGCGCCATGGGCGGTTGGTGACGGCGGCGGAGAGTTGCTCGTAGCAGTTCAATTACCAAAACTCCCGTTTGGACCAGCAATGGTGCTGCCCAAACGAGCATGCCAGGACCTGCTTGAAGCGATTCTCGTCGGGGCCCTCTTCAGATCCCGGATGAACGGGTGCTTGAGGTCAGGTTTCGACATTGTCCTGCAAAAGAACAACCCAAAGTGGAACCAAAAGAGCCAAAGAAAATGTCAATCACACCCCCACACTGAAGAACAGAAAACAACCTAACCATGGTTTCATCCATAGTTCGGGGGTCAAAAACTCGATAAATCAAGCATAATCTGAGTGGGGGTGCACATTCACGATAAAGTAGGAAACTTAAGGTTCACATCCATAGCAAATACACCCTCAAAGAACATCATTAAGGGCCCCAACCGGTGGCCACAACATGGCATGAAAAACAGGCATTTCATCGAACACCTTGTGTGCACTATTAAGTTAAGCATGAAATTGGCAAAATTCTTGCACACAAGGGCTCAAACAATCAAGGGGGACATTGCCCAACACAATTCAAACAAACTCCATGCATTCCCCTCAATCAATTGCACAAAAATCACAAGATTCAATGAGGTTCTCTAAACATGCACCCTAACACCCAATTCTCCACAATTAACATAGTTAAGGGCAAAATCAAACCTGGAGATCCAAGTAGAGGTGTAGGGGATGATGAGGGGAGGGCGATGGAAGCGACGAAAAGCCGAAAAAGTGCCCGGAAGTGCTCGTCGGAGCCTCACCGGAGTCTCGCCGGCAATCGCCTCCAGCGACAAAAACGGCGGCCAAATCTCCTCAAAATGGAGGGATAGGCCGCTTTTGGTGTGGGAAGGGTGGGTTTGTTGTTGATTTCGTGAAAATATGACAAAAAATGGCCGAAAAAATCGAAATGGGGTGGTTTTGTCGCGGTTTTCCGGCGAGGATCAGAGGATTCCGGCGAGGATTTTCCAAATTTCTGACCACTCGGCCGTGTCGGCCGAATTTATAGGCCGTGGCTCGACCACACGGCCAGGCTCGCACGGCCGTGTGAGGTGCAGGTTTGCCCGTCTTGGCCGATACGGCCAGGCCGAGGAATTCCACACGGCCGTGCGTTTTGCACTTTTGGCCGTGTGGAATTTGCCGAGAGCTCGCACGGCCAATGGAAAAAATCCACACGGCCGTGCGATAAAATGAGTTGCCCGTGTCGGCCACACGGCCAGGCCGCTCCAATCCACATGGCCGTGCGAGTTGCACTTTTGGCCGTGTGGAAATTGCCGAGAGCTCACACGGCCAATGGAAAAAATCCACACGGCCGTGTGAGTTTCAGGCTTGGCCGTGTGAACTGCTGGAGCCCCGAATTCAACCTGTTTTCACTCAAAAACGACATTCGACTCTGGAACAACATCTCAAGACTCAAAAAACACAAAAACACAAGGAAAAAATAGTAAGAAAATGCAAACCTCGGTGGGGTTGCCTCCCCACAAGCGCTTTTTTACCGTCTTTTAGCTGGACGCCAGTAGAGGAACTAAGGGTCCTCGAGCTTGATCAGCAGCTCTGCGCGCTCGACAGCACCTCCTAAATACAACTTTAGGAGGTGGCCATTCACCTTGAATGGCTCGGTTTGAGCATTGCTGATCTCCACCGCACCGTGCGGGAAAACTTGGGTGACCGTGAAGGGACCCGACCACCTCGAACGGAGCTTACCCGGGAAGAGTTTCAGGCGTGCATTGAAAAGCAGAACACGATTACCTGCCTGAAACTCTTTCGGGCCCCTCAACCGAGCGTCGTGGAGACGCTTGGTGCGCTCCTTGTAGAGCAGGGTGTTCTCGTAGGCGTGGTAACGCCACTCCTCCAACTCCAGCAGCTGCAACTTACGTTCTATACCTGCAACACTCAAATCAAGGTTTAGCAGCTTAATGGCCCAGAAGGCCTTGTGTTCTAGCTCTACCGGCAAATGGCACGCCTTCCCATAGACAAGCCTATAGGGAGAAGTGCCAATCGGATTTTTATAGGCAGTCCTATACGCCCAAAGAGCATCATCGATCTTGGTGGACCAATCCTTGCGGGACTGATCCACCGTTTTTTCAATAATTCGTTTTAGCTCCCGGTTCGTCAGCTTGGCCTGCCCATTTGACTGGGGATGGTAGGCCACCGACACCTGATGCTTAACACCATAGCGAGAGAGGAGTTTAGTGAATTTCCCTTGAAAATGGGTTCCTCTATCACTAATGATGGCGTGGGGTGTCCCGAACCGGGAGAACAGCTGCTTCAGAAATGAGCAGACCCGTCTTGCATCATTGGTGGGCATGGCTTGAGCTTCTGCCCACCTCGAGACGTAGTCTACTGCAACCAATATGTACAGATTGCCAAAATATGGAGGGAATGGGCCCATGATATCGATACCCCAAACATCAAAAATTTCACAAATAACAGAGATATGTTGGGGCATCTCATCCCGGGAAGAAATGTTACCTGACCTTTGGCAGCGGTCGCACTGGCGTGCGAAGGAGTCTGCATCGAGTCTGCATCCTTGAAGAGCGAGGGCCAATAGAAGCCCGACTGTAGCACCTTCCGCGCCGTGCGGTTACCTCCATGGTGACCTCCAGTAGGTCCCTCGTGGCATTGAGACAGGATGTCTCCCATCTCGTGCTCCATGACACAGCGCCGGATCACGCCGTCTGCTCCGGTTCTGAAGAGGTAAGGATCCTCCCAGAAGTAATGCTTCAGATCGGAGAAGAACTTGCGCTTTGCATGAGTAGCCATCCCCTTGGGTAACTGCTTGCCCACCAGATAATTGGCAAAGTCAGAATACCAAGGGGCCACGCTGTCCACCAGTGTCATCGCCAGCAATCGCTCACCCGGGAAGGAGTCATCGATCTCTTCCACGAAGTTGTCCACCGGAGGGGCTTCCAATCCTGAAAGATGATCTGCAGCAACATTCTCGGCTCCTTTCTTGTCCCGGATTTCTATGTCGAATTCCTGCAGAAGCAGGATCCAGCGGATGAGCCGAGGCTTTGCATCAACCTTGCTCATCAAGTAGCGAATCGCCGAGTGATCTGTGTAGACCACCACATGGGAGAGCACCAGATATGGCTGGAACTTGTCAAATGCATACACCACGGCGAGGAGCTCCTTCTCAGTGGTGGTGTAGTTCTCCTGTGCATCGTTCAAGGTCTTCGACGCGTAGTAGATGAGCTGGAAGTGCTTTTCGCGTCTCTGACCCAGAACTGCTCCGACTGCATAGTCACTCGCATCGCACAGCAGCTCAAAAGGGAGAGACCAGTCAGGAGTTACCATGATAGGGGCATGGGTCAGCTTCTCCTTTAGAGTCTCAAATGCAGCTGTGCACTCGGGAGTGAACTGGAATGGTGCATCCTTCTCCAGCAGCTTGGTCAAAGGCAGGGCAATCTTCGAGAAATCTTTAATGAAGCGCCGGTAGAAGCCTGCATGACCCAGAAAGCTGCGAATCCCCTTCACAGAAACGGGAGGAGGTAGCTTACTGATCGTCTCAATCTTCGCGCGATCCACCTCAATCCCCTACTTGGAGATCTTGTGCCCGAGCACAATCCCCTCACGGACCATAAAATGGCACTTCTCCCAGCTGAGTGCCAGATTCATCTCTTCACACCTCTTCAGAACGAGTTCCAGGTTATGGAGACAATGAGAGAAGGAGTCTCCATAAACCGAGAAGTCATCCATGAAGACTTCCATGATCTCCCCGACCAATCTGTCGAAGATCGCCATCATGCATCTCTAGAAGGTCGCCGGTGCATTACACAGCCCGAATGGAATCCTCCGGTAAGCAAAAGTGCCGAAGGGGCAAGTGAATGTGGTCTTCGCCTGATCCTCTGTTGCAATAGGAATCTGGAAATAACCAGACATGCCATCCAGGAAGCAATAAAATTCATGCCCAGCCAATCTCTCCAGTATCTGATCAATGAAAGGTAGGGGAAAATGATCTTTCCTGGTGGCGTCGTTTAGGCGCCGGTAATCGATGCAGACTCACCAGCCGGTCACGGTCCGCATCGGGATCAGCTCTTTCTTCTCATTTGGGACCACAGTCATCCCGCCTTTCTTCGGGACCACCTGAGTGGGGCTGACCCACTTGCTATCAGATATAGCAAAGATGATCCCTGCATCCATGAGCTTCACAATCTCTGCCCGGACCACTGCCTCCAAGTAAGGAGACAATCTCCTCTGCGGTTGCCTGACTGGCTTAACCTCATCCTCCATCAGGATTCTGTGGGAGCAGAAGGATGGGCTAATGCCTCTGATGTCTGTGATCTTCCATGCCATGGCCCGGGCATACTTCTGCAGCAAAGCCACCAGCCTGCTCTTCTGCTCGGGTGTCAGATCCGAGCTAATAATGACCGGGAGCTTATTCCCCTCCCGGAGAAATGCATACTCCAGGTGAGAGGGGAGGGGCTTAAGCTCCAGCTCTGGTGGCTCCTCCAATGATGTAGCGATCCGAGGCAAGATATGGATCGGCTTGAATGGTATCTCTCGCCCCTCGATCATGGCCTCGTCTAGCTCCGCGAGTTGCTCCTCCAACTGCATGTCCTGTGATGCCTGTTCCCCTAGCAAAAGAAAACGCTCAAGGAAATCATCAGCAAAATCAACAACAACATCACAGTAATCTAGATCATCATGGAGCTGGGGGTGTTTCATATTATCAGAAACAGAGAAGGTGATTTGTTCACCCCCAGCTCGCAAAATCAGTTTTCCATCATTCACATCAATGAGCGCCTTGGCAGTGGCGAGAAAAGGTCTACCCAATATCAATGGCACATCCACATCCTCATTTATGTCCAAAATCACAAAATCAACAGGATAAGAGAATGGCCCTACTGCGACTATCAAGTCCTCTGCAATGCCCCTAGGATGCACAATGGATCTATCAGCAAGTTGAATGCTCATCCTAGTATCACTGGGTTCACCTAGGCCTAGCTTTTTAAACAGTTTATATGGCATGACATTAATGCTAGCGCCTAAATCCGCCAAGGACTTCCCTATATGCAAACTACCAATCATGCAAGGGATAGTGAAACTCCCTGGGTCTTTTCGCTTCTCTGGTAGTTTGTTCTGCAGGATGGCAGAACACTCCTCATTGAGCATCACCGTTGACAGCTCCCCAAGCTTCCTCTTGTTGGTGAGGAGATCCTTCATGAACTTGGCATACTTGGGCATCTTCGATAATGCCTCCACAAAGGGCATGCTTATATTCACCTGCTTCAGCATTGCCATGAACTTGGCAAACTCAGTATCCAGTCGGTCCTTGTGCAACCGAGTAGGAAAGGGGAGCTGGGGTACATACTCCTTCACCACTGGTTGCGGTTTAGGAGCAGGCACCTCAACCTCCTTCTCCATTTCATCTTCATTAGCTGGAAGTGCTGAAGCAGGGGTCTCTCTCTCTTCTGCCCGAACAGGTGGATCGGCGGTCATCTTGCCACTCCTGGTAGTAATGGCCCCGCAGTGCTCATTCGGGTTCTACGGGTGAGGGATGGTCTGACCGGGTAGAGTACCAGGAGGCCTCTTAGCTACAGCCTGGGCAACACTCCCAAGCTGGGTCTGGATATCCCTAAGAACAGCCTGCGTGTTTCTCTGACCAGCTTCTAGCTCCATGAATTTTCCTGAAGCTTTCTCCATGAACTGCTCGATGTTGTTGAACTTGTTTGCACTGGAGGTGGCCAGAGAACCCACCAGATCTCGCAGTTCCGTTATCGGGTCACTCTGAGCTGGGGCTGCAAGTGCTGCCCCTGTCTGCTGAAATGGTCGCACCTGTGACTGAGGTGGAACTGGCCCCTGTCTGGGCGGGTAGAGTGGCTGTTGTGGCTGCTGAAATTGCCCTTGTCTGGGCTGGTAAGGAGGCCTCTGGAAGCCAGGTGGTCCCTGGGGGACTGGTGGTTTGGAATTTGCCCCACCCCAGCTGAAGTTGGGATGCTGGCGCCACCCCTCGTTGTAAGTGTTGCTGTAGGGGTCGAAGCGCCTGGCATTGCTGATGAAGTCCACCTGCTCCTGGGGAGTAGATGACTCCCTCATCGCCTGACAGTCCTCCACGGTGTGATGGGAGCTCTCACACCACTGGCAGTGCATCGCCTGCGGCTGTCCTGTACCTGTAATCAATCCAGAGCGATCTATAGCTGAAACCAGCTTTGATACCACCTGCACCAAATCAGATGACTGGGTGGCAACAGCATGCACACCCCGCCCTGGTGCTCTTCTCGATCTCCTGGAAGTGCCCCAATCATATCCCTGCTCTGCCATCTCTTCAAAAAGTTGATTCAGCTGTGGCGGCGTTTTTGTGAGCATATTCCCGCCACAGACCGAGTCAATCAGCTGCTTGTCCTCCGGGAAGAGAGCATGATAGAAGGTTCCCACCTTGAAAGCATCAGTAAAACCATGGTTGGGACACTTGAGGAAGAGACTGGTGTATCTCTCCCAAGCATCCCTGATGGTCTCATCCTCATCCTGAGCAAAATGGGTAATTTGCTTCTGCAGGTCCGCTGTCTTGGATGGAGGGTGGTAGCGGGTGAGAAACTTGTCCGCCAGGTTGGCGAACGTGGTGATGGAGCCCGGAGGTCGAGTGTCTAGCCACTCCTTGGCCTGCCCCTCCAGGGTGAACGGGAAGTACCTCAACTGGATGGCATCTGCGGGGACCCCATTGATCTTGATTCCATCAATGAGCTCGTGGAATCGCCTGAGATGTGATCGGGGGCACTCCCCCTCTTTGCCACGGAACATCACTGAACCGCGCAGCATGGTGATTACTGAGGTGCTCAACTCAAAATTATTGGCTGGGACATGAGGGTGTTGAATGGGTGACCTCATGTCTGCAGCCCAGGCGGTCCAGTAATGTCCCATGGTCTGCTCCTCGGGATTGACCACATCTTGGTCCTGTGGATCAGCCATCTCCTCTTCTTCAGTGATCTGTAGCTGTGCTAGCGCCTCCTCCGCAGCCAGTCGCGCCTTTAGAGCCCGCTTGAAGTTTCTGCAGGTTCGTTCAATCTCCTGGTCTAATGGTAGTAGATCTCCCGACTGGCTATGGGTCATGCACTACCTGCACACAATCAGCATAAGCAACCCGTGAAGGCACACAGGTGGAAGAGATAAAATTCAATAAATAAAAAGCTAGAGTAACAAATTCTCACGTTTCCCCTATAACCTAGAGTGTTCCCCGGTAACGGTGCCAAGAACAGAACTCCACTACTGGAATTGGATTCCAGTACAAAGTAGTAAACTGGCTAACTCTCGTATAGCCAATCTCCTACTACCGAATGATGACACTCTAGCAACCTAATCAGATTCTATCTATCTGATTGCAGCAGGAATCAGGAAAAGTTGATCAGACTTCAATTGACTCAATAAACATGCATCATTCGATTAAAATGAAACAGTAATATCATCCCAAGTCATTACAATCAATCCCTAACAAATAGAACTAGGGTTCTTCATCCCCAAGTGAGAGAAGGGTTCTACTCCATAGAGAGAGAGAGGAAAACAAGATACAAAGCAGTCATACTCATTACAATGGGAAGAATCTGCTCTGGGATGATGATTTCCACTCCTATGACAATCTCCAAGCTTGATATGATGAAACCCAGCTCCAAGATAGCTACTAGGATGTGTTCTTCGTACTTTCTCTCTCTAGGGCTTTGTTTTTGCTCAAAAAGTCCGATTTTCTCACTTGCAGCCCGAAATTGGGTTAAAACCAGGAATTCCCGACTCACACGGGCAGGGCCACACGGCCGTGTGGCATACCCAGTTGCTCGTGTAACTTCAAAACGCCGCGTATCGATTAATGGGACTTCAGTCAACCTACACGGCCAGGGTCACACGGCCGTGTGGATCACCCTGCCTGGCCGTGTGAAGCCTCGCATAATTCCACACGGCCAAACCACTCCTTCACACGGCCGTGTGGATATCAGGGCAATCCGTGTGAAGGCTCGCACAATCTCACACGGCCAAATAGGTCACTTGCACGGCCGTGTGAATTGTGGGTGTGCCCGTGTGGCTTCCTTTTTTACTTGCCTCACGCCCAATCGTCGTCCAATCGACCCCGAACTCGCTCCTAAACCTTCATTCACTTGCTAGGACCTGAAATATCACAAACAAACACAACCTAGCGTGAAATCGGCCTAAAACACGAGAATTACCATCCCAAACGGCTCCAGAATAGGGGTAAAAACATGTGCAATTAACGGCTTATCAAACTCCCCCACACTTAACCGTTTGCTTGTCACCAAGCAAACCAAGTCAGACACAAGGTAAGCTCACATATTTCAATCATACCAACATTGGGGACAAATCATATAGGCACAGAACACGTGAATCATACTGGTTTTCAAACATCAACACATGAACAACCTTAATAGCAACCTGGACAACCACCACAGAAGACGTTCGAGTGCAGCAAAATCAAGTAAAGAAGGTGTCTCCCTTCTGTTCATCAACCAACCTAGACTTGACTCAATCACTCACTCAAGACAGTCAACTCATGCACAAAACTCAAGATATCAGAATAGAGACCGAGCAATCTAGGTCCTCACCGGCTAAAGAGTGTAAAGAAAAAGGAAATGAATCGCTCACTCTCGACCAGTGGGATCAGGACAATTTGATGCGAAAAATGCGCATACTATTCCTCTCAATTCCTAACATCTCTTCACCATGACGGCAGCCTCTAAAGGTTAGAGTTCACATAAATGGTTGTCATCACTAACTAATCAGGAGGTCTTAGACACAGGTTCAAATGACTGGCTAGGGTCTTAGACACAGGTTCAAATGACTGGCTAGGTTCAAATGCGCATACTATTCCTTATCCATGACGAGTCAAGCAACGAACTTTGAATCCTAATGCTCTGATACCATGTAAAATAGTCGAATGAAGAAAATAAAAGGACACAATGATTTACGTAGTATCCCCGGAAACCAGGACTAATTCACAGAGAACAAAACTCTCATGGCGATGTTCCACTAATATGCTGAATGAGTGTTTTCGGCTAGGGTTGTGAAAACCAAAAACCACAAGCCAACCTAATATACCCATCCACAAATGACACAGGTATATAAGCAAATTACAAAAACACCATTTTAAAAGTAACACAGTCCAAAATCGTCCAATACGAAATCAGATCTTCCTCTATTTTTAGGCACATGGCATTGAGCAACCGATTGTCTCTCTGATCATTCCACACTACATACGAGTTGTAGAGGATGCACCTCACTAGGGCCCAGTCGTTTCATCAAAGTGGCGACACCGGTGGGATGGTTAACGATAGGCCGAGAACCAACCACCACTTAATGCTTTCGTTCTTTCTAATAGTTGCGGCTACATATTTGATTTCAAGTATGTGGTGCGAGCGGCAGGATTGCTGGAAGGGAAGGGAAAATTTTCGAAGGATTTCCTCAGCAGGGAAAGGGGTTGACCGCTCCACTTATTTTTTTCGTTGAATCCATTACTTTTTTTCTTCTTCAAAACATTAACTTAGAAATAGAAAAAAAAAAAAAATAGGGTCAATAATTTTTCTGTTTGACGCGGCAACCATATCAGCTATCAATGAAGCCACAACGGTAAAATGAGTTGACTGTTAGTAGAGACGGTCAATATCAGCTGGATTATTTATAACATTTAGTTACCGACAAGTAAGGGTAGTAAGTAAAGTAAATTACTCTTTGAAGGTATAAAACTCCGGATTTTACTACGGTGACATGCATGTTACCGTGACATGGACTTTTCGGTCGACCTAATCCTAAAGGTGGTCGACCGAATTGACTAATTTTGACAGCACGAGAAAACATTGCGGTCGACCTAATCCTAAAGGAGGTCAACCTCAATTCGTAGCATAATTGATGAGTCCTTGTTATCATTATTTATGACTAGTTATGATGGTTTAAAGCGTAATTTATTCGAGCAAAAGAACCACACAAATCGACATACATAAGCAAAAAAGACACGGGGCATAGGTTGACTTTCTTGTATTCGGCCGACCTCGTACCGGATTAGGTCGACCTCGACACCAACACTTGATCTTCATTTTACGTCAAATGATTGGATAAATTGATAGAACACTTATCGTCTATTTGGTCGACCTCTTTCTTTATCTGGTTGACCATGTTGTTAATGACTGCCATCAAGTGGTCGACCTATATACCTTTACGGTCGACCATGTTGTTTCTCACGCCAACGAAATGGCCGACCGAGGTTTATCCTGGTCAACCAAAAATAACAACTTAAGCTAAGAACGGTCGACCAAGTGGTCTTTGAGGTCGACCGCAATGCTTTCTCGTGCTGCCAAATTAGTCAATTCGGTCGACCAAAAAGTCCATGTCACGGTGACTTGCATGTCATAGTAGGCATACCCTAAAACTCCATAATCTTAAAATTCACGAACAAATTCAACAAGTAAGAGTGTGTTTGGATAGAAGAATTTGGATTTGGTATTTGTTATTTGGATTTCTAAATGTCAAATCAATTGTTTGGATATTAATTACATTACATATTTGGATTTGTGCCAAATTCATGGGGTGATTTCCAAATACATATCTAGTGTATTACTTGTCAACTTCAATTACATTTCAACAACTCGTGATTTGAAATTCTTCCTAAAAAAAAAATTGGACTTATTTGTAAAATTTTAAAAGATTAGGTACAATAGTGTGAGGCAAAACATATAAAGGTACCAAATCATAATTTTACAAACAAAATTTCTGGATATTTTTCTAAACTTTTAAAAGTTTAGGTACTGAATTATAAGAAAAAATAAATTTGGGTACCAAATGTAATTTACCAAAATTTGTAGTAAGTGACCAAAAAAATTCAAAATAAAAAATCATAAAATCGAAAATGCAAACAAATTACAAATGAGTATCCAAACAACGAATTTGAATTACATGTATTTCAAATGCTAGTATTTGAAATACACCTATCCAAACGCACAATAAAAGAAACAAAAAATTAATCTTATAATGAATCAAATCTAAAAAAATCAAAATTTTCCAAAACAATCATTTTAACCAAAACCCTCATTTTCAACTCTAACAAGCAAACTACCTCTTAATATACTATATCATTATAATATGCATCCCAATCCTTATTGTCAATTCACAATTTCCGCTTATCTCTCCCCACTCTATAGTCGCCTTTCGACATTGATTTCCTACATATGAGTACTCGCTTGAGTTATAAAATTCTCCGTAATTATGACTTGTGTTATGGTACAAAATTCAGGAACTACAAAACATACGTCTTGTAACTAATATGGTTATTTAATGGTGATATAATTCATATAAGCAGTAATAAAATACAGAGTTTTATAAGTTTTGCTATATGCAGTTTTGTCCCTCTTCCCATTATTGAACCTAGGGGTGGGCATACGGTTTGGTAAAACCAAACCGAACCTAACCTAACCAAACTGAATATAAACCGAATTGAAACCGAATTAATATTATTCGGTTAGAATTCGGAAGGAAAAATGGCATATTTCGGAAATCAGGGTCCTTTCGATCGAACCGAATTTGCGAATTCCGAACTGAATAACCGAAATACTATAATTGCAAGCTCCAAATGGTGGATTTTTATGTTTTTACTTATTATGAGACTTAAATATTTGTATCATGTTTGTGTTTTATGACTTATGTGTTCAAATATTGGATTTTATCATTGGTGTGCATATAATTGCATATTTATTGTTTACATTAGGGGTGAAAAATAATTTAAAAAAGAGAAGATACAAGCTAACTACACAAGTTCGGTTTTGTATGAAAAATCGAACCGAATCAAATTATAATTCAGTTTGAATCGATCGAACCGAATTATAATTTGGTTCAAATTCGGTTTGAGATTTAATGATATTCGGGGACCCGGTATGCATTATTTTGATTCGGTTCGGTTTGAACCGAGCCGACCGAACCTCCTGAACCCAAGCCGATAAAGTGGCACTCATTGAATAATTTTGAAAGCTAACATAAAAGCACTTTATATACTAAAATATTAATAATGGCCTACTTAGTGAAACAGATAAGGACTTCCTGGAAACACTATCTTCCCTTTGGCCTCACGGTTTCAAAGGCGCACCACGCCTTAATTTGTGGGTGTTGGGGCCACTTAGCTTCAATCCATACACCATTACCAGCTTGCTTAATTAGCTTTTAGTCGAATCTTTATTTTATCCATTGAGATATTGAACTTTGATTTGTTTATAGTTAGGAGGCTTCTATTCTTTCCTTTTTCTAAATCAAATCATTTTTCTATTAAGAATGCATTGGTACTTTAAGCTTCTATATCTTTCCTGATAGTTTGCTTCTGATCAGAGCATTTTTTTGCGAGAATGCAGTAGTAGGGATTGGATTAGGTGCTAACCTTTATAGGGGTTAGCACCGTGATAATTAGCAAAAAACGCTACTAAAAATAACGAAATCACTACGGATTATTATAAAATCAATACAACATCTAAGCTAAATCACTACTAATTCAAACTAGTAGTAGTTTTTCCCTTGGTTAGGACGGTGCTAACTATTGTACAATTAGCACCGTAGCCGTTCCCTGCAGTAGTATAATGAGAAGGAGAACTTCGGTTGTTGATTAGTGATTACGAAGAAAAAGAATGGGAATTGGCGGTAGCCGTGATGGTGAAATATGTTGGCTGGGAACTTGTTGTGAACGAAAGGACCGGATTGGAGACTCAAAATCGACCGTAGATATGGTAATGCGTTGATTCATTCATTCATTGAGTAATTTGATCTAATTCTTATGACTTATATAATATTTAAATAGACCTATATATACCTTTTAATGGTTTTGGATTTAACTTTGATTATAATTGGGTTATCTCAAATAGGTCTAATTTGAATCTAGATAATTGCATAAAAATACAATATCAATAATTTCATTAACTACCTTCAATCCCTTTATATGTACTTTTAATGTAGTAGATCGTTTGAATGAGAGATTGTTTTTTTGAAGGATTTATGAGAAATTTGGACCTCAAATCCCTTAATTAAAAAAAAAACAAGATATTTGGAATAAAGAATTTGGGTTTAAATCTTTGTTTAGATATGGATAAGGGTTTTTAATAAAAAAAATTACAATTTCGTCCTTCTTCTAAACAAACGAGTTATTTAGGTGAAATCCGAACAGGTGAGAGATTGTGGAAAAATCCTGAACTACAATACCTCACCCAAACGACCTCTAATTTTCTTTTGAACTTCCAAAAAGCTGTGGTCTAATTTACATGCGCGGGTGCTAAAAAAAAAATTGCGTATCAGTACATCTCAAAAGAAAAATTATACAAATTTGATTTGAGTCATAATACGTTGATTTTGGACAATACATAGGATAATTTTTGCCAGGCGTTTTCTTCATAAAATATTAACCAAGAAAAAGCCAACTCTACCGATAGTCCTCCACTGGCCAACAAAGCAACTCACTCCCTCCCTGTTGTATATATATATACCAAGTCCTTCAGTGCTCCTCCTTATCGCCATCTCCATCTCCATCTCCTCTCTGGTTGTTAATAAAAGGAGGAAGCTAAGAGAGATCAGGAAGGAAGATGGGAGCTCTCGATTACATCTCAAGCTTTTGTAGCGTCACCAGCACAAGAAGAAGCAAACGCAAACCGATGCAGGTACCTAGCTAATTTATTATGCATATAATAATAAACTTCCAGTGAATTAGTTTAGTTCCACTACTAATCCCGACATAACTAAAATTTCTCGTTTTGCTTGCAGACGGTGGAGATCAAGGTGAAAATGGATTGCGATGGTTGCGAAAGAAGAGTCAAAGCTGCTGTTTCCTCCATGAAAGGTGAATTCAATTCCCTCAACAACCCATTTTGCTTATTCCTTCACTTTCATCATCTTCTCACCAAGCTAGCAATAATAACAAACCAATTGGAAAGCTAATGGTTTCAGTTTTTTTGGTTTTAAACCAAAAAGCAACTTAATGATTTTGGTTTGGTTAAAACCGAAAAAACCAATAGAAACCAATAAGAACAAAATTATTTATCAACAAATATTTTTTTGTTTTTTTTTTTTTTGACATGCATGCCAACCAATAATTTGTAATGACCGTTTATCATTATTATGACGTTTATTCAATAAAAAGGAGGAAAATGAGAATAAATATGAGTGTATCAGTACATGTTGGTTTTTTGGTTATCCAAACCAAAACCAAAACCATTAAAGCCCTTATTGGTTGGCAACCGAAAACCAATAAAGATTTTAATGATTTTGGTTTTTGGGATTTGGTTTTTGATTTTTGGTTTTTCATACTTAATAGTTTGGTTAACCAAACCAAAACTAAGCAAACCAAGTAATTAATTAAACGATCAATTAATGTTCCCTATTTCGTGGAAATTAAAGAAAGGACGTTCCTTGTCCATCCCTAGTGTATAAATAATAATGTTTTATGGGTTTATCGTTGAACCGCTCGACTCATCCCTTTCTTTTAAGGAAAAATCCTTGATGGATCGTTCCAGACCATGTAACACATATATAAATTGAAAAACGTATTCATTTTCCGAATGTTCACTTTGTAAATAAGAAGTATGACTAAGTACTCTCACGCTTCGATCCCTACAATATATAGAAGGATGTTTCGATAATGTATTTGTAGTTAGAATTCCTTATTATAGTTTAGAAATTTTTGTGTTTTACACTTTTAGATTACCAAAATATTGTACGTTTTCATATAAAAAATTGTGTACAAAATCAGGTAAAATTGACTGTACAAATGCGGTGGAAGTGCCTGAAATCACGCTTTTGTATACCTTGATCAATAGGTTAATTTAGGAGCAATCACATCGTTTTGTCTTACTGAAAAGTGAAAAGAAATTAAAAAAAATAAATAAATAAAAACTTTCAAACACTAAAGGCTCTCCCTCTCATGTCTTATCTTTCAACCCGATTCATCACTCCTTCCAATACCTCCCTACAACCATCATCTTTCCTAGGGGTGGAGTTTCGGTTATCGGTTAACCGATCAATTGAACCGATAACCGGTCGGTTATCCACTAACCGATAACCAAGACAAACAAATTTCGATCGATGTTCGGCGGCTGGCCGATATGGTTTTGGACTTAGAGATGGTTTGGTTAACCGAAAACCGAGATAACCAAAGCCTAAATCCCTATTTTGGTAAGTTGTCAGTAAGGAAGGGCCGGCAGTTTAATTAATCGATAACCGACCGATCGATTACCGGTTATAACTGAACTAACCGAAGCTCCACCATAATCTTTCCAATGTTTTGCGACCTTCCCTTGCCTCCAGTTGGTTTTGTCACCTTCCCCTCTATTTCATCCTTGTTGCTGCACCTATCGTCTTTTCCGTACTGGTCGTGTAAGTTCTATTTTCCTAGTCTCAATGATAAATATTTGTCACATTCCTCTCTCTACATCACTTATCGTTGCACATATCGTCTCTTTCATCTACACATGTTGAATAATAGGGGGAAAAAATAACATTTCATTTCCCGCAATTGTCTCTGGCCGTGTAAGTTTTATTCTACTAGTTCCCGTGATGAATATTTCCCGTAATTAGTCACTAACAATATAATTTTATTCTCCATGTCCAATAATAATTATAGTGTTGGCAGATAAACTCTCAATTTGATTATAAAATCTATAAACTTTTGACTGATCCTATTCTCATTGTATTGAATATAATGCTCATTTCAGTTACTATAAATTCTTTAATCTATAATTGCTAAAGTTGATGAATAATGATTATATGAAACTATTTATGTGAAATTCCCATTGATATTTGTTTATTGTTTACGTGCGGCGGAGGGGGGCCGGTCAATAATAATGTAATATATATTGGACACCGGTACTTCGGAATAAAGCGACAGCTCCCAATTATTTAATTCCTAATGATTAGATAATAATTAAGTAGTTTAGTGTAAGTGGCAGGCAATGATGGATATGTTTTTATTCTTTGACGTGACAATGATGATAGGAAATTCAGATTTACATATTCGGACCAAAACCCAATGTTGGAAGTTGCGATTGTTTGATTGTTTTGTTGAGATTGTCATTATGTATGTATTGTTTCCAATGCATCGTTTTTTTGTTTTTTTAGCAGAAACAATACATGGATTGTTTTTATGATGTGCCAGAAACTATTACTCATTTTGAGTGATTGTTGTATCTCAACTTTTAGTTGTGATTGTTGAGATAGTTGAGTTGAGATTGTTTTGTCTCAGCTTTTAGCTGATGCGACATACACAATCACACATACCAAACGTTGTATTCTACAATGCATCAAATTCGACAATACATGTATAATATTATACATGCATTCTCAACAATACATCTATTTAACAATCGCAACTTCCAAACGACCCCATAGAATACGGACTAATATCATTTTTGTAGAAATAATTATTTATTTATGAATTAAATTGGCATGCACTGCTGCAGGAGTGAAGACGGTGGAAGTGACGCGGAAGCAGAACAGGGTAGTGGTTCACGGGTACGTGGATCCGAATCGGGTGCTGAAGCGGGTGAAGAGCACCGGAAAGGTGGCCGAATTCTGGCCGTACGTCCCTCAGCATCTGGCCTACTACCCCTACGCCGCCGGGGCGTACGACAAGAAGGCTCCCGCCGGCTTCGTCCGAAACGTCGTCCAGGCCTTCCCGGCACCCTCCTCCAACGCTGCTCCCGAAGAAAACTTCGTCTCCTTCTTCAGCGACGACAATGTCCATGCTTGTTCCGTCATGTAACTAATGGTGTCAACTCATTTGTATCGACAAATGATATATATAACTTGATTAGCGTCATGATCACTTGTTGATGAGCATGCATCCAGTTGGTTTTTTTTCCCCGAAGTAAATCACTAAACGAAAAGAGGAAAACAAGCACTAGACACCAAATTTAGGTGCTTCACATTCAATGATAATGTGACTACTCCATGGAGAGTGGAAGATCTCAATTCTTATACTTCATTGTATCCACGTTGAATACGAGGATACAATGAAAAAAAAACATGTTCCTTTTTCTAGTTCTATGAGGAATAGTTCTATCCAAGAATTAGACTGGACACGACGATTCTTCACAATCTATCCTCAATCGATCAAACTCATTGGCTTCCTCAACGGAGACATTCGTAGGGTCCTAATATCGTTGCATACTATACGTGGCGATTGCCACGGCGTATGGTAGGGGTAAACCTTACAAATATCAGACAACTCATATGTTGTCAGGATCGAAGTTACTAGTCAAATAAAATCTAGTGGGATCTTGCCTATGCAACGCCAAGTCCTCTTGCTTCCTTCACTAGCTAGTAGCTTGGTTTTCTCATTTTGCATTGTTTTAATTTCAATTTTCTAAATCCAAGGGAAACTTAGACACAATAGGAACCCAACCTCCACAGTTGAATTTTCTAAGGCATATAGAACTCGTCCCTCACCACCTAATTAAGTGGTTGTACGAGCTCCGCTTTCCTTTGCATTTTGGTGATCTAAGTGCCTATTCTGACCCCCTCATATTTGTTTAGTTTTCTGCTTTTTGTTTTATATTTTTTATATTCTCAAGTTTATGTGTGTATTGATCGACATTCGAGGATAAACCCACTATTCGACCAATGTTCAAAATTAGACAACAACAAGCCTCCATCTGTACCTTAAACTCTAGGAGGCATAATTGAACAAACTCTCTACGAGTACACGAGGCTTGAAGTTGCGAACATAGCTTCCAACATCTTCCTACCTCCAATTTTTTATTCTGAATTCGAGCTAATTAGGACTTCAACAATCCATATGGTCCAAAATATTGGAATATTTAAGGGCTACAAACGATAATCCATTTGAACATATCAAACCATCTCTTAAGATATGTAATTCTGCACATCATACAGGTGTTTATCTAAAGATAATCAAGTACGCCTGTTTCCTTTCTACATCTAAGGGAAAGCCAAGAACTGGCTAAATCGTCAACCACCAAGAACTTTCCAAACATGGGAGGCGATGATCCATACCTTTATAGAAGAGTTCTTCCCTCTATGATGAACTAACGATCTAAGGGACCAGATTGTTTGCTTCCAACAATGTGCTTCTGAGTCATTATACAAAGTATGGGAGCGATTTCAGGAGCTCATTCGATCTTGCCCTCATCATGGGTTTGGTCAAGAATAGTTAGTAGACATTGTTGGCAAAGGTCTCGACCTAAACACCACGTTGATGGTAATCAAGTTGCCAAAAGTGATGTAATGCAAATGACTGCCCTTCGAGCTCTCAAGCATCTCACATCAATGGCTACCAAATGATTGGGGCCTAATTATACACATATGTACCCTTTTACTTGATCATTTGACTTTGGATTTATCATCCTTGATCTCGATTTATGCTAGATTGTTCGTGGTTGAGTGCATGTTAGGTCCTAGCTGGTGAAATTGGCAAAAGGAGTGAGAGTTGGACCAATAGGAGCCAAAATGGGGGAAAATGAAGAAAAGTGAAAAGTTCATGTTTCATAGCACATTCTCCCGACAAGGGTGTGAGGATCGCAAGCAAACCATGACATCTGCAGAGAGGCCAATAGTGTTTCGGTGGAGCTTGAAGATGTCACGGTTTACAAACTGTGACAAATGCAAGGAGGCAATGAAACTTGCAAACTTTCCAAGGGACATATGCATCTCGCGGCCTAATGTAAACCTCACGGTTGCAAATCGTGAGAATTGCACAAAAGCGAAACGACACAAATTGGGTTGACCCCACAGTTTGGATGTAAACCTCACGATCGTGATGGGCAATCATGACATTTGCTCTGCTGGGCTATAAATAGGAGTTGAAAATAGATTTTTTATATAGGTGTCTAAAGTGAGAAAGTGTGAGCTGCGGGTAGAGAGAGAAAGCAACGAAGGAAATCTCTAGGTGAAGAATTGGAGCTTTCAATCCACCATTGGAGGTCAATTCCATCATAAAGGATTGGAGATTGAAGAGCAAGAGCAAGAATCCACTCCTTAAGTATGTTTTCTTCTCTTGATTTAGTGTTTTTCTCTCTTTATGACTATGAGCTAAACCCTCCTTCACTTGGGTGTTGTAGAACTTTAGCTATATGTGTTATATTAGATGAATAAAGATTTCCTTGCCTGTTTGAACTCCTTATTATTGACAGAATTGAGGTATTTCTTGGAATTAGTTTGAGTGTTTATCAAATCCTTCCAATTATTGCTATTAACCTACGGTAGAGAATATCTAATTAGGTTGATTAGAGAACTTATCTCATTCTTCACTGTGGGTCGATGGTTGGAGTGTGAAATCGGACTACTTACAATGTCATATCCAATAGTGGAAATCTATTTGGCACGCCCTAGATGTGCTATTTTACCGGATGTGGAAACTATCCCTCAAGATACTCCGTTCTAGGTAAGTTTGGATAACTCGAGAGAGAGTCCAAGTGAGAATAGGATTCTCTACAGTATAAATCATGAGCCAACAAGCATGGATCATCATTCTTTGGTCTATTTTGCAGCAGGAGGAAAATGACACACAAGTGACTTTCTCTTGATAGTTTTCAACCAAATTTTCATTGCTTTCTTTGTTGATTAGTTAATTCAAACCTCCATTTACTAAGTAAGAATTTTGTCGTGAAAGTAATAGTACATTTTCAGCGCGGGTTGAAAAATAAACTTTACTTCTGCTATACTACACCCAATCATGGTTGCACTTGGCCACGTTTGGGATAATAGTGTTAGTATGTTCGATTCACAAAGTCTTAGATGTGATCAAGGAGGACTACTCCTTTGGCCATAAAAATGACACAACAGTTAGATGATGTTGTTGGAGTATTGACATCACATTTTGTGCGGATTAAAATTGCTCTGCAGCCGTGATCTTTGTATTTTAGCCATTTTGCTCCCTTTTTGCCGTCTTTAGTTTGACTTTCAATCCTGGTGCTAAGATTACCTAGTATGGTTTGAAACATGACAAAACACGAACAAAGCCCGCGTAAACTATCTCCAAGATGGTGCAAACACATCAAACATCGCAAGTAAAAGGGGAGCAAAAGTGTGTAATCTAACCAGAATCAAAATTCCAAAGTTAACCCTTCCTATTCATATATTCTTCATGGCTATCTCCCTCATCGAGAGGAAAATGATAGTGAGCCAGACCTCTCCACTGCTCATCCTTCACCCCCCGAACCAAGCCTTCTTTCTCCTTTGTCAAGCCCTCCGATCCCTGCCAACGTCACCTAGACTCCTCACTTCATCACTCTATTTCTCAAGAATCCCAAACCTAAATACTCTTTCTGTTTCACCAAATCGTCACTCTCAATAGCGAACCGTGATTTCCATGTTTCCCAAATTGGCATCAGCAGGCGGTTATCAAGTTTGGGAATTTATTTCGAATATGTTCAACTTGAAAATCATCAAATGTGGGGATTAGTTTGGAATTAGATTTCGGATTTGTGGAAATTAATCTAAAACAGTTGAAGAAGCTAGTCAACTTGTCATTTGCTTAACACCGACCGTCGTGCCATAGTTTGCCACCGATCACCCAACACAGCTCGTCAACCAACCACTCATTCGTCACCATTATGTTCGAAGTCGCGCCATTCACAAGTTGCTACAGAGAGTGATAGAAACCAAATCCTTCTAGGTTTCTATCTTATTTATTATAATTATTGTTTGCATCATCATTTATATGGTTAGTAGTATTTTAGTCATATTAGTTTTATTATTAGGGTTTGTCATTATTCCCAAAATATGTATTTTGGCATTATGTCAGAATCAATAAAAAAGAATATTAAGAAAATATCCTAAACCCTAATCCTCTCAATCTATGCTCTGTCCCTAATTAGGTTGTTGGCCATTCGCTCTAGTTCTTCCCGAATTCTTCTTCAAATCTCTAATTCTATCTTCTACAACCCTAAATCCCCAATTATCTACTCATCTCAGATCCCACAATCCCAACCGGTAAAAATCCTAAAAATATGTTTCTATCAGAGAGTTGATGAAGAATTGAACAGATGTATACTAGTGAGTCGCCACGACTTTCACTAGGGAGTGGAAAGAAAGGGTTCTTTCATTCTTCTTCCACAAAACATATGGGAAACAATTCGATTTTTAACTTGGGATAATAAAGAGGCAATTTATACTATTATTTTCATCACAAAATAATAAAGAGTCAATTTATACTATTAACTGAAAAATTAAAATCTAATCATTTAACTAATACATCAACATATAATATACATATATATATATATATATATATATATATATATGGTGGCTACTTCGGTGCACTCACTTTTTTGGGTGCACTTAGTGCACCCAACTCTAAAAGCGTCCATAATACATCAAATTTTGAACTTTAGTACTCTCAATACAATATGATGATATGACATAGAATCATAACAAATCAATCCATTACCATAACCCCTTAACCTTCAATTTTGAATCCCAACCCAAAATCCCAAACTGTAAACCTAAACCTTAACCCTAAATTCCTAAATCCTTCGAATTAAAGTAAATTTTGAATTAATTTTTTTCAAATTCATGTGCTTTTTGTTCATAATATCATAAGCAACAATTGATACGGTTTTGACATGAATCACATGGGCAGAATGACAATTATGAGGCGGGTGCATTGAGTTGCACCCAAAAAGTGGGTGCACCGAATACGCCACCATATATATATATACACATGCGTTCATGGAATACATCCATTTCTAGTAATGTGGCAAATACGAAGATAGGGTTACGATGGTAAGAGATGTAATTTTCAAATTTTTACTATTATTAATCCATACGAAAAATTGTTTAGTAGACGACATTCTGTTACTTGACGAAACCCCCAAAGGGCGGGTGACCGATAGAAACACGCGCGAGAGAAGAGGGGAAAGAAAGGCGGGGAAGCTAGGAAGGAATTAGTGGCCCTCTTTTTCTTGTTAAATATCACAGGAAAAAGATGAAGGGCTCAGATCTCTGGAACAGAGTAACCCTATCAATCGGCCGACACGCCCCCGATTATTGCATTTTCATTCTACTTTTCTTCCGTTATTTTATTTGACAAACAGACACACACACACTAGTACGTACTCTCCTGTCTTCCTTAGCTTGTTCCCATTCTCAAAAACAAAAAACAAAAACAGTTTCTCAGAATCAGATAGCAGAGAATCGATCGATCATGGCTCTGTCGACGGCCGAGGTGGAGACGGACGAGTCAGTGCACTCCACCTTCGCTTCCCGGTACGTGCGCACCACGCTCCCGAGGTTCAAGATGGCGGAGCATTCGATCCCGAAGGAGGCGGCGTACCAGATAATAAACGACGAGCTGATGCTGGACGGCAACCCGAGGCTGAACCTGGCCTCCTTCGTCACCACGTGGATGGAGCCGGAGTGCGATAAGCTCATCATGTCCTCCATCAACAAAAACTACGTCGACATGGACGAGTACCCGGTCACCACCGAGCTCCAGGTCATCATTTCCTTCTTATTATTGGTAAGTGTTGGATTGGAGAATGTATGTAATTTTGATTATTGACGTGGTGGTGCATGCATGCAAATACAGAACCGATGCGTGAACATGATCGCCCGGCTGTTCAACGCGCCGCTCGGCGACAGCGAGGCGGCCATGGGAGTCGGGACGGTGGGATCTTCGGAGGCGATCATGCTGGCCGGGCTGGCGTTCAAGCGCAAGTGGCAGAACAAGCGCAAAGCGGCGGGTCTCCCCACCGACAGCCCCAACATCGTCACCGGGGCGAACGTGCAGGTCTGCTGGGAGAAGTTCGCCCGCTACTTCGAGGTGGAGCTCAAGGAAGTCAAGCTCCGGGAGGGCTACTACGTGATGGACCCGGCCAAGGCCGTGGAGATGGTGGACGAGAACACCATCTGCGTCGCCGCCATCCTCGGTTCCACCCTCAACGGGGAGTTCGAGGACGTCAAGACGCTCAACGATCTGCTCGCCGAGAAGAACAAGGAGACCGGCTGGGACACCCCGATCCACGTGGACGCGGCCAGCGGCGGCTTCATCGCCCCCTTCCTGTACCCGGAGCTGGAGTGGGACTTCAGGCTGCCCCTGGTGAAGAGCATCAACGTCAGCGGCCACAAGTACGGGCTGGTCTACGCCGGCATCGGGTGGGTCATCTGGAGGAACAAGGAGGATCTGCCCGACGAGCTCATCTTCCACATCAACTACCTCGGTGCTGACCAGCCCACATTTACTCTCAACTTCTCCAAAGGTAACATCACAATTCATTCATGATCAGTACTCAAGACATAGCGAATTGTAGTGCGTACTGATTAGTAGGGCTGAAAAAATTGCTCATCACCCGTCTCTCACCCTGTCTGATCAGCGGCTCCATCGCTTTTTAAATGCGCGGCTCTATGCTCTGATATGTTCTGGATCCGCAGCTGTGTTTGACCCATCCCAAGAGGGTCAAAATAAAAAAAACTGACCCGTCCCGCCCCGCCCCTAATTCCTTTGTGAACCTATCTGACCCATTAGGGTCGGGTCGGGTCGGGTTGAGCAGGAGCGGGTCAAAGGGCCTATGTTGTGCATGCACAACTGTATTAGAAAAAATTACCTTTTGATACCCAAAATTATTTTCTCTCCCAATTTAGTACATGTTTAAAATTTACGTACAAACAGGTCCACAGATTTGGTGGAAAATTACGTTTTGATACCTTTATATTTTGTCTCTTGTGTTATAGTATCTAAACTTTTAAAAGTTTACAAACAAGTCCAATATATGAATTTCAAATCATTATGGATCATAGGATCATCAAAGTGACCCTCACCCTAAACTGACCCTGTCCAACCCTAACCCGATCCGTCCCTAAACAGACCATGTAGATAATTAAACTGACCTGTGCTCCGACCCTAAGGGTTAGGGCCGGGGCGCGAGGCATTACAAGGTATCCATTGCAGCGTATTCAAATTTAATTTCCTTCCATACTTCACAAGCAGCAGCCAATTCAGGATTCCATTTGCTAGCCTCACGAATAATTTCATTACCCTCACGAGCAAGATCACGTCCCTCATTACGAGCTTGTACACATGCTTCTAGAGCTACTCGATTAGCTACGGCACCAGGTGCATTTCCCACTAAGTAGAAGTCAAAATTTTGTATCCGTTTTTCATGATATTATGCATGGATCAGATATATCATGGCGAATTCTTCAGAAAAAAATTGCGTCTTCCACAGTGGAATCTGATAAGTGAGATTTCGAGTAAGTATTTACATAATCTTCTTCTGTCCGAAGAAATGATTCATCGAAATAATGAGCTACCATTGATATCGACGAATCCGTGGGTATTTAGAGTCATACTTACCGCCCTACTAACTAAGATTTAATCATTTTTCACGTCATCAACAGGATCTAGTCAAGTCATTGCACAATACTACCAGCTCATTCGATTAGGCCTTGAGGGATACAGGCACGTGATGGAGAACTGCATGGAGAACATGAGGGTGCTCAAGGAAGGCCTGGAGAAGACCGGGAGGATCGAGATCGTGTCCAAGGACGTCGGGGTCCCGCTCGTGGCCTTCTCGTTGAAGGACAACTCGAGCCACGACGAGTTCGAGATCGCCGACCTGCTGCGGCGCTACGGCTGGATCGTGCCGGCCTACACCATGCCGGCGGACGCCCAGCACGTGACGGTGCTCCGCGTGGTGATAAGGGAGGACTTCTCCCGGACGCTGGCGGAGCGGCTCGTCAACGACATCCAGAAGGTGCTCCACGACCTGGACATGCTGCCTTCCAAGATGAAGGCCAAGATGGAGATGGCCGGAGAGGACGCCGACAGGACCCTCTTCGGCAGCAAGAAGTCGGAGATGGAGACGCAGCGGGAGGTCACCACGCTCTGGAAGAAGTTCGTCATGGAGCGCAAGAACAAGAGCAGCGGCGTTTGCTAACTTACTTAACCTCATCTACATTTCATTTGGAGAGCTTGGTTTGATTGCCGCATGGTTCTACTTTTTTTCGTCGCTTTGTTTTTGTCTTTTATTGTTGCATTTCGTTACCGAATATCCTTGTTTTGTTTTGAAGGGGTAAAATATATACGAACAAAGGGGAACGAGCTACCACGAGCTACAAGCTACGTGTTTGTTTGTAGTACTGATCAGAGAATAAGGGTGCTTTGGGCTTCTGGGAAATCACGCTAATGCTCTTTTTTGGTGTAGAATTTTCCTAAACCTTCAAGATGTTATTAGTAAACGAGGAATTTATTAGTAAATTAGATTTATATTGTTCTCTGATGAGTTTGCATTATTCTCCAGTATATCATACTTTTTAGGAAACAATTGTTACAAAAAAATGTCAGCTTATTTCGGTGAAATGTTATAAAAAGATGCTTGTTTTGGTTAAAATAATTAAAACAAAACATATTGAATCGAGACAGTTGGAGATTAACGAGCATCTACCCGCAGAAAGCGAATGAAGAACACTATTATTAGAGTCAACGATCGAGGGCAGATTGGCTTCGCGATGGGGACAAAAATACCGCCTTTTTCCACACAAAAAAAAACTACCATCCGCAGAATGGGCAATACAATTCGGAAGATTAACGATCTGGCGGGTCATTGGCACACAGAACCATCCTGAATTTTGAGTGCTTTACTAATTACTTTTCTGATTTGTTCACTGCCAGTGTAGCCCGCAGGTAACTCCAGTGTTGGATGCAATTCCAAGCTCAGTAACGACGAAGCATAATAATGAATTATTGATACAGTTTCACAAGACAAAGCGCTGAAAAAGATGGGATCTAGCAAGGCTCCAGGAGAGGACGGTTTATCAGTCCTGTTCTACGAGAAACATTAGGCAGTTATAGGGGAAGAAGTGATGGCCACTATGCTAAATTTTAAGGTCAAGGTGCCATCTACTCCCCTAGAATTTCGACCCATTAGTTTATACATTATATTGTATAAACTTGTGGCAAAAGTCATGGCTGACAGGCTGAAACTAGTGTTGGATCTTGTTATTTCGGAGGAGAAGAGTGCCTTTGTTCCGGGAAGGTTCATCATGCACGGATAATATTATGGCAGCATACGAATGCTTTCACTCAATAAAAATAAATATAAAACGAGTGTTGGGGTCTTTGTTGCGCAGATCGATATGTTGATGCCTATTATAGGGTGGAATGGCATTTCCTGTAAGAGATTATGCTACATATGGAATTTGATCGGAGATGGGTGGAATTAATCATGAACTGTGTGCACACAATTACTTATTCTGTCCTCGTTAATGGACATCAGTCAAATATTATAACTCCGGGTCTTGGTCTTTGACAAGGGGATCCACTTTCATTGTATCTATTCCTCTTTTGCGCGGAAGGTCTCTCGACTCTTACGACGAAAGCGATGATAGAGAAGTGCATGCATGGGATGTATCCGACAAGGGGTGCTCCGATAATCTCCCATTTTTTCTCACAGATTACTGTGTGTTTTTTTGGTAGTGCTACGGTTCATGAAAGTGGAGTGCTTAAGGATATCTTGCGAGCATATGAAAGAGAGTCGGGCCAACTTGTCAGTTTTCATAAATATGTGGTTGCCTTTAGTGGCAATTTCAAGCCGCACCAGAGGCTTATGGTGAGTGAAACTCTCGAGATGGTTACTGTGGAGAAGCATGATAAGTATTTGGATCTTCCTACTATGGTGGGATGCTCGAAAAAAGAATTTTTTGCAAGACTGAAGGACAGAATTAGGAAAAAGCTAAAAGGGTAAAAAGAAAAAACTCTCTCGGTGGTAGGACGTGAGACGTTGATCAGAGTAGTGGCTCATATGCAACTTACCTATGTCGTGTCAATTTTCAAACTCTCGGATGCCATAATTAACAATGTCCATAGTTTGATTATGAACTTATAATGCGGGCAAAAGGGTTATGAGAAGCGGGTCCATTGGCTGAGCCAAGACGGGATGATGAACCAAAGGAGGAGGGTGGCATAGGATTTAGGGATATCGAGGGATTCAATACCGCAATGCTAGCAAAGCAATTATGGCGCCTACATCAACGCCCGACATCTATCATAAGTTTATCATGAAGGCCAAGTATTTTAAGTACACAACGATCTTGCACACCCATGTTGGTTACAAGCCGAGTTTTATTTGGTGTAGCCTGCTAAGCGCCTAGGATTTTCTGTGTGGGGATCTTCTATGGGGAATTGACAAAGGGGCGGATGTGCGGATTTTGGGGGATAGGTGGCTCTCGGCTAGTCAGCCAAATTTTGTTAATGTCGCTCATCGAGACTTTCCCATCGATGCCAAAGTAAGGGAGCTCATTCATCCTTGAATGAACCAATGAGATTGGGATGTCATTATAAGCTGCCTCCCCATGGAAATTGGTCACAAGATTATGCAGATTCCTTTTTGTGAGAATAGGAGCACGCAAAGTGAGAGCAAATACAGCGACCGCGAAGTTAGAGGCCACAATCGTCAACTTCAGGAAGAGCCAGTCCGGGAGAAGCAGAGAGTTTCGCGATTCGGATCACAACGCTTGACTTCCTAACCCGTGAGTAATATTGCGGCCGCGACTCATGGATCGTGACTGTACATGGGTGTTGGGTCGTGCTTGGGCTGGCACGGCACGGGCACACTTCGGACCCATTTATTTCGTGTCGTGCTTGGCACGGCCCGTAAGTTTTCTTGCGGTGCCATGCAAGCCCATTTGTTAACTTTGCTAGGCCCGGTCCAGGCTCGGGCACGGTTCGAGTCGTCCCGTGCCTATTCGTGCTCGTGCCATGCTCGTATTCGTGTTTAATGAAAAGGACGAAAATAAAAGAGAGAATGAAAAATAAGGTGAAAATTGGACGGTGAAAGATAATATTAATCGATAATGTTTGAGAAAAGTAACAAATCAGAGGGAAAAGAAAATTGGAAGTATATCGAGTGTGATTTGGCTTTGTTTAATTCTTTATCCATTTTTACTTATGTTATTAATTACGTATATATCTTTATGACACGGCTAACAACAAAAAATAATTATTTTTCTACTTGTGTTTTGTAATATTTGAACCTATAATTCTTTTTATATTTATTTTCTATCAAATAAGTATTATTTTCGTGCCATGTTCGTTATTATACTCAATAAAGTCTCGAAAATATTAGGCCCGACGCGGCCCACTTATATACCGTGTCGTGCCCGTGCCCATGAAGTTTAGGCACGCACGGCCCATAAATTATTCGTACTCGTGTCGGGCTGGCCCATTTGTTTCGTGCCCGTGCTCTAACCATGTCGTGTCGCGCTAGCCCGTGGGCGGCACGGCTCGATGCCCACGTACAATCGTGACCATGAAGTCACCGCGTGATCTCCCCCTTGGTCGAAGAACGAAAAGATGGAACTTGAAGATCACTGCATTCTTACTCAAGATCGTGCCCGTGAACTTCCCTAGCATGGTCGCGAACTTGCCCGAGACCTGAAATTCTATAAATATGGGATGCCTTCCCCGTTCAGAGAAAGATCTTTTGTATTGAATTTTTTTGGTTCTTTGAGAGAGAAAGTAGAGAGAGAAGTTCAAGGAAGAAGAATAAGAGAAGGATAAGAAGAAGGAGGATCTAAGAGGAAGAAGCCATCTCCCCCATCAAGTCTTCTTCATTTTCTTCAATGTTCTTCCCTCCTTTAGGAGTAGTCCTATAAGGTACTAGGGGTTAAAACCCCCAAACCCTAAATTAGGTTTATAATGTAGATGAATGGATTATGTTAGGATTTATGAATGAATGTGTTTGTTCTAGTGATTATATGTTTTATTATGCTTGGGTAAGTCGCCCTACTCTTCTCTACTAGCCTATGATGAGCCAATGCTTGGTAAGAGTTTTAGAGTTAGACTGGGTAGCGTCAACTAGCAGGTTAAGGGTAGATGAATGAACTTAGGGTCTTGTAGTGGATGAGGCGATTGTAGCTCTGCTACAAGAATGACTTCCTAGACAATGCTCTAGAGGTTCGCAAGCGCACATATCTAACTTTTTCGTGTGCACAATAGGTAGAACCTATTGAAATGAGCTAAATTCGTAATGCCCTAGATACGTGAGCCTTGACCGAGGTGACAATGGGTCTTGGGAGACGTACTCGGAGGCGTGAAAACAACTAACAAAAACTCTCACGGAGATGATCAGGTATAGTAGTTAATTAGCTAGATTAGTGATTAAAAAATTAGATTGTTTCGATAATCATAAAAAAAATATTGTAAGAAATTCAATATACTATCATATTCGTCAATTATTTGTATTCTTAATTTCCTACCATCAACTTATTTATAATTTATAAATATGTCTGTTTCAAACCATGGGTCTAAACCCACAGATCGACCCAGACGCGACGTCTTAATTGGCTAACAGCTGGCCAATAGGTAGGGGTGTACATGGGTTGGGTGGTTCGGGTTTAGCCATTTTAATCACCCGACCCATGCACTACGGTTTGAGAAATATTAAACCCAAACCCACTCAAAAAAAAATTTAAACCCTATGGTTTGTTTCTAATTGGGTTGGGTCAGGTTGGCGATATTTTTATGTAAAAACCCAACCCAATCCATAATATGTAAAAACCCAACCCAACCCATAATATGTAATTATTTTACACCATAAAAATATTTTATAACTAATTAAAATTTCAAACGAATAAAACGAGGTGAAAGGTATCAAAATTCACAAATGTTGTTTGAATTTTAATAAAATGCGATTTACTTCAACATATGCCTAGTTTTTTCACGATATTTGTTGAAATAGGCTAAAAAGGTTATAAACGAACGCATCCATTATATGTTATTCTATTAAAATTGTACACAAGAAAAATGATCACGTGAATCATAACTATATTAAATTTATATCTAAACTTTAAACCGAAGAATGCATTAGATTAGTGAGCCATAAGAGAAAAACATGACGAAATATCTTAATTTTTTCATAAGTATGGCTATATACGACGTAAATATTTTTTGGATACGAACTCATACCGATAGTTGGAGCACGGGTTGGGTTGGGTTCTACGAGTTGTGTAATCCAAAATTTAAACCCAACCCAAAATAGGCGAGTTGTACAAAATAAAACCCTCACCCAACTCAAAAATTTCGTTTTAGGGAGTGAGTTTGTTAAAAACTAACGATAGGGAGTGAGCCTGAAGCTGTGAAATCCTAGGAAATCCACTCAAACCCGAAGAATCGACAGGTTTGACCAGCTGTCTGGTTCATTGGTTTAGTATTTCGAAAGAAAATTGGAAACATAAAATGGGGCTTGTGAGGTTTGTAACACGGGATGGGATTAGGTGCTAACCTTTATAGGGGTTAGCACCGTGATAACTAGCAAAATCACTACGGATTATTATAAAATCAATACAACATCTAAGCTAAATCACTACTAATTCAAACTAGTAGTAGTTTTTCCCTTGGTTAGGACGGTGCTAACTATTGTACAATTAGCACCGTAACTCCTCCCTTGTAACACGAATCTCAAGTTAAAATATCAACAACTTAAACCACCAAACCACATGTTGATTTGTGATACTGCCTTGCTTCCTTATTTTTGGACAACAATAGAATATTTGTTTGCGAAACTACGACATGAAGTTTAAGGAAATTAATTTGAATATAATATAATTGATGAATATTTTGATATTTCTCATATTCTGGATAGAAATGAATAATTTATATTTGAAGATTGACTACTTTAATTTTTATATTCGAATGTGAATGTTCTGTGTTGAATTTAAGTATTAGTCGTGTTTAACATATGTCGGATTTAGAGCAAAGGTTTTGATGTTGAATTATATGTTTTATGCAAGTATGAACTTTTTTCATTTTGAAGTAATGCTAGGGATCGCAAAAAAGACCCAAAATTTGGGTATTGCCCAATCTGAATTTATTATAGGTCAAGTCAAGTTTGGTTAATACCATTTTCGAACGTACTCATATCTAATTTTTTTAGTTTGAGTCTAAATTAAACTCATTACATTGGATACACATACATCAACATTGAATATGTGAAATGGTTGAAGGTGAACCCATTTGGGTTGGATCCAAGTTGAACCCAGTCTAAACTGGATCCAAATAAAAAGTATTAAAAGATTGCGTGTGAATTCATTTGGGTCCGATCCAATACCCATATGGGTCATGCCAGTTGAGTCCAATGGGCAATCAATGAATGAGAAATTATATAAATATGAATTATGAGAAATTATATAGATAAAAATGTAATAACTTTTTCCACATTGAATTAAGCAGATTCGACCATTAATCTTTAACCCATTTCATCGTTAGAACCAAGGGCGAAACCGGGTGGACAATCTTGTTTCAAGCACATAAATTTGTGCACTCCACCGGGAGTGGACTGGAACTCCAGTCTATTACAAAAGAAGTAACCAAATTAGTAACGACAGTACTGCTGATGTCGCATCTACTACCACAACTCCGAACCAGAGAAGGAAGAGGATTCTAGTTAGTGGTGGTAACTAACTGGTAAAGCAGCAGTAAGCATCTGACGTACTCATATTGGCAGGCAGTGCAGGAAGGAATAGACAGGGGAATCACGAGAAGAAGTGGATTGAAGTCCTTGCAAGAAACAATAATGTGAGATGCCAGCAGATGGAAAATAAAGGAGCAAAGCTATGGCATATTGGCATCCATCCATATACTGTGTTTTTCTCCTTTCCTCTGTGTGTCTGTGTCAGAAATGTCGAATCTTATGATTCACTTGTCAAACTCAATTCTTTCCCCCAGTCCCACCCACACATTTCTCGCCTCCTGTCTTGGGCCTTGGCTTCTTCCCTTCTTCTCTTTAGTCTTTTCTCCCTTCCATAAAAGGGCAGATACCACTTTAGCCAACAGTCCAGAGAATGCAGGAAAGTTACTCCGAGTGAGACCTTACTTCAATCTGTGTTCTCGCACTCTCTACAGAACCGAAGAAGAAGAAGACTTTTATCCAACAATGTCGAGCACTGGTCCTACTCCTCCCGGCGATCTCCGCAGTATTCAGGCAAGATCCTCTTGTTCACTTTCTTTCCGACGGGCTTCTCCACATAAACTTGACCCTTTCCCAGATTTTCTTATCCTCTGCCAACCTGGGTTTGGCTCATTGCTCTGTAATTGCTAATGATCTTCCCTCTTTTTTTTTCCTTCTTTCTTGTGATAACAGAAGCATGTACTGAAGGTGAACATTGACTGTGAAGGCTGCCAGAAGAAAGTCAAGAAAATGCTCAAGAAGATTGATGGTAAATGAAGAATGCTTCTAAGACAATTAAACTAACTCACATTCAGCCTTAATTTCCTTTCTTGAATATGTAGTAACAGTGGCGGTTTTCTGGGCTCAGGTGTGTACTCCGTAGAGATAGATGCAGAAACCCAGGTGGTGACCGTGTCAGGGATTGTGGATTCTGCCACTCTGATCAAGAAGTTGAGCAAAGTGGGGAAGTTTGCAGAGCTTTGCTCTTCAGGGGATCCGTCCAACAATAGCAGCCGAAGTCAACTTCAAGCTCCTGCCCTTCAAGGGCAACATAGCGGTCCTTTCCACAACGGCAGCCACAACACTGGGACTGGTTCTGCTAGCACGACAAACCCTGGGAATTCGAATGCTGTGGCCATGGCGGGAGGCTTGGACAACAATGGAGCTTCATTAATAAGGCCTCATACAGCAGGGTTTCATGGCACCGGTCACACTTCTTCCAGGTTTGCTGGCATGCCACCAAGTTATGAGCTGAATCGCCAGCCAGCGATGGCAATTGTCAACAACCAGCAAGACTCGTACCACAACTTCCCGTCTGCAGACATGAACAGCAACAACTATTTTGGGAATAGTGATATGAGGTTCCCTGCTCATCAACCTCTGATGATGAGTCATGCACTTTCGTCACAGCCTACTATCGTTCCTATGACCAATTTTGATTATGGCCATCATGAGGCAGCGCAGCAGCTTTACCATTACATAGGATATCAATAGGCTGAATCAGCTCGTAGATGTTAGTAAATTCGAGTGTTCTTAGTTTACTTTCGGTAGTCCAATCCTACTTATCTTCTCAATTATATGATAGATTGTAACAGAGAGTTGAAAGAGAGACAAGCTTTTTCTTATATATTCGCCTTCCAACATTGTCTATGCTATTGCTTGGTTCCCAGTAGCAGCTGCTGCAAGAGCTAGCACAAAGACTTTTCTCGCCTAAAACTAAAATCTTAGCAAGTATATAAATGTATATGGTATTGATTGGCTTATCAACATAGTTCTTACTTGCAGAAGAAGAAAGACAATTCAGCTTTCACCTTGGCCTCCAGATAATACCCAACATCAAACAACATTTCCCTTGGATGTTTGCTCGCATCCAAGTGAATGGGCCCTGCAATTATGATCAAGCAGTTTGGTTGCAGCATATAAAGATAGATGGAAACCAGGTTTCCGGGGAAAACACAGCTGCGTGCTGCTAGTGAATCAGAAACTGAAAATTCTCAGTATTATGCAGGTATGTAACAGAGGAAGTAACTTGGTCTGAAAGAACAAAGCAGCAGCAATCAAAATGAACCCATGTTGTTGTTCATACTATTTTAGAAGACTACAAGACGAAGCCAAGGAAATGATACCTCAACTAGTAACCACTCTGGCATTCGTCTGAGCGAGAACAATTTCGTACAAAATAACAGAATGATACATTCTATCTCATCTATTTCTTCCCATCTATTGGAAGGTCCTTCGAAGTTCGAACCTTGAAGTTACACTGTGGGATGTAATGCTCTAGCATACTTGAATGATTCTCTATTTGTTTCTCTTCAACGCCATTTGAAACAGTGAGCGCTAGCTAAACCCACCACACTTCAATTCAATCGGGATGGCTGTATCTTAACGTTTCTGTGCTTTTCGGCGGCGAGACTGGGCCTTCTGCCATTTCTTTCTTGGTACAAGTTTGCTCTTGGGTTTTAATTTCAACTCAGGTGAGAACTTATAATTAGGATCTCTCATGCGTGCCTGTATATCCTTGAAGAACTCCATATTCAACTTCTTAGGCCCTCCTTTGCGAAGCTCCTCATACTCTGGCCCAGAGACAACATTTTCAAATGCTCCAATCAGAATGTCCATATCGCTCATGATTTCCCACACATTGATATAACGCCCATCTGGCCCTTTCTTCAGCTTTTTCAATGCATTTTCAACTGCAAGTTTCCTGGCTTGCTTCCCTGGGGACAACTCTTCGGGTTCGTCTTCTGCTTTCAGCATTTCTGATAATGTCCTGTACTTGGGCTTTTCCTCGAACTCAAATAATCTGTCTATGTACTTATCACTGGCTTCGTTTGGATGTGCTTCAGTGGGAGCATCGTCATCATCATCCATCTCACTACCGGTCCACAAGCTCTTCTCCTCGTCACTCCCGGACCAAACACTTGTCAACTCATCACTGTCATCAGCATCTATAAGGTCGGAGTGCTGTTTCGCCTGCTGTCTCACCTTCCGAATCTCCTTTTGCAAATCGCTGAGGTGTTCATTGGGATCATCTTCATCTTCACTTGCTGTCCATAGAGAAGTGTCTTCTTCCTCCATCGAGTTCTTCCACGCTTTCTTGAAATCTTCATTCCCTGGCTTCACACTGCCAAAGAGATCATAGCCCTTTCCCCTCTGTCGAGCATACGATCGACAGGAAACTGCAGAATGCATACAGTAAAAACAAAGAAGCCATGTACCACAAGTTAAAGCCGACTGCCTTATGTGAGACAATTTCACACATAGCATACATGAAAAAAATAGCTTTCTGCCACTCAAATGGTCAAACATAATACCGCAGGGCACGGCCTCATGAACATGAAATCAAATCAGCCATTGTTACAAGAATTCTTCCCTGCTTCCATGTTTGTAAATACAAGACAGAAATCCTACTTTGGCTTGGTGGAGACATGGCCTCGCTGCGACTCCAATGTAACAGATAGTTAAAGGAAGCAGTTAACAGACTTATCGTGGCCAACCCACATAATTATTATCCTATACACAAGGAGACCAAACACGTCGATCATAACTCTATAATTGTTAGTTAGTAGCAAATTGCAGGAGGCAAATAGTTGAGGGTTCTTCACACAAGACTTTTAACGAACATGTGGTAGGCGAGAAAGGTATTAAGCATGTGAAAGCTCCCAAAGCGATTGGTGGTAGTACTGAAAGAGTGCAAGTAATAAAGGGCCGATTCGTGCGAGAAACCAGTATGCATAAGGAGGAACTAACCTTGTAAAGCCGGAGAAAATCGGCCATAAACGGCGGGGGGTGAAAGAGTTCTCCCACAACTAGGAAGCGCCGTGCGTAGTCTGAAAGAAGGGAGAAATGAGGTATGGGTTCTGAAAAGCGAAGGAAGGGGGGAAAGGCGGGAATAGAAGGTCCTAGCCATCCTTGTGTTCTGCAGACCACCGCTCCTCCCAGGACCGAGTAAGTTGACGGCCGGAGGATGCCGCTACCCGCCTATCTGCGTTGCGTTAGCAAAGGAATGGGTTATAACTTATAAGTTATGACCTTTTTATAATAATAAAAAATACGTGGTCAAATACACAAGTTACACAACTTCTTAAACAAAAACCCAAAATATAATATTTTTAGGTTTAATTCACTTGCATAGCCATAACTTTTGCGAGTTTGATAATAATAGCCACTTTTCAAAAAATACACAGTTGTAGCCACTTTTTGGAAACTCGTTTGACAAAATTAGTCATTTCCGTTTAAAACTTTAACACCGTTAACACGATGCTGATATGGATGCCACCTCATCTCCCACATCAGCTGCAACATACCAGGTCATGCCGCATGGCTACAACATCACATTTTTAATTAAAATAAAATAATTTTTTTGAATTAAAATAAAAAAAATGGAAATGAATCCAATACCCAATCCCACCAACAACCACTGCCAACCTCCCTCCCTCCCTCTTCCGCTGTCTGCTCCGTCAAATCCCTCATCCTCCTCCTCCTAATATCGTTCATCCCCATCCCCATCCCCTATCTCATCTCCTCGATCTCTCCCCACCCACGTCTTCCACTAACAAAGCCCCGACGACTCAAGTGCACCAAGTGGGATCTCCCGTCGGCTAGTTCGCGTCTCCTTTGTCGAAGGCGGCAGCGGCGACATGACCGACAACTCATCGCTCGGGTTGGTTGTGGACCGTCCGAGGAATCGGGTGATGGTCGCCTCCCGATCTCATCCTTCCCCTTCTTTTTCCACTAGGGTTTATGGGATTCAAATGAAATTGGGAGTTTAGATTTGAAGTCAGAAGACGAAGGGGGGGATTTGGATTTTCTACTAAAATTTGAGTGGGCAACAAGGCAAAGTGGAGTGGCGGAGTTCGGATCTCGACCGTCGGCCTCTTCGCGAGTCCTCATCGTGGCTTCCTTCCTACGTTGACGAGATCTTCATCAGTGACAGAGGTGGTGGTTTGTTATCGATGCTTTGATAGATGGAGTAGATCTGGAAAGTGGAGAAGCAACGCGATGGAGGCGGTGTCGAGGCCGATGCAGTTGTGGGCTTTAGAGATGAGTACTCTAGAGTCGATCGGAAAAAGGAAGCCAGAGCTTGCTCTCGTTCCTCCACCTACTTCGAGTTCCCCAATGACGCCGACAGAGAGGAAGAATCGAGAAGTGAAAACAGGGGTTAGTCGAGAGAGAAGGAGATGGATGGTGGGAATAGATGAACGAAAAGGGGAAAGTGCTTGGGATCGATTTTCTCTCCTTTTCTACTTTTATTTTTAATTTCATTTATTCATTAATTAAAAAATATGGATGTTTTCCACGTGGCAAGGACGCAAATAAAACACGCCACGTCAATTGCTACCGTTAGTATAGTCATCGGATTAAGTAAACCGTTAAAGAATTGGAAGGAATTGGCTACATCTGTGTATTTTTCAAAAAGTGGCTATATTTGTCAAAATTGTGAAAGTTATGGCTATGCAAGTGAATTAAGCCATATTTTTATAAAAGTTTCTAAACTAACTACACATGTTTTCACTAAATCGCTTGCGACACCAGTGATTTAAACAATAACCGTCGGAGAGAAACGCGATCATGTATAAATGGCTTTGTCAAGGTTGTCAAACTTGTTTATGCCGGTGAGCCGGTTTTGCAAGTGGAATGATCCGACCGTGGTACAACCAGTATTCAAACCGGATTTAATAAAATACATGAGATAAATGGAAATCCTCAATTCCAAATAAATTAGTCATGAAAAAGCAATTAGATGAATTATTTCACACAAAATAATTTATAGATAAAAATTGGTAACTACTAACTAATAGTAAACAATTAGATGCGTAAAAATAAAAGTATATGAAATGAATATTGTTAACGCGATAAATATTAGGCACGAGGCTAAGGTTAGGTGCAGCAACCTAGGCATGTTGGCTTTAATCAAAAGCGATCTTGCATCTATCGCTTACTTCCCTAGCGATCTTGTGTTTATCAGATTTCAATATAAATATACGACCCTAACACCGTATTTCACTCTCATTTCCCCCTCTTCTCCACCTTCGTAACAGAAACTTCTTCTTCTCCACCACACTTGCAGAAAATTTCACAACCACACTAGAACTCATTCCCTCATTTTTTTAAGGTATGTATGAATTTGCTTAGTATGGTCATCATGTTTAAGTAGTTGTGTGTTTGTGTTTCACTAGTTACGCATTGTGTTAATTATGCTAAATATTCGGATTAAAGGTGAATGTATGATGGTTTATGGTATGTTATATGTGATCGTTAGTTATTTTAAATTGCAGACATGGGTAGATTTTAAAAATTTCAGCTTCTTATTCGGTGGAATGGTCGGGTGACAAACTCTCAAAGCGAGATCAATTATGAAGATGGTGAATTCAGTAAGTTGAAAATTGAGACCAGATTCACGTGGCTAGAACTCTATGTCGGTCACAGTGGAACCAATTACGGATATAATGGCAGTGAATGCTCTTATCACCATTATTACGTTGAGATTTTTTTTCCCAAATGCACTAGTTCTTTAAAAGAATTCCCAAATACAACAGTTTAAAAAAAAATTCTAAACGACACATGTTTTGCAGGAGGGCACGAATGGGATGGTTATTCAAGCAATTATGAAGGAGGTAGTTATGTAGGCGGTGATGTGGGAGATGGGTTACCATGGGGCGATGTTGTTCCACATCGTGTTAATTCTGTTGAGCCCGCCCCATTGTTGAGTCACATGGCGTTCAATGGCCGACATGGGGTCCGGAATGATCTAACATTGAAAATGTCATTCAGGCATCCAGGCGATCTGCACAAAGTCGAGATGAAGATGTTGGCAGTGATGGTTGCGAGCATCCCACTAATGAGATGCCGAGTTATCCTGTTGAAAGTGACGAGGATAGCAAAGAAGATTTGGGATCTACGAGTGAGGAAGATGATGAGGTTGGGGTCCGTGAGCCACCTACTCCATACTACACAAATATCTTATATCCCTACTCATCCCTTATATGCTTATAACAACATAATCGTGTCCCACCTCGTGGGAGTGCCTAGCTATCGTACGTCGGTGGGGAATCCAAAGCTCCGGCGCTTGACTGCTGCTCGAGACTAAAGCAAGTGATAGAGAAGAACAGGAAGTGCCTCTGCTTGCTGATTAAGAACCGCGACGAACCCAACTTGGGCGTCAAGATCAACATCTCCCTCGCCGTTAGCCTCCCAGATTCCTGCAAATCTCCCGCCAACATCTCTAATTGCGTTAGTGAGTGAAAAATTCCCCCTAGAAATCGATTTGTTTTTCAGTAGGTTAAATACACTTGTATATCCAAAAGTATCACGTTTGTGCCAATAATATCCAAAAAAACCGGAAATACCACTTATATCCAACTCCGTCACATTCTTTGACGGTGTTAACTTAAAGCGTGACTGGACTAACGGTGGTGCTTACGTGGCGAACGTTTATTTCTCAATTCCTCTTTACTTATCCACGTGTATAGCTACTTAATATTATAGGAAAATTAAACAAAAAAAAAATTTCAATTGACTCCATCTGACCTCATCCTCGACTCGACCTAACTTTCTACTCTTCTGATTTTTTCCATCGACCAACCCCTAACCTTCGGCTGTGGAGGGCGACGAAGGCGACGAATGAGAGGGATTTTGACGAAGGCGACGGAGGAAGACGAATGCGACGGAGAAGGACGAAGGCAGCGACCCCCCTAATCTGTCGTATCCCCTGATTTTCGATCAACCTTCGTCGATCAACCTTCTCGCCCACCTTCGAAGAAACCCTAATCGCGACGAACCCTGGAAAAGCGACGAGCTTAGGCTGGCTCCTCCCATCCTTCCTTTCCGGTGGAAACCCTATTCGCGACGAACCCTGGAAACGCGAGAATAGAATTCGAAGAAACCCTAATCGCACCGAAAATGAGGATTTCTGAGCAACCTCGAGTTGAGCCACAGGTCAGTCTCCCTTTTGAATTGGTAGTTGTGGGTGTTGATTGTGGTTGGAAAGTTCTTATAGTAGTGTTTTTCTCTTGCTTTTTTGGTTGGTAGCGAGGAGTAAAGACAGAAGAACAAGGGGAGCACTCGACTGGATTCCACACCGGTTTTGCCCCTGAATCTGACGGTGAGTAGCTGAATCTTCTGGATAGAATTGTCATTACCTTTGGTTTCAAAAACCCTAGAATTGAATAATGTCAATCGTTGATTTTTTCGAGTTGTTTGTTAGTTAATGATTAAAGAATTGTTAATTGGGATAGTGGTGATTAAAAACTGATTAAGGCTGTTACAGATGGCTGATTCATTGGATGAGGCTTTTGGAGAGAATGATCCAGATGTTGTTCAGGATAGTCCAGTTGCTTCCTTGGCTGCACATGATGGTGTCGAGGCATCTGTTGCTCGAGAAATATACCATGTTTACGATTCAGAAGATGCAGATAATTCTGATGACGAGTACCATGAAGCAATGGCAAATCTTAGAGCCTATGGGGAGAGTAGGAGAAGGAAGGTGAAGGCACGTATTGATGGCCATGGAGAGGAGGTCGAACAGCTTGATGTTTTGGAGGAGGATGAATCCTCTAATGATGACTCTGAGGAGGAGGATGGATTGGCTGGGGATAATGGTCAGAATGGGGACAATGGTGTGAATGAAGATGTGAATGAAGGTAATGGTGTGAATGAAGATGTGAATGAACCGGCTGAGGTACCTCCAATGCAAGAAGCTAGGCCAGCAAACTCGAACCATTCGAGTTATAGGCTCTCTGAGGATTCCAACCATGTAAGAGCCAATCTTTCTGATTCGGAAGGTGGGGACATCTTCGACGATGCACCGCAATACGATCCACATTGTAACCACAAGGTTCTCCAGTTCGTGCCGCGGATGAAGTTTGTAAGTCCTGAGGAATTTAAGGCAGCTGTGGTTTGCCACTCTGTAGCACATGGGGCCAGTTTGAGATGGATTAGGGTTGAGAAATCAAGAAGAGAGGTCAAATGCAAGGACAAGAACTGCAAATGGAGGGTATATGCTAGCTGGTTCAGGCGGAATCAGAGCTTCATGGTGAGGAAAACCGGGCTGCCGCATTCTTGTGCAAGACAACTGCGGGTTAACCAAGTCACTGCCCACTGGATTGCACAGGATATACTCGAGAGATTCAAAATTAATCCCGAGTGGGCGCCAACTCAAATCATGGTAGAGGTAAAATTGAAACATAATATAGAGGTGGCTAGAAGAACCTGCTATAGAGCCAAAATAAGTGCTATCAAAATGTTGAGTGGTTCACTTGTGGAAGATAATCACATGGTGAGGTCTTACTTGGGAGAGTTGAAAAAGAGAGATCCTAGAGGGAACTTCATTCTTGGAGTTGAGCAGCACCCTTCAGAAGACAAGGTGTACTTCCAAAGATTTTACATAGGATTCTCTGCATTAAGGGATGGGTTTCTTGAAGCGTGTCGTCCGATGTTCGGATTGGACGGATGTTTTTTTAAGAGAGAAATTAAAGGCATGCTTATAACGGCAGTTGGTAAGGATAGCAACAACCAAATGTACCCAATTGCTTGGGCAGTTGTAGAGGGAGAAAACACAAACTCATGGTTGTGGTTTGTGAACACATTAGCTCAAGATTTGGAGCTTCAGGATGGTAGGGGGTGGTCTGTCATATCGGACCAGCAAAAGGTAGGACCCAATTGCCTTTTAAATTCCATTAAATTCAATTAAATTCCACATGCATTATTTCTAACAGTGTTGAATACTTTGCAGGGGTTAGTGGAGGCATTACATGACTTGTTACCCGAGGCCGAACATCGTAAGTGCGCAAGGCACGTGTATGCTAACTGGAAAGTCAAGAACAAGACAGATAGGGTGAGAAAGCTTTTCTGGAAAGCAGTATACTCTTGCAATGAGGTTGATTGGAAGAATGCCACAACCGAAATGGAAGGTATTGAAGGTGAGGAACATGGTACAACCCCCTTCACTGATTTCATGAATGCAGAACCTAGGTCCTTTTGCCGTGCATTCCTGTCTACCTTACCAAAGTGTGACTCGGTTGAATCTAATATTTGTGAAACTTGGAATGGGGTGATTGTCAAGTATAGGGGAATGCGAATCATTGACATGTTAGAGGGAATTAGAGGGTATGTTATGGATAGGGTTGTTGTGAAGTATGAGATGATGTTGAATTGTACCGTTCTGTTATGCCCTAGAATTAGAAAAAGGATAGAGAAGGAAAAGGAGGTGGCAAGGTTATGCACTGCAAGACAGACTTTGCATGATAAGTGTGAGGTCAAGATAGGTGCTGCAGGTTACATAGTCGACCTAACTACTAGATCTTGCACGTGTGGTTATTGGTCGTTGAGTGGCATTCCTTGCTGCCATGCCGTCTCTATGATCTCCCACTTGAGAAAGGACTTGGACAGCTACGTGCATTCCAATTACTATGTGCACAACGCCGAGCACGCCTACAAAAACGGTCTCCCATGTCTTGAAGGGAGACAAGCTTGGCCTGCTGCTGAGGGCATTCCAGTGTTCCCACCCAAACAACGAAGTATGCCTGGAAGGCCCAAAAAAAATAGAAGAAAGGCAGCCCATGAGCGAGAGGTTCGACCGCAACGGAATCGTGAAGGAGAGGAAGTTGCAAGACGTGGTTCAATCATGCATTGCTCCAAATGTGGCTCAGAAGACCACAATGCAAGATGTTGTATTGTTCCTACTGTCGCGACAGGCATGGTAAGATGTTATTTATAGCGTATTGTTTAGTTTCCTTCATTGATAGTTAATCCCGAGGCCTAACATTCTCTTATTGATTGATAGAGAACGCGTGGTAACAGGGCTACTGCTATTGTTGCAGCAGGAGGGGTTTGTCCTAGAGGCGATGAGACTGTCCCTAGAGATGGAGAAGGCATGGTCAACACAAGGAGTAGTAGGGGAAAGCGACCAGCCCATGATACCCCAAGAAACACAGCTCCTGCAACTCGGAGAACTCGTGTTGGCCATTGCTCCAAATGTGGCTCGGGGAATCATAACGTCAGAACCTGTCCTCTGAATCGAGGGGTTGGAATCCAAGTAAGCTATCTACATGAATGATGAATTATGTATGCTATGATGAATTATGTATGCTATGAATCCAAGTAAGCTAAAGTATATGGAATGGTTGCATAGGATGTTAGACTCAATGTTAGCGACCGAAGAACGATTGAACGCGAGTTACAAATTGCCACATCCGGGATAGGAGTATATGTTAACGAGACTACCGGTAACCAATACGTTAGAGTGAGTACCTGCTTTCTCAATAATGAATAGAACATGTTATTGTTGTATGCACAAAAGCTGATTTTAACATGACATGGTTTCAGCTCAATGGCGCTCAAGGACGGCCAGTTCGAGGCTCTTAACCCACTGAGATCGAGATGCATGGTAGCCAGCCCCCCAACACTCAACCTTAGACGGATAAAGGCGTTATTTTTTGTGATAGGCCATTAAGCTACCTCACTAGAGGTCATTTTGTTTAGCTGACTCGTGTAATGGCCCATTTTGTTTAGCATCTTATATTGGAGCTGACTGTTATGCTTCAGAATCTTAGACTACTCTGTAATGAATAGGTATTTAGCATCTCATATTGGAGCTGACTGTTATGCTTCAGAATCTTAGACTACTCTGTAATGAATAGGTATTTAGCATCTCAGATTGGAGCTGGCTGTTATGCTTCAGAATCTTAGACTACTCTGTAATGAATATGTATTTAGCATCTCAGATTGGAGCTGACTGTTATGCTTCATAATCTTAGACTCCAGTGTAATGAGCAGCCATTTAGCATCTCGGATTGGAGCTGACTGTTATGCTTCATAATCTTAGACTCCAGTGTAATGAACAGCTATTTAGCATATCAGATTGGAGCTCATGTTTGGAAGGTCATCAACTACAACAACTTAAACTATTTAACTCAAAAGGAGAAAGATAACACAACTACCTTGTGTCTAGCATATCAAATTCGAAGCTCATAAACTACAACAACTACAATTGACAGCAAACATGGTGCTGGCACAACTCCCTTGTGTTTAACATCTCATCTAAGATACAACAATCACCTTTCTCATGGAAGCAAACCTAGTACAATAGAACTACTTCTACATAACAAGGTGTTGCCACAAAAGAACAAGCAATATGAAATTCACTACAACAACCACTGTGAAATGATATCGGATGAGACGGATGTCATGAGCCAATCTCCTTCCTTCAGCCAGCATAACTTCTTGAGTCTTCATCAACCTTGACAACTCTTCAACCAAAATTCTATTCTCCTTCTTCCTCCTTTCCGCTTTCGACTCGGCTATCCGCAAATTATCCTCGAGCTTCAGCTGAGAACTCCCAATTGTAGAGGTTTCTTCATCCACTTCATCAACCATCCAATGTACCCACCTAAAGAAACCGCATGTCTTTTTCTCGTTCTGCACCATAAAAGGCAACCTCAAAAAACACATTCACCAAAGGCAACCTCAAATACCAAAAACCACCTTACCTTCCAATATCGGCACCCATAGAACTGTCTGCCTGGGTTCATTTCCGTACTAGAGGTATTAACCACACAAGCCACGTTGTGTTTGCAAAGTACCACCCCATGACCTTGTGTCGAAGTTGAAGAAGAACATCTCTTCGACATGGCGAAACGTCGACTAAATTCAAATGCAGAGACGAGAATCAACAAAGAAGTTAATCACCTACGACAAATGGAAATCTGGGTCTGCAAATCGCTTTTGTCGTGAATCTGGGTCGCCGATCGCCAATCGCCAAATCCGCCAGAATCGCAGGAGTCGCCAAATCGCCAGAAACCACGAATCCGAAACCTTCACTCGGCGGGAGGATCTTCAATCTCAGGGAGTATATACAGTCGGCGGGAGGATCTTAAATCGCCTGGAGGAGCCTCAGTCGGCAGGAGGAGATTTTATCGCCGCCAGGGTGCGAACCCTAAAAAACGAAAGGAGAAAGGGATTTCAGAGCAACCTCGTTGTTCGTCGTCATTGGTAATATGTGGGATGAGGTTTTTTTTTAAAAAAAAATTATTATTTTTTAATTCACTCTTACGTGGCACTTTTGGCGTAGGTGGCGCTTACGTGTCTGCATAGTTGGCGTACAATCAGCTTGCCGTCAGCTATGTTGACAGAGTTAGTAACGCCGTCAAAGCATTTAACGGAGATGGATAGATTTGGCAAAGAACAACTTTAAAACATGGATATAAGTGGTATTTCCGGTTTTTTGGATATTATTGGCACAACCGTGATACTTTTGGATATACAAGTGTATTAAACCTTTTCAGTAATTGGTTTAATTACGGCATGACGGACCCTAATAAACTGCAGGTCTGTTTCACATGAAGCCATATTTGACCGAGGCGAAGAAGTTTGACGGACTGGATTAACTCATTGGGGTATGAGGATAATTTTCGGATTAGGGTTACAGAAAGGGGAAACAAATTTGAGTTTGTTCCGAAATGTGTTTATAATTTTATTGGGTATAATTTTTGGGTGGGGTTGAGTTTTGTTTGATTGGGTATAATTGATTTGGTTTATTAATTTTTTATTATTATTTGTTGATAACATGGCGTGCTGACTGGAGTAAACTTGCAAACTTTTGAATAGAGATGGACAAAATTACCTTTTTGTTATTAGTCCAAACAAATGTTGGTCACTCTCCGTCCAATTCCGTTAACTTTGTGTGATGTGGCAGTCAACTCTAAAAGTTGACCGTTAACTAAGTGACGTGGCACTTAAAAAATAGTAAATAAAATATTTAATAATTCCAGCTCATTTTCACAATAAAAATTATTATAATTATAAAATTGAAATTTAATTTTTCCCTTCCTCGAGAAATACTCCCGGATACCAAGATCTCCATATTCGCAGAGAACTCGGAATCGGAATCGGAATTCCTGCCCGTCCGTTCTTCGAGTCTCTGCTGCGACAGCGAATAGTCACTCAAAAATAATCCTCGCAGGCTCAGCCGCGCTCCAGCCATTGACGCCCAGCTTCTTGCTTTCCTAGACCGCCTTCACAAAACAAGTCTTCGTCTTCACAACTTGAATAGCTCGTGCTCTATTTTGCTTCAAGCTTCATTGCCCTGAGTCCCAGAAATCAAAGTGAAGGATCTATTTCCACCACTGCATCTTCTTCCGCTTACTTCCTTCTTCTTCTCGTTGGCTTCTTTTACTTAATTCTGAAACCCCTCAAATCAAGCCTCAAATCGGATTTCACAATGGTGAGAAGAGCAGAGACTACGGAGCCCCGGTATACCCACCGCCGTCGTCGTTTTCCTCCGACGTACCCACACGAATTGCTTGAGAAAGTCTCCGATTCCTGAAGGCTCAAAAATGGGCAAACTGACCAAACTTTATTGAAAGACCAACAAAATGATTAAATATAATCAGTTTCCCTCGTACTCACCTCTCACCACCAAACAACAGCTGATCCTCTATCCCACTATCCTAAAATTCAGCAGCAGCTAACAGACCTCTCTCTAACGTAAACATTGACCAAGTAAACTGAATTATTTGGACTAAAAACTATCTAACAAACGTAACGAATCCTAGAACTCAATAACAGGCTTAAAGGACACACAAAGCCCAACCCAACAATTTCGATTCGGATCCGGCTTCTTCAGCGCCCTCTTTTCAATTTGATAATTATAACAAATTTTTATGTTTTATTTATTTAATTGTAAAAATGAGTTGGAAACTATAAAATATTAAATTTTATTTCTATTTATAATTATTTTAATCGCCACATCACTCCATAACGGTCAACTTTGAGAGTTGACCACCACATCAGACAAAATTAACAGAGTTGGACGAAGAGTGACTAAATTTGAAATGTTTAACTAATTTTAGTGACCACTAATAAAATTAAATATTGGCAGTGACAAAAATGAACTTTTTTAGTAAACCCAATGACCAACCATGCAATTAAACCCATATACCATGATATCAATTTAGTTAGGAAAAAAATATCCAACAGTTCTGATTCATTAAGATTAAGATGCATTCAACACCAATTATGATTTAGGGAGCTAAAGTTTATTCGTTAAGAATTTGCATATAGTACCAAACAAAATTCTATAAGTTGAAGATCTAGAAAGCATACCGACTATACGATTGTTTCATGACAGCAAACATACAGATGAAAAATGCAACCAGAGATGCTAGCCAAAGGCAGAACCGAATAATAAACTGTACAACCACACCCCAAGTCCGTTCCAGTCTGAACTATGAGCACACCTCATCTGCTCCCCCAAAAGGCAACAAGTACGCATAGCATAACAGAAGCTGCAAATTATCGGGGGCGATAAAACAGAAGGTGCATCCTCCAACAGTCTACTACATACACAAGGCCAAAATACAGCAGATGCCACTTTGGATTGTGCTTCGGCTGTCGTGGCATCACGTTCAGCATTTAACTGTGACTTCTTCTGAGAAAGGGTAATCGTTTTACCCCGGACCTCCATTCATACACTTTGGTCTTCGAGCATCTCTACCACAGGCGCATACTGCATCAGAAGGAAAACAAATGGCAGAAATTGAACATACCAGAGAGACTAACAGTTAATAGAATAAAGTGGAAACTAGAGCCTTAACTACCTCGTCATCTTCCGCAAAGTAGATCCCATCAACTGTACTGCCATGCTGGAACTCCCAACCCAACTCGTTCTCCACCAGCTCTTTCAGTTTCCTAGCCTACACAGCACATAATGTAAGAATATCACTTCATTAGACTGTTGCTTTTCTGTAAAATTGTCAGCTAGCATCAAATAAATAACAACCAGAGAAGGAAAACAAGCTGTCGTCCGTGTGTTGATGGGAATTGGGTTGATGGAAATAGAATTATTGGCATCATTGTAGTTTTTTTCGAATCGATTCCAAACGTGCCGTTAATGCTGCACATAGCTTCGAGCCTTGGTGAGAGCACTCGTTCATCACAGTCAATAAGCACTTCAACAATCACAGCAGAAAACGCATGACAACAGAACAGACGACTCTTTTGTAGTTTCTGAGCAGAATAAAAAGGCTACTGCAACTCACCCATGTCAAAAGATCCCCATCTACAACAGAAGCTTCTTGTACCAGCGAAAAAAATTCCTGCAGAACAATCCAACAATTAATCAAATTCCTTGTTCTTGCAAATTCATCAAGCATTGCCACTCCTTAGCCTCCGTAGAAGTTTAGGGATTTCCTTGTCAATTCCACTTGATCAGTGAACATAACAAGCAAACAAGAAAAGATATGCTTAAATATTCTTCATTCATAACTCTGAATACGTGATCAAATACTACAAGTGCATAAGCGTACCTTAAAAAGCTGATGCAAGAAACTATCAGCACCAAACCATGACTCATCTAACAGTGTTGATACTCCTAAACCTGCAGCATTGGCATCTGCCCTATCTTTCTGCAGTCCATATTTTAGTTGATAGTAGATTACCTTGATGAACTGCAGCAAATCATGCAACTTTCAGATACAGGGAACGAGGGTGAAAAAAGGAAGAATAGGACAGGGCATCAGTTGACGAACACTGAACATTCACACCTTTGTTCAACTTGTTTCATAGACAATTGAATAGGTTCCCAAAGGACCCATTATATTCCTGGAAGAGGTCACACTTCAAAATTCATTTCAACTTGATCAAAAAGAATTTGTTTCTTTAACCTAATACCTTGCTTTTTCAGTTTCAGTTCATAAGCATCCACCTATCTCCCTTTAACAGAAACTGGAATCATCAATCAGGTTCACACCAGTGACAGTTATCAAGACTAATAATCCATCATAGTGCAACTTGCCTCCCAGGTTACGATGTACCAGCAGAATCCTCGAGAGAACAAAGAAGTTAATTACTGATTATAATGGTAACTAATTGGGTGACACTAGCATATAGATTGGAGTAGGAGGAATCATGCATATGTCAAGTAAGAGAACAATTGTGCACAAGAGGAATGCAATCATCTACCACATTCATAGGAAAAATCAAGCAGATATCAGAGTCGCTCAAGGTATGCACTTTGTGGATTGAAAATTACATGCATAAAACTTATTCCACAAAATTTGAACCAACAAAAGAGGTGATTACACACAACAATCTTTCCTAATATCTCAGATGGGCGCTCACTCAGATGGCTTCATTGTTCCAGAACAACAATGATTAACCATACACCTGATGCAAATATTCATTTAGTTACTAGAAACAATTACCTTAGTATATAGTTGACTCCTTGTGCGGAAAGGCTGCAGAAAAACAGAGGTCAGCTTCAATCTTGGAAACAACGAAGGATGACCACATGTAATGAGATGTATAAAATCATGCAAGAAAAGTTCAGCCCATATTGACTTACAGCTTCTATACAACCAAGCAAAAGACAGACCATAGATTTCCACTGCAAAAACCCTTCAAGTGACTGTCCCATCTGCATAATTCACAAAGTTTTTTTTTTTCCATAACTTAAAATAAAATAACTAGAATGCATCAGTGAGTAGTTCACTTACCAAAAATGCCACATACGCAAATTGTAGCTCTCCGAGAAGCACATCTTCCTTACCTCCATAATCTTTCATCAAAATGTCTTCAAGTAGTTCTGTCTGGATAGGCAATAAGTTAAAGTACAGTGTTCAAAATGCAGGCTTCATACTAGAAATACAACTGAGAATAGCAAAGCATCTGGACAACCACCTTGTCAAGATTCAAAGAAGTAAGCTCATTTGCATTTATTCCTCTGTGTTTGATAGTGCGAGGAATTGATGTATAGTAACATCCTCTCTTCATTGACTTGTGATTAGATGTAGAAATGGAGAACTTGCTGTTCATCAATTGCTCATCTAAAGCTTTCTCCACGGATGTCTTAGAGACATTGTGAACCATTCCTGATTCACTTGTGATCATGATTTCTCCTCCAATAGGTTCTGCGATTAAAATACCCCAACTTGAAGCAACTAGGCAAATATCGAAATAACTGCATCAAAAGATAAGCATGTAGTAGAAAAGAACAAAGCATTCCAGCAAAAGGAAAAGGCAGAACTAAGCAAAGTATTCGATACAGAATTTTTTAAATGACAGAATAGTACAGCCACCAAGCAGTTAATGTCTATACAAACCATTTATACTTAACCCATGATGCATGTCTCATCAAACGTAGGTATTATTACTGTCTGGACTGCCATGATTACTACAATAGTGCTCATCTTCGGTTTTACATTTGTACTGGATACCATGTGCAGTAGGTGGAGTCAGATGTTCTACCTTCAATCAATATTAGCAGGAAGCTTGCGTTCGAGGTTCAGGGGATAACTGATACCATTTTATCAGACTAACATTTCCTAAAACTAACCAACTTGATTATTGGACATGCAAGTAAATCATTAAACTAACTGCCTAAAACCGCCACATGCGGGGAGAACGGAACTTGAGTGTGAACTTTGCCAGCCTAGTTTTTCTAACCTGACAGTATTGTTCAATACAAACAACTCATCAATTCTTTCAATATATAAATTCCCTAGAATGAAACATCAGTTGGGAACTAATACTTTATCCCATGAGATTTTCCAGGAAACCTCCAAGTTTTAGTAGCTTAACAATCAAGTGAAGTAGTGAACATATTAATGAAGAAAACACTATGTACCTTCATGCATAATATTGATCATGGAGTGAACCTAGTAATTTCTTGGTCATTATAGATTCTTCCATGTATCTGTATATCATCTCATGGGTCATCATTCTCTTCTCTACTATATGTTCCTCTCTAGTACGTTCCTAATAAGTCACAATGATGAAGATCATTTCTAAGTTTAGAAAATAACCAGTCACGGAACTACATACAAAAAAAAACTATTGAATCAAAAATTGGGAGAGGAGAGAGGGAGAACGAAAAAATAGAAACTTAAGTCCAAAATCTGTAAACAGAAAACACAGTACCTATTCGCTCAATAATGCTCCTCGTTATATAGTTGGACAGTCGCTTCCATTCTCCATTATGGCTTAGATTGTAAGGACCAAGGTTACCATCAAACTCTAAACGCTTAACTGCCCCGGCAAATCTCTCTGCCTTTGTGGATAAAAGATGGGAAAAGGGCGGAAAACAGGAAAAAAGAAAGTCAATTTCACTGCAGATTTGCAAATAAATGGAACGAATCATAAATGGCAAAGAACATAGTGCTTTTGAATGAGAGATATTTTTAAGGTCCAACTGATACAATTAGGAGAATCTATGAAGCTATGGATGCTGATGGCACCTATTCCATGAGAGAACAATTTTCATTACACTTTTCAACTACCACAAGATCAAGCATCATCTCAAGTGAAAGGATTCCCAGCAAGTTACTTCTTATAATCCACTGATTCACACAAGGTCGACTTTCATTTAAAAAAACAGATGATAGCTCTGACTTAGATGATAAAAATGCCCCTTTTAATAAATACTAATTCCCACTCATGACTCGACTCAGAGAAATGCATTGCCGTAATTATTTACAGTAGTAGATATTTAGAGTCCAGCATTTACATAACAAGGCCACCAAGAATATTCAACACAAAAAAAGAAGTCAAACAGGGCATGACGCAAAGAAAACTACATTGAGGAACATGAAATTACATGTTGTATTTTTCAATGGACTTGAGGGAACATGCTTCACAAGTCGGGGCTTTCCAATTAAGGCAAGTACAGATACAAAGTCTCATATTTCCCTGCAAGTGCTTTCGTATTAACTTCAGAAATATTGTCCTAGCTGCCTAGGAGCTAAGATGCATATTCACCAGGGTAAAGCAACTTAAATCATCAAAAGTAGCAGTGGTGCTTATTTATCTTTTATGGACAAGCCTACTTCTTGATACTAAATGCTAATATATGATACAACATTCACATTATGACAGAAAACCTCGGAATTCAATCCCTTCACCTATTCAAGGCTTCAAAAACTTATCACAGGCACAATAAGCTCAAAAGTTGCATCGAATACGAACCTCTTCTTCAGATATTTTACCTAGGCGTTCCTCTTGTAGCTCCCACCTTCTAACAATTACCTGATTCATAGAAATAACAACAAAATTGGAAAGACTGATCCCATGAATCTATATTAAAATTACAACATTAAGCTTCATGAGTTGCCAGACTGTGGGTAGATCTTAACTAATAGCATTATTTGTCTGGAGTGCAAAGCTTCGAGTAATGGTTTCATAAGCGCTATGTTGCTACAACATTTGACAATGACAAATATTTCCAGACTACGAACTGTTGAAAGGCACTGTTTATCCAACATCGCAATTGGACAGAGCATTTAAACTTTCTTTATCAAATTAGTCAAAAACAACAGGATGATCTGAATTTGACAATAGAGATGAAAGCTGGCCGAACTTATACTTCATAACTCATGAATGACACTGCCTTGATGGCATGTAAAGATGCTGTTTTTTTTCAAGCAAATTTGGTGTCTTCCAATAACAACTAGAATGATGGCCCAATACTAGAGTCATTGAGCACCAGCATTCCCGTTCAAGTATACTCTTACGGTTGAAAACTGAAGGAGAAGCAACTAAGCAAAGTCCAAGTTACAGAGTGCTATTCTGACCTATAATATGCCTTGAGCATTCCTATCTCAATGCCGATAGCTTAGTTACAAGTAATCATAGGAGTATTACCAAGAGACTTGCACATATAACCAAAATCAGACAAAACCTTACAGATGACTTTATACAGCCACCGTAAGGAAGATACTAGGAGCAAATAAATAAATAAAATAAGATATTGATTGCATACCTCTGAGGGGCCAACATCAATAAAGGAACCAACTACAGGTGAAAATTCCTTGCCATCCCTGGATTTATAGATAGACAAATTCGCACATGATAAGAAACATCACTACACATAAAGCATTGGTCTACCAAGCTGACGCCAAGGACAGCGTTTCTATGTTACTGTTCCCTCAAAGTTCAAATAGGCTGGGTTTGATGCTTTGGCCACCCCTACCACTAGGTTAACCACTTGTGTCCGGGACTCTTAGGGAAGTGGGAGATAATCTATTAAGATTTTTGAACAGTATAGATAAAGCTGGTCAAGGCCTAAACCACAGTGGATGGAGGCGCCTTCTAATGACTAAGAAATTGGGCTAATAGCAAGATGCATAAAACTCTTTCGATGACCAAAGTATCTGTTGAATAATTCATCATGTTTCCAAGTGGATGGAGGCGCCTTCTAATGACTAAGACACTGAGAAACAGCGTGAATGCAAAAACAAGAGACTATATATAACTCAATGGCAAGCCGTCTCGTGTTTTGACATGAAGGCTAGTCCAAGAGTTATGAGATGACATTAGTGAGATCATGGAGCACCTTCTAATGACTAAGAAATCGAGCTAATAGCAAGATGCATAAAACTCTTTCGATGACCAAAGTATCTGTTGAATAATTCATCATGTTTCCAAGTGGAATTCATACAGAAAGGGAGTGCATAAGCCTATGGAAACGGTTCTTTGAACGTTTATTGTTAATCGACACCCTAGATTACAATGATTAAGAACCCTATGGAATCTGAAATTATACTTGTTCACAGTGCATAAGCCATTAGTTATATCAACGGAGCCTAATTAGGAACAAGGCAAAAGCATTCAAACGGTTAAATAAGAAAGGAGACCTAACCTGCTGGAGGAGCTATAGTATAAAAAATGAATGCCCGGTGGAATCATCTTAATCCCTTTGAACGCAGGACCAATAGAGAATATCTGCAGTGCCAAGTTGTAACAGCCGATGAGAATCATGGCGGCGCAAACGGATTTAGTGAGTACAGCACGTGGAAGAAAGAAGAAAAGAAGGATCGCAAGCAGAGAATCCTGTACGCTCTGTCAATCAAATAAGCTTTTGAGCGTAACAGCTCACGGAGAAGGCCGTGGAAGCGAACAGAAGAAGAAACCTCAACTCAGTTACCTGAGTGTCGACGCCGACGAGAGTGTACTGAGGAACATCGAGGAGGAGAAGCGTCGCTCCATGCTTCACAAGCTCCAAAGCTGTGACGGGGTCCATTCGTGATTATGTATCGCCGGAAGGGAATGAATGGGCAGAACCGGAGAGCTCCGGGGGGCAGCGGCACTCACTTTTGTTCGTGTATTCTAGTCTCTCTCTTTTCGTCTGGAACTACGAATAGCTTCGGATTAACTCAAAGCACCCAACTTATCGGTGAACTGGTGAAGCAACTTGAAGCACCCAGAACTTTATGCATGTTTGGCCCGGGCTTAGGATGACAACAAAATTTTAACCCATCGCCTATTCGATCCAACCCGGTCAATGCAGGTAAAATTTATGTTATCAGATTATGGGTCGGGTTTAAACTCGTCCACTATTCACTGAGTTAGGTTTAGGTTGGGTTTGGGTTTAGGTATACCCGCCCAATGGGTACCCACCCACACTCATATAATTAATTTTTCCGGTATATTTAATTCTCTAAGCAACTAATCTTCTTTATGTTTGTGAAAACATGTCTTATTTTTTCTTTCTAATTGTGTAGAATGAAGTTGATATTATCGAGTGGAGAGTGAAAAAGTTTAATTGACAAGGAGGAAAAAGTTTTCAATTAATCATGTTATTTATGGATAAATTGTGATTTGCTTCAATTTTCTTGAGTTTTCTATATTGGCGTTGAAAATTTTGTCTCTCCAATTAAACCATTTGTTTGAAAACAGATTCAATGGGAGGTAACTGAGCATTCATCAACACCTATGTTCTTGCTGATTGATAAACATCATTAACACCTTGCATGAACTTGATGATAAAATCATGCTCGTGGTATCGTTGGACAGTGAAGAAGGGGCTGTTTGGGCAGGGACAATCAGAAATAGGCCTATACATTTTATACTCTTGCCACTTAGTGGTAAGTGCAGTATAGTATTGAGTAACTGTGAGATTCCCCTAAACACACTTAGCAATCTACTCATTTAATTCATAAACCCTAATGTTATCTGCTTGACTGAATCTGTCCTTCAGATTGTCCCATGCATCTTTGGCAACTTTGTAAGGAACAGCAAAGTTAGCAATATCATTAGAGAGTGAATTATAGATCCAACAACGTACGGTGTTGTCACATCTATGCCAAGACTGCCAAATTGGTTTCTCCAATTTGTGGTACTAGAATCAACCCATTCACAAACTGCAATTTGTTCTTAGTGCTATGGGCTAGCTCCATTACCTGACTCTAGATACTCGTCAGTTAGCTTCATCGAAATGATGGTTGTCAAACCTCCATCGTGAGGAGGAAGATAGTAAGGGTTGAGATATGGGTCTTCATAGCGAGGAACCACTGGAGGAACAAAATTGATCCATATGACATCGAACATTCACAGCCTGAGGAATTCGTGGTAGAGTGGTGTCGTTTGCTGAAGCAACATCGTCTTCCGTCTCTACTTCAGCAGCAACGAACCCATCAACTTGTGCTTCTGGAATCGACATCTTTGAATCGAGAAGTGAGAAATCAATAGTATAGAAACCTGGATCTGGGTTAGCAAAGCCAACCAGCCTCTGATACCATGAGAAGAAAAGTAGAATGCTAGGGTTTTTGGAGAATGGTCTCAAAACATTGAGAGATTTATTTTCTGATTTCTCATTTATATACCCAGCAACCTTTGCAGAGGACAAAGAGTTTAATGGCAAATCTACAGTACTTAACTAACTAATTGAAAACAACAAATAGAAACGTGCCAAGTGTCCACAAGACAGTGTTAATTGCTGCAAACAATAGGGTTGCTGACTTTTAGTCAAATTGGGTTGCGGGCGAGTTGCGAGTCAAGTTAATCGACCGGGTTACTCGGGTCAGATTATATTTTGACAGGTTACTACCGAAGACAAATGACGAACTTCGATCGGGTAATAAAAAAAGGGTTAATACCCTAGTTTGACCCCGAAGTATAGCGTTAGTGACATGTAACACCATGATATTTTAGATTTGGGTTCGACCATATTAAATGAGCGGTTAGTTTCACGGTTACGTACTAAGAGTTACAACCGCGGATTAGGAATAATAATAATAACTATTATTATTATATATAAAAAAGACATACATATATATATGGGAGCGAGAAGACGCTCTCTCCTTCCTTCTCTTCTCCAAGCCATCAAGATTAAAGCAAGCATATGGTACAAGGCGTGGTCGGCTCCCAGGAGAATCTTGGGTCGAATGCAGGTCTCGTCGCAGAGAACTCCTACTGAGATTGGTTGGCTTCCACCGCTGGCAGGCTGGGATAAGATGAACGTCGACGGAGCGGCTAATGGGAGTCAAGGCCCTGCGGGAGCGGGCGACATCCTCCGAAACGCAGAAGGCAGGTGGACAGGAGGTTTCGTGTGCAACTTGGGGTCGTGTTCGACGATTTTGGCTGAACTTTGGGGCATTTACCATGGGCTGGGAGTAGCATGGCAGCAGGGGTGCAGAACTCTCATTCTCGAGACTGACTCCCAGATGGCCTTGCAACTCATTGACAAGAGAACTGATCCCCTCCATCCTCACGCTACTCTTCTTGCCGCTATCAGACGTAGGATCGCCCAAGACTGGGTGGTTAAGTTAGCTCACACTTATCGGGAAGGGAATAGAGCTGCGGACTGGCTCTCGAAGCACAGTCTCGTCTACCCCTACGGTAAGTATGAACTAACGGCGCCACCCCAAAGGATCCAACACATTATCGGAGATGATTGTAGAGGAACCACTATTACTAGGAGCATTGTGCGGGAGCGGTTACGGTGAGTACTACTTTTTAGTAATCACCGTGGCTACTAAGGGTAGGAATGGTATTCTGGTGCTTATTGTTTTGGTAGTGATGCTAAATTTTATTGGTAGTGTTTACATTGGGTAAGAATAGTATTCCGGTGCTTATTGTTTTGGTAGTTATGCTAAATTTTATTGGTAGTGTTTACATTGTGTTATTAGTGTAATCTGTTTTGATGGATTGATATTCAATATTGAAAATGAGTTGCTTGACCACTTCCAGCAATTAAACCATCGTAAGGTTCTGTGAGGTTTGGATTGGTAGTGTTAATCACTTTGTATGGCTGCACTGGTAGTGATCTGCATTGGTAGTTGTCTTAAATCTATACAGATTGTATTGGTACAAATTTCATATTGGATTGATTCTGGTGGTATGAATTGGATTGGTATTGTGATTATCATTATTGAAATGGTATTGATTTTGCCTTATTGTGCAACGTATTATTGTGTCTGATTAGTTTGGTATGAATTTCATTCATTGCAAACATACCAATGAACACACAAAAAGTCCAATGAACACTACCAAAACTCGAACACTACCATTGCAAACACTACAATTGCATAAAACTCACTACCATTGCAAACACTACAATTGCATAAAACTGGAACACTACCATTGCAAACATACCAATGAACACTACCATTCCACGCCAAGCTATAATTGTGAGAAGATAACTACCAAAATAATAGATCACTACCAATGCATCAAATCTCGCCAATAGCCGACTCAGAATCCGGAGGAGGTGAAATCAACCTCGCGGGTGCGCCGTCTTCACCATACAGAGAAACAAATAGTCGTCGTCGCGGGAAATGATACAAAGCCGTCGAACCCCTCGCCGATTCACCGTCCGAGAAACAAACAGTCGCCGACCCGGAGAGAAAGATAGTGGCGCTGTCGGCTGCACGGGGTCGTCTTCGACTGCACGGAGTCATCATTGTGGGTTGCACAGAGTCATCGTCGTCGGATGCACGAAGTTGGCGGCGGCTGCAAGGAGTAGGCGGAGCCATGGATTCATACCATTTGAAATCATACTTTTTGCTTTCTCTATGCCTTTCTTTGGATGTTGGTTCTGCCTTCCGCCACTGCTCTGCTTCTCACTCTCGTTACCATCCATGTATGTATATATATATATATATATATATATATATATACTTCATGGCACTCTCTCTCAAACGATGATGTGGAACGGAGCCACCTAATTCGCGGCTGGACAACGACGGATGGCGGGGTTTTTGGAACGTGGAGGCAGAAGTCGCTGCTATTGGAGGGGTGTGTCATGGCTTGTGGAGGCGGCCGGCGAGGCTACCGCTATGGTAGTGGTGGAGGCGGCCGGTGGATAGAAGTAGGGTTTGGATGAGAGAGGGGGAGAATTAGGGTTTAGGTAGAATATATAGAATAATCAGGTGTGGTCTTTTTTTTGTTTCCAACATTACCCTGAAGCAATTTTAACCGTGAGATTAAAAAAAGAAAAAATAAATAAAAAATAGACGGAGGATACTGAAGTAGCCACGGTGGCTACTAGAATTCTAGTTTCCACCCTAACCCATCCCAGCATTGTGCTGCTCCTCATACTTCTCTCGCTCTGTAATCTCCTCTCCTCCCCCTTCCTTCTCTGTTTCTTCGGATTTTGCCTCCATTTACTAAAATATATATATATATATATATATATATATATATATATATATATATATTTGGGCGGCCAGAGAGAGCCGGCCCTCCACCAAAAACCTGCAGAAGCTCCCAAACCCCCAAATAAAAAAAAACCACCCCATTTATCTGCCCCAACAGCCGCCATCCCTCCCCTGGCCTTTAAAATTCCACCGTACCACCACCCGACCCCGATCTCGATCCCATCTCTTTTGTGTTTCTAGGTAAGGATCACGAACCCCTTCGCGATTTCTAAACTCGATTCATCGATAGTCTAATCCGAAATTCGTATTTTGTACTATAGCGTTTGCGGAAAGGGTTGAGAGTTGATCATCGATCAACGAGGAGATCAACGTCCCGGGTCATCCAACCTAGGCCTAAGCACGTTCTATAGGTAAGGGAACTCGATCTCTTTGAGTTAGGTCGACTAATTTGGGGATTTTTCGTGAGGGTGCAAATCTGGGTTTTTAGCAACGGGCATTACAGGCTTTTAGTGACAGATTTTGGGTAGTCACTGAAGCTGCTGGGAATTTCCAAAAATGTATTTTGGATGTTTTAATTGTTTTGAGTCTCTGTGGATGTTTGTTCCTAGGTTTAATAATTTTATAAATTGAGAGACGTCTAGAAGATGACTTTAATTTAATTTGGGGATTTTTGAAGATGTATTTCTATTTTTAGAAATTGTTTGAATATTCGTTTTAATTAAATAAAAATTCTTTCCGGGGGGTTTTTAAGGGTTTGATAATCTTTCAGGGTATAGGTGCTCATGATTGACATGGAAAAATTATTATCCGAAATTTTAAGAAGGTTCTAGTTAGGTAAAAATTCTTCTAAGATAAAAATATTTAAGAAAAATGGTCGGTTTTGAAGGGATTAATTCTAGAAATTTTTTCATGGGGGTTAAGGGACCTTTGGAGTGAGGTTTGAGGATGGGACTTTGAGGAGAGGGTGTCTGTGTAGATAGAAAGGGGTTTTGAATCGAGAAAAGTCGTCTTAGAATATGAATTTCTTATTAATATGTTTCCCCAAGATAATCCGGCTAAGGAGGGGTTTCGTCGAGGAAGGAATCGAGGAGTCATCTTTTTGAGGTGAGTGTAAAGGGAGTAAAATCTCCGTCCTAGGTCTTTTAGTTTATGCTTTTCGTTCAAGTTTTTAATTAGTTAATTTTTGGAGTAATGTGCGATATGTGTGTGAGGCATTCCACCACCTGTAAGGGTGGAGGTACACGTTGTGCTATGTATGGATGTATGATTGTAATAGTTGGTTAATGGTAAGAGAAACCCCCGGGCGGTTGGGCCACTACTGAACGCGTAGATGGTCGGGTCACTGTTGGACGGCGAGACGTAACGCAGCAGTTGATCGAGTATGTTGGGGTCACTACTGGACGGCGAGACGTAACGCAGTAGTTGACTGGGCATGGGCTGGACGGCGAGACGTAACGTAGTGCCATTGCCGAGCTTGGGTATGCAACCGGACGGTGAGACGTAACACGGTTGGCATACTAGGGTAGGGACACCGGACGGCGAGACGTAACGCGGTGGTCCCTAGTGTTGGTGTCCATGGATTAAGAATATAAGTAAGGGAATTCTAAGGATAAGATAGGAGTAGAGATCTCTTATACACTATTTGACAACAAAGTATAAAGGATGAAAGCGAGAACGACTTCGTCTAAGCCAGGAACCCGAATAACGTGTTTTAGTAAGGATGATTATTTAAGGGCAGAAGGTGAGAACGTCTTTCGTGCTAGGAAGGAAATTTTCTAATAACGTGTTAGTAGGAAGTTTGCCTAGTGCAAAGACTTTAGGAAGTAACGACGGGACTGACCCCTTCTCACTCACCAGGTCGAGGAATGGTTAGCAGAGCCGGTTTTCGAGAAGAGGCAAGGCGAGGCGAGTAGCTACACCAGCATTGATGAGAAGTCAAGGAACTCGTGAAGATTCAGAGTCATAATAGTTTAATTTCTTTGTTACATGGTTAGGAGTGTAAACTGGAGATTCTGAGTTCATTCATTTTAAGTATTGAGATTGTCATTTGCCCAAGTGTTAAGTCTTTTTGTTTGAAATTCTTAAACATTGTCGGTTATTTATTTCAAAAAGTTGTTTGGGTTGCTCGGGAGCAACCGATTTGTGGTTTGAGTTATGGTTTGATTTTCAAAAAGGATCGGGTCGTTTCATGACAGTTGTGGCCCGACTTTTCCAATAAGACATTTATGGCCTACTTTTGCAAGTAATGGACAAATTTTGCCTGAAACCTGTGTTGACTGTTAAAATTGACGGTCAAACATTCTTACCGTTAATGACTCAGCAAAATACTGCTGATGTGGTTGATATTTGTCGCCACATCATTAAATAATTATGTATTTAATGTTCTGAAAAAAAATTAAAAATAAAAAGCAAAACAACAAATTAAAATAAGCACCACAAAGTCAAAATCCATACTTCTTCTCTCTTCACTCTCAGCAAAAACCCACCCTGCCGCAAGCCGACAACACCAACCCGTCCCCATTCGGCTGCCACTCCATCTTCCTTAAGCCTCCACCACCGCCTCCATCTTCCCTCCACCATCAACCTCCTCCGTTCAATCTCCCACTACCTCGACCATGCCGCCTTGCTCTTCGTCGTTTTCCATATCTACATCACTGCCCTCGGAGCCATCGTCGTCAAGATCGATGCCATTCCTCGCCACCGCGACCCTTGCTCTGCTTCGCCGCTCTCGACGCCACAGTTGCAGAGATCGACGCCATCCTCCATAGATACGTCATCGCGCCGTTGTCGTCTGTCACCATCGTCTCTCCGGCACAACATTGGTTTCCCCTGTATCAAATTGGTGGCAGCCAACCACCGGAGCCACCATCGGAACCACGATGACCACTGTCTCACCTGCTTCATCTCCCACTGCATAGTTTGACGATAAGGCTGGCTGTCGGTAAGGAGAGGGAATCGGACATGGGGAGAATCGTAGGTGAGGTTGGATGTTGGAGGAAGGGAGTTGCGATGGAGGAATCGGAGGTGAGGTTAGAACTTAGGAGAGGGGTTTTTTAGGATTTTATTTATTTAAATTTGTTGTCATTTTTTATTTTCAGTTAATAAGTGACGTGGATACCACCTCAGCACTGGTTGTTGAGTTATTGACGGAATATATGTTTGACCGTCAATATTAATAGTCAACACAAGTTTTAGGCTAAATCTGTTCATTACTTTGAAAAGTAAACCGTAAATGTCTTATTTCAAAAGTCGGGCCACAACTGTCCCTTACGCCAAACTACGGACCAAACCAAGATATCAACCCTAAAAAAATACCATTTTTGTTCTCTTCCGAGTTCCGAGGCACCAAACCACCACCAACAAGTCACAAAATCTTATTCCATAAGTTCTACTTCAAAGATTACATAATCGGATAGAATTTTGTATTATTAATGCTCAGAGGACCGTAATTAAATCTTTAGCGATATCCCCTTTGTCCCCCACCCCCACCCCCCAACCCTTTGATTAGGAGTGCCTGTCAAATCTCAAACTGTACATTAATCCCCAAGAAACGCCAACCTGGGATGTTCACAATGGAAGAATCAGACTCTGGCTTCTATTAATCCTCGTCAAGAAGAATCGCCCGCCGCATGAATTCGACCTCTTCATCGAAACTGGGCTCTTCCGGAGATACTGCGCAATGGAAGACGAACACGATGGCTGCCTGAAAGATCCCGAATCGCTACTCGTCCCCGAACCAACCGATTCGGTCGGTTCGTCGCAAACTGCGAGATTCGCCGCCAAAAAATCCATCGAGGACGACTTCCTCAATTTCTTCACTCTCTTCCTAGAATCCCCAAAGTATCCCTCAAATCCTCCTGTGCTGTTATCGGCTTCTCCGTCGTCGTTTTCCGCCGCTGCTGCTCCGACCCGTACGCTATCCACACCCACGTCAGCATCGGCCTCCGCGCGGGCGGTAGTGATAGGACTAGGCGGGTCCGAATTATCCCGACCCGACTCCAGGTCCGCGACGATATGGGCCCGGCAAAGCGGGCAGTTGGTGTGGGACCGGAGCCACGTGTCGATGCAGGAAACGTGGAAAGCGTGGCTGCATTTGGGCAGCAGCCGGAGGGTGTCTCCGTCCTGAAACTCGCTCAAGCAAACAGAGCACTCTGTTCCTTCGATCAGCCTTTCCCCCTTGTTGAATTTGCAGACGGTGATTGAATCGATCAGCGATTGAGGCAATCCGACGGTGGCAATGTACCAAATCGGGTGGTGGACTTGGTTCCGGCCCAGCAATACGTCCGGCTGCTCGTCGACGTTGGCATTGGGATCGTTCTCCCCTCCTCCTCCTCCTGATTCGCCCTCTTCTCCACGGAGCTGCTGCCGGAACCCCCGCCGCTCCAAGAAGGACTTGCCGAAGATTACGTAGTAGCTGACGAGCAGGAAGACGGCGGCTAAGATGGAGACGATGACGATGACGAGAGGGGAAATTCCCTGGTCGGCCGGCGGCGGGGGAGGAAGGACGTAGACGTCGTCGGGAAGTGGGTAGCAGTTGAGAGGGCAGGCGGGATCGCAGAATCCGGAGCAGTTTAGAGAGGTGGTGTTGGAGGTTTGGGAAGGGAAGAGCTTTCTGTGTCTCATGGCGGCGAATTGGATCTGAGGATCGCGGGGAAGAGGGGAAATAGGAAGGAGGGAGTAGAAGATGGCGTGTGCGTGGGTTTGGGGTTGGAGGGAGAAAGTGATTGGTAATCCATCGTCTTTTTCTAGATTGGAGTCCACAGTGTGGTTCGAGTTTGCCAAACTTTGCTTAGTTTAGTTCTCTCTTCTCTTTGGCTTCAACTGACTCTGTCTTTTACGCTACTTCATTTTTGTTTTCAAAGTAGCAAAAGGAAATGAAACGAAAACTCTCCATTGACGGATAAATCTTGGCTTTTCTTCCATACATATTCTCTTTCCAATTAAAAAAAAATTTTGCCATTCAAGTTTTGGTAAGCAATTGCACAAATGCATAATTACCTTTCATTTTCTTTTTTCTTATAAAAAGGGAGGTTGAAAAGGGTTAAAAATCAATTGGTTTCAATAACTTGAGTTTTAGTAGAAAGTTATTATGGATATTATACCACTCTCTTAAAGAAATAGCCAGGAAATACAATTGGCAAGACCGTCTAAACCCTAAGGCGGCTAGCTCTCAAACGAGCAGTACCAGACCAACATACACAGATGAACAAAAAGGGATCTCCAAAAGACCACAGAGAAAACAAATTCCACTGCCTTTAAAATGTCCCTTGGATCACTAGCATGTTGGAGAGTCATCCATAATCGCCACTGATTTTAGCATCGTTCCGTTAGTAGAGCTTCCTTCCTACGCTTTGTAGGAAGTAGCGACTTTTGGTTGAGATTCATCAAAGATATTTTCAATAACTTGTATTGAGATTGGGAAAGTGGGGTCATTGACTCTTTGTTGCAGTTCCCGCTTCAATTCTCTTTATAGCATGTGATTTACTTGGATTGATTTCCCGCAGATTTGAGAATGAGCCCTTTCTTCTTGTCTTGGACGGGAGCGGATCAGGTCAGTAACTCTATGCTCAGTAATCATGAGTAACCTGTCCACATCAGCATGACATCAGTAGCCTCTCTCTCCTGAAAAGTCTTTTATCTTTTCCCCTTTAATCTTTAACGGACGATTTCTCTCTCATTTTAAGTCGAAATTTAAATTTTTTTTGCACAGATAAATCAGATTAAATATGCTCTTCAAAATGATATACACTTTGATATATTTTTAGTACAAAAAAATTGAATAATTTTTTACCAGTCATTACCATATGGTATGCTCTAGTTTAATACCATATGGTAAGAAAGCGTACCATGATGGTATGAACATACCAATATGGTAAGAAGGTTGAATACATGATAGTAGGAGTATATTAACTGTCATTTACGACTTTCATAGTGGTAAAGTATGGTAATTTTTTATCTAGTATTTTTTTCACCCAGAAATTTATAGATCCAATAGATCATGATGAACTCGTTCCTTCTGAGCAAACGTTTTCAAAAACGACTTAAAAACGAAGAAGTTACCATATGGTATGTAGTTGGTAAAAAAAAAAGTTTCTCGAAATATATTGAAAATTGATCTCATTTTGTAGAGCACAGCGAACTCGTTCCATCTGTGCAAAGAAAAAATTGAAATCCGAGTTAGAACGAAGAAGATAAGAGCCAATTAAGAAAACTAGGGAAAATAAAATACATTTAATTGACAACCCTTAGATCTGAATTTTCTGGACCCACTTAAATCTAAAGGTCCAGATTTAATTACTCATAGGTTAGTAACCATTGGTTACTAACCCTATCCTAAGCCGTCTTGGGCAGGGAATTAGTCGATCGATTCTTTCCAGAAGTGTCACCGGATTGAGGATGGATTCCCATTTGGATTCGCATTCTCTTTCGCACATAACTCAAGGACAGGGACAATCACTATTTGGATCTCGGTGTTGTTGAGCCCAAAGTTGAGTGATTGAGATGTTTTTTCATTGTCTCAAATTTGATTGTGAGGGTTTGTTGGGGGCTTCTCCTAAGACTGAGTTTCATTGTCTTTAGTGTTTCCGATTGGGTGCCAGATATGGTTTGCAGGGGTTTAGCCTTAGGGTTTCCGCTAAAACCATCGTCTTTCCTTTATGTGCCGCCGAGGATCCCTTGATATGAATCGAGACTCTAACTCTTGGATTCAACGGTTATCAAAGTCAGCAGCCAACTTGATCATCAAGAGATCTCCCACGAATTTCAATGAAAAATAAAGATAATATGGAAAACGATCAAACAATATCAAATTATGAGAAGGGCCGATCGGTATAAGGTAAAACTCGCCACAACTAGGGTAATTATCTAGTTGATAAGAGACGCACAAGCACCTGGAATCCTCGACATAAATTTGGGCACATGTTCACAAAGAAACTCAATGAGTCTTCACTAACTTAATCAATAAAATTTTCGTGTTCCTCTTACAATGGAACTCAGACCCTTTTTATAGACTTCATAAACTAAATCCTAATCTAAGAATGAAAGTAAAAAACTTAAGAAGTAAACAAAGGAAATCCGAAAATTAAATAAGTCCTAATCCATAAAGGATTTGACTAAACCACTAACTTGCTTCTTGGATAAGGAAATAGCTTTCCTTCTTGGCTAATGAATCCCCAAAACCCTCTTCCTTTGCCAGCACCTTGGTCCAAGCCCAAGCCATCAAGATGATCTTCTTCAAGCTACACTCCAATCTCTTGGGCTTGGTGGCCGATCTAGGACTGGGCCACCCCAGGCCACGACCCAGCCCTCCTCTAGATTCAGAGCTAGCATAGTGCTTATAAATTTGTTTATTTTAGGTATTCATGCCCAGTGCTATTTAAAAGTCGGTCCAATGTTATTTGTTAATAGGATTTTGTGTAACTAGGAAAATGGTATAGATGAACATATCCAAATCACTACTCTAAATTTAGACTAAAAATTATAGCACCAATAATTTTTATTTGAAAAAACCAGTGTTATCAAAACTGAGCCGAGTCGGTCGGTCAAATCGATAAAACCAGAACCCAACCACCAACTCGGCTCGGAACACTTAAAAAATGTAACGGTTGAACTGATCGGCTGGTTAATGGTTCAAATGGTTAACCATCAAAACCATTCAACTCGGTCAGCCGGTTCTCGGCTATACAACCCCTTATTAAAGAACTAGCTCGACGTCCGAGAAACACGTCATGGGTTCAGATACTGGGTTGTCACCTTGTTTCTCGAAAAATAAGCTTTCCACACAGTTTTTGGTGCACACACTATTCCTTTTAGCGGACATTAGGTTTTTTTATTAAAAAACGAATTCAATCCCTCATGAATAGGCCGATAAGGTTGATGCGGGGAAAGTTAATATGCTAACTTGAAGATTCGTTAGCAGATACTAACTGATAACCAAAATACACGAACTAGTATCCAAGTACTAAAGTATCTAGAGAGCACAGACTAGTAGTCAAGGTTTGCTAACTAATATCCACAATGAATCAACTATTATCCCAAATTCACAAACTAATATCTAGACAACACGGAATAGTATCCATACAACACATAATTAGTATCCAGATAACACATAAGAGTATCCAGATAACACATAAGAGTATCCATATTGAATACTAGTTGGTTGATTGTGGATATTAGTTGGTATCTGCTATCTAGATACTAGTTTGTGATGTTTTGAATACTAGTCTGTGCTATCTAGATATTTAGTAAAATCAGCATACTTGGATACTAGTTCATACATTTTGGATTAGTTAGTATATACTAACAACTTATGCAGTTAGCATAATAACTAGGTTGGGTTGATGCTGCTGCATGCAAGGCATTGGCAATTATGAGAAGGAGATGTTGGAATTTTCCCTTCCTAATGCCATTTTTATCTCTCGGTTGGAACTGTTTTATAGTTTTGTTTTGGGTTAATAGCATTTGTACCCCTCTACTTTAGTAAATTAACAAACGTATCCTTTTATTAAATTTTTGCACAAATATATCCTTCTACTATTAAATTTACCCTTCCATCTAATAATTCGTTAAGTGACCATTAAATGGGCTGAGAATGACCCAATTGCCCCTCAATTAATCCTAATTTCAGTTTTATTTATTTTTTTATTTATGTCCTCATCGCCTGCATCTCACTCTTCGCTGGACCCTGTTCACACCACTACTGCGATACCCAAGCCGGGCACGGACTCGGCCAACCATGAGTCACAGTACATCCCATGTATGCTACTTTAGTGTCGTTCACGCAAACCGGCTAACACCAAGCACAACGACCGCCGCTCGTTGAACATCGCCGATCACCCAACCCGAGAACAGTTCGACATAGACAACAACTGAAAACTAATCAAGCACAAGATCTAATCAGCAACACTCCCACAATCAATTGCCAATTACGGGGAATGGAAGCCGGGATGGGCATGGATTGTGAGAAAACAAGGGAATAAATGTTGTTATGACCTCACAAGCAGAAGAGAATCCCTCTCCTCAAAATGCAAAAAGATAGGGGAAAGGTGTTTCTGTGGCAAACGAAAACGAGAAGAGGAAAGAAGAGGCAACCCAAAAAAAATATATGAAGTAGTTGGCAACCTCTAGCAAAGTTGTCCTCGATGCCGGCTGCATCAGGCTTCGGCGGTGGCGAGATCCAATCACTATACTCCAGGCGTCGTCGGTAAGGAAATGCGGGCATGAGAGATATCAAGAGATGGACAGTCCCGAGTGCTTCTGTTTTAGTTTTTAGGGGTTTTATTTTCTAATTAATTAATCTGGGAAATGCATAATAAAATAATTAAAATTGAAATTAGAAATAAATGAGGGCAGTTGAGTCATTTCCAGTCCATTTAACGGTCATTTAACAAATAATCATATGGAAGGGTAAACTTGTTATGATTTAATATTAGAAGGATATATTTGTGCAAAAATTTAGTAGAGGGGTACGTTTGTTAAATTTACTAAAGTAAAGGGGTACAAAATGCTATTAACCCTTTTGTTTTCATTGATAACATTTTCACAATGCTAGATAAGTAATGGGTAATTCTAAATTTTGGCTTTTAGATTCAAAATAGAATGTATATTGACTATTGAGGCTGCGGAGAAGTAGCGGCATGGCGGCGGAAGAGAAATCCACCGGTGATTGATTGAGAGTCGGTTTGTCATATGCCGTCGGTGGTTGCATATCGTAGCGGCTATGGACACTACAGTTCTACTACTCAAGCTTTGGAGTTTCATTTCATTTGGGGGATGGGTTCAGATACTATAACAACACTATAAGTGGTCTTATAGTTAGGGGGTGAGTATTGGATGGTTGAACCTACAAATTCATCCAAATCCACCTCACATTCATTATCATGTGGGTGGTTCCTATAGGTAGTATGAGTTGTAAAATAGGTGACCCACAAAAGATTGGGTGGGTGCGGATGGACTGTGGTTGACCCACGATCCACCCAACTTTTTATTCTCAAACCGGTGACGACAACGATACGAGTTTAGAGGCCAGAGTGGACATCGACACTCCTAGAGACGAGGTGGCTCTGAGCAGCTTAACAAGGGATAGAGACTCGCCGAAACTGGATACGATGCTAAATATCCATGACAACGATTACTTTCCGATTGATTGAAGTCGAGAAGAAAGCTCTACATTGAGGAGTCTTGACTGGCCTGCAATTCAGAAGTTTCCAACTTAAGATTAAGGTCGGAAAGTCATGGCGTCGAATTACCAAGACGCGTCTGTGCTTCTTGACAAAAACTGCCTCTTGATTTTCACAAGCTGAACAAGAATCACACCTACGGTCGTGATTTGATTGAGACGCTCTCGGCGTCTGATTTGAGTTTGTTTGAGCTGAGCCTTCCTGTTGCCAACGACGAACAAGATTTCGGATGCAGACAACGCCAATCGAGAGGAAAAAGTACAGCCGTGTAAGAGGTAGATCAATAGCTTCGACAGGAATAACACGAACAATAACTGAACGACAATATTGTGCAGACAGTCACTTGACTCTGGCTAGCTGTGGGATGATGAAGGTAAAAAAAGACCTCTGACTGATGACGTCGGTGCTGTCATGAAGAGGTAACGATGTTGACTGCGGAAGCTCAAAACCCTAGACAAGGGATCGAGTTTCGCTCTAATACCATAGAGAATTTGATAACGCGAAAGATCAAAATAACAAGAGAGACACGAGATTTTACGTGGTCTTCTTGTTCTTGATTGAACGAGACTAATCTACGGTGAACTCAGAAGAGCTCACGGTTGACGTTTTATTGAAGGACTACATTGTGATGGCTTGCTTACAACATGAGAGTAGCTAAGCCTTATATAGAGAAAGACTTAGGATTAAAACCCTAATGAGAAGAGCCGAGTACACCAATCATCCGTACTACTACAACTCGGACAAGGGCCAACAAGGCCCAATACTCACACATTTATATGCAACCTCAACAGAGCACGTTTAACTTCGTAGTGCTCACAAGAACTCCTCCATTTCACCCCAAAATGTATCTTGTCAGTTAAGATCAATTTCTTACTTATGAACCATTGATCTCGCTCGTGCTTTGTCGATAGGATTTGTCTAATGTGTTACATTAACCCTAAGAAAAAACCAAAACAGGAAGACAAAAAAGAGTTTATAAAAAAAGCAGTGTTATTAAAACTGAACCGAGTCGGTCAGTCCGATAGGTAAAGCTGGCAACCAGCCACTAAACCGGCTGGACACAGTCAATAAGCCGAAACGGTTGAGGAGCGGCCGAGATGGTTAACCGCTCGATCCGCTCAACTCGCGCTCCCTATTTTTGCTTTCTGGCCGCCACTGACATAAAAATGAGAATAAAAAAAAGTGATGGGAGGAGACTGATGAGGCTTAGATCTGAGGCGACGGTGGATGGGGTGGAGGAAGGCGATATTCATGATTGTGAAGCAGACGCGACATAAGGCGAAGTTGGTAGCGACAGGCGAGGCAGAGATTTTGTGTCGCTTCCCGTCGGAGATTCTCCAGAGGACGGCGGTTAATCTGGCTGTGGTGGCACCAGGGGGTTAGCAGTAGAACAAAAAAAATGGAGAGGAGATCGAGAGTTTGAGAGAGAGGGGATGAGATTGAGGGGGGAGATTGGGGAAAAAGGTGTGCGGCACAGGTGGGGGTGGACTTAGGGTTCTTTTAAGTTAATATATATTTGGCAAAGGCTAGCGTACGTCCCATTGGAATTAACCGGAGTTTGGGACATGATACTTTATCCTAACCTTTAATAGGTGACTCCCAATCCCCAATTCACTAAACCAAAGCATGAGATTCGTTTAATCTTAAAATGAAAATCAACGATTATGATTCGTCGAAATTATCATTGATTTTTATTTTACGATTAGACGAATCTCATGGTTTGGGTTAGAAAATTAGGGATTGGGATTGGGGGGAGAAATTCTTGGACAATGAGTGTAGAAAGAGAAAGTGAGCGTGCGAGGGTGAGAGAGAGAGAGGGTGGGTGAGTGAGCGGGGTCAGGTTAGGGGTAAGGATCGGCTGGGCTTTTCTCTTAGATCTAGGGGCTTTTTGGTTGATTTGCAGGAGGATTGGTCCTTCCATGTTGCCGGGTTTAGATTGTCAGTAAGATCGACCGGCGCAACCCACTTCATATTCTTGGATGAGGAGTTGATCGACTGGCTACAAGGGATTCTTCAGGTGGCACTAGCGCGTGGCTGGAAATTCTATGGGAAGGAGGCCAGGCATAGCGGATCTCGGATGTTGCAAGTGGGGGAGTTTTGTAAAGCAGGCGAGTGCTTTCTTCGCGTCGCGGAAACGTGTAGGAATGGAAGAATCTTCTTTGTGCTTGTGCCGATGGATGAATCAGTAGTGGGATGGTCTTCTTTTCTCAAATCTATTCAAACTCTGTCGAAAGAGGCACTCACAAGACGTCGAAGTTTGGCCGGGAATAATGTCTCAAATAAATTGATGGTGCCAACAGGGGATGCTGCAGATTCAAATCGGGTCTCTTTTGCAGATTTATTCAAAAAGTCAGACCTGCCGGTTGAAGGAAGATGTACAGTTAAGTCGATTGAAGGGTCAAAAGTGCTGGTGGTGTCGGAAACAGGGGTTAAAGATCGAGAGGCCTACCTCCGGCGATGTTTGGTCTTTCGATTTGTGGGGAACGACAGCCTAAATTGGGATGACTTCCATAGGTGGACTCAGAAGAATTGGGGTGTTTCTTGTTCGAATCCAAAACCCCTAAGTGATGGTTTATGGCTTTTTCCTTGTGGATCGGCAAAAGAGGTGGATAGAGTTTTAGCTCTAAACAGATGGCGGTTTAAAGATTTCCGCATTTATGCAGATTCGTGGATCGAAAATGCAGGGAGATCCAGGGTTCAACTTTCTCATGGAGAAGTGTGGATTCGAGCCAATGGCATTCCCCTTCATCTGCGATCCAGAGATCTACTCAAACAACTTGGGAATTTTTGTGGCGAAGTGAAGGAAATCCAAGAACAGGGGCTTTCTCTAAATGATGCTCGCATTCGCATTTTACCTTCTGATTTAATCCCGGAAGAAATTCCTGTGTGCTATGGATCCATGGTCTTTCCGGTCAAGATTGAGATGGAGTCGACGACGGTGCAACCCTCAGTTGACTCAGGCGTTAAATTTCTTCATGGATGGTGAGGCAAGGGACGCGCGGTCTTCGTACGGAGAGAGCGAGTGGAAAGAGATTCGGATCTTAATGTGGGAACGTCGGGGGCGAAGGTGATGGATCAAAGAAATTTGGGTGATGTTTTGGAAAAGGCCGTGTCTGAAGAAAGCTGGGGAAGGGAGCTTTTTGGGGACATTCACAGATACAGGAAGGATGATGGCGATGTTGCTTGTGGGGAGGAAATTCATCGATCAAAGAATTTCAACTCTGATTTATTGGGAGGCCGGTCAACTACTTGTGAAGCTCTTGGGGGTGGTGATGAGGTCCCTCATGCGGATAGGGTTTTTTGGGATGTCCCAAATGGTGAGAAGGGGGTGCATTTAACTGAATGGGCTGAAAGGGAAGTGGAGGCCCAAGAAATGAATCAAAAGGAGGGACTGAAAGGTGTTTTGGAGTCATGGGCTTGGGAGCCCACGAATTTGGGAGTTGATATAGGCTTGCAGGCTTTGTTTAATTTCCTTAGCATTCAGGTTTCTCAGCCCAATATGCTAATGCTTTTGCATCTTTGGAAAGCTTTTATGGTCTGGCCCATCTTCCACCTTTTTAATCCTCAAGTGAATTTAGATGATTTTGTGTCAACTTCCCTCCTGCCATGCTATCTCAAGCCACAATATCAATCTGTTATGTTGAGGGAAACTGATGAAACGGATGAAGCTTCTCCCATGGCTATTTTGCAGGCTACATCTTCTGAGGAGGAAAATATGTTCCAGTATAGTGAGTTGCTTGCTAATATTGTGAAGTTAGGGATGGAAAACTCTTTAGAGTCTCCTGATTTACCAAGAGAGAACACAATGAAGGAGGTGCTATCAAGAAGAAAGAAAGCACCTCCTTTATCCCCACGGGAAAGAGCTCTTCGACTACTAGGAATTGAGGAAGGTGATGCCACTAGCATTATCACAGCCGGACGGCCACGCAGAAATGGGTATGCCCCACTCCGAATTACTCATGATTTTTAATTTGGTATCTTGGAATGTTAGAGGGTTGAGAGATCCGACTAAGCAATTTAAAGTTAGAGATTTTTTTGGCTCCAATTCGTCCTTCAATTTTGTGCTTTCAAGAAACAAAGCTTGAGAGTTGTAAAGATTCCATTGTGTATGCTATTAGTGGTCGTCATGAGATGGATTGGGTTGATAAACCGGCAGTGGGTTTCTCCGGGGGTATTTTGGTGGCATGGGATAAGTTAGTTTACGACCTTGAATGTCATTGGGTGGGGAAATTTTGCTTGGTGTTGGTTTTTACTCAAAGAGAAGATGGTTTCAAATGGGTACTGATTAATGTTTATGGTCCTAATGAGAGAGCTGATCGGCGGGTCTTTTTGGATGAGTTGGCATCATGTTTGTCTTGGTGGGCTTTCCCTTCTTGTATTGTCGGGGATTTTAACATGGTCTGTTCTCAGGAGGATGTGATTGGGGGTCCTAGGAATATTTTGGACATGACTATGTTTAACGATTTCATCAATGATCATGCACTTTGTGATCTCCCTCTCCTTGGCTATCGCTTTACTTGGTCAAGTCAACAATCTAACCCTTTATTATCACGAATAGATCGGGTTTTGGTCTCGCCAGGGTGGGAAAGCAAGTTTCCTACTTGCTCTCTAAAGTCCTTCATTCGTGTTGGATCCGACCATTGTGCACTGTTGTTGACAAGTGGGGAGGATCGTATTATTCGACGTCCTTGGAGATATTGAGTTCATGTGGGTTGATCATGAGGACTTTGAGAGTCAATTGGAGAATTGGTGGGTCACTTCGGTTGACGGTTTTGGGGTTTTCTTCAGATGTGCAAAGAAACTAAAACAAGTAAAAGAGAATATTAAAAAGTGGAATAGGGAAGTTTTTAAACATGTGGATGTGGAAATCAGCCTCACCTTAAAGCAAATTGCTGATTTGGATCTTTCTGAAGAAGGTGATGGGTTGTCAAAGGATGATCAAGTGCACCGAAACTTTCTAAAATGCCATTTGGATCGACTTTGGAAAAGGAAGGATATTAGTTGGCATCAAAAGTCAAGGGAGACATGGTTGATTTGGGGATATCGAAATACTTCCTTTTTCCATAAGGTGGCTACTTTTAATCAAAGAAGAAATTTTATTGACAATATTTGGGTTGGTGAGGTCTTATGTTCGGGTCAAGAGCAGCTTGTTACCGCAATTGTTTCTTATTATGAAATTTTGTTTCATGAGTCTACTCCGAATAGACCTTTCCCCTATGGCTTGGACTTTCCATCACTCCCTCCATGTGCTGCTGAGTTTTTGGTGAAACCCTTTGAGGAGGAGGAAGTGTGGAAGGTGGTAAGGAATAGCAAAGGAAATCATGCACCTGGCCCAGATGGTTTTCCTATGGGGTTCTTCAAGAAATTTTGGCCTATTGTGAAGGTGGACATTTTGGGGGCTTTGAACGAGTTTGACGCTACTGGGATGTTACCAAAAAGTGTTAATCACACTTTTTAGGTCTTGATTCCCAAAAAAGAAGCAGTTGGAGATGTCAAGGATTTACGACCTATCAGTTTAGTGTCCAGCCTTTACAAGATTCTCTCGAAGGTTCTCATGGAAAGATTGAGAACATACATGGGAGGCTTGGTTACAGAAGAACAATGTGCATTTGTGGGAGGTCGTCAAATACTTGATGCAGTTTTAATTGCCAATGAATTGATTGATTCGAGGACAAGGGCCAGAAAGCCTGGATTGGTCTTCAAGCTTGATATCGAGAAGGCATACGATCATGTCAACTGGAATTGTCTCTTATTGGTCCTTAATAGTATGGGCTTCCCCGCTACTTGGCTATCTTGGATCAAAAGTTGTATTTCATCGGCATCTTTTTCTGTATTGGTGAACGGAGAAGGTTCAGGGTTCTTTCCGAGTGAGAGAGGCCTCAGGCAGGGTGATTCCCTGCCCCCTTTCTGTTTATCTTGGTGATGGAGGTTTTATCTGGGATCTTCAAAACTCTTCGAGCTCATGGTTTAGTTGAGGGTTTCTTTATGAATGAGGAATTAAAGATTGGAGAGGTCTCTCACATCTTTTATGCTGATGATACCTTACTTTTCTGTGATGCATCTGAGGAGCAGGTGCGTTTACTCCTTGTGGCTTTGGCACTCTTTGAAACCATCTTAGGACTTCGGGTAAATTTGCACAAGAGTTCTATGATGGTAGTGGGGGAGGTGGATAATCCAGAGCATTTGGTGAATATTTTTGGTTGCAAATTGGAAACTCTCCCGACTACTTATCTAGGACTCCCCCTGGGTTCTAAAGCCGCGTCCTTGGCAGTATGGGAACCAGTTATTGATAAAGTGCAGAAGCGTCTAGCTACTTGGAAGGCAAGGATGTTGTCCTTTGGAGGCAGGTTGGTGTTATTAAAGAGTGTTTTGGCAAATCTTCCTATCTACTTCCTGTCTCTTTTTAGGGCCCCTCTTTCGGTCATTGCTAGGTTGGAAAAAATTCAAAATGACTTTCTATGGTCAGGAGTCTTTGAGGTGAAACGTCTTCATTTTGTGAGATGGGAAATTGTCAAAACTCCCATGAGTAAGGGGGGTTTGGGAGTCTTGGATCTTAAGAGTGTGAATCGAGCTTTGCTTGGCAAATGGGCTTGGAGGTATGGAGTGGAAAGAAATGCTTGGTGGAGGAATTTGATGGTTGTGAAATGTAGACTTGGTGTGTCGGATTGGAAACCAAACTGGAATTTGGGTAATCATGGATGTTCCTTGTGGAGGGTGATTGTCAACGAAAGCTCTTATTTTTGGGAGGTGGCCTATGTCGATCCTGGGGGGGAAATGGGGTTTCTTTTTGGCACGATGTTTGGATCCGGGGAAACACCTTGCGAGAGAGATCCTAAGGGTTGCGGTTGCTGCCCAATCCTTGGATGTTTTTGTTTCTGATTTGATTTCTTTGGATGACAGATCTTTATTGGAGATACCCCTTTCGATCTCCCTTCGTCGGGGCGCTGAAGCGGAGCATGCCCGTTTAAGGCAACTGTTGTCTTCACTCTCACCAGAATGGATCTCGATCGGCCCTGCTCATCTTGTTTGGCCTTTGGAGTCCTCCTCGATTTTCTCTGTGCACTCCTTCACATCTAACCTCATCGATACTACCTTTGCGGGTGACGTTTCCTTCCCCTTCAAGCTTGTTTGGATCTCGCATGTGCCTTCGAAGATATGTTGCTTCCTTTGGATGGCCTATTTAGCAAAGATCTCTACTATTGATAACTTAAGAAAAAGAGGCATGATAATCACAAATTGGTGTTCTCTTTGCAAGTGTCAAGAAGAGACGATTTGTCATCTCATGTTCACATGTTCATTTTCAAAAGACGTTTGGGCAAGATTCACATCATCTCTTCAGCTACATGTCCCTCTCCCATCAACGATGCCATCATTTCTTCCGGCTTGGAGAGGATTAGGGTATGACACAAAGCTTAGTGATTGTATGAAAGTTCTACCTCATGCGGTGTTTTGGTATATTTTGACAGAGAGAAACAACCGAATTTTTAGGAATACCGAATCATCCCCAGTTGAGGTTTGCCACAAGATTCGTCATGCAATTGGGAGATGGCTTCGAGCTTTCAACCTTATCTCAGATGAGCTCTTCAGGAATGGGCGAGGATTGGAGTTGGCTAACAGTTTGTTCTTTTTCTTTTGCTTCTTCGTGTTTTTCTTTTCCTTTTTTTTTTCTCGAGACTTGTTTGAATTTGCTCGTTTTGTGGGTTTTGTTTTCATTTCTTTTTATTGTTCTCACGTTGGACCCCCTTCCTTTTTTTCCCCCTTTGTCTTTGTCTGTCAGTTTCTTTGCCATTTTTTGGCAAGTCTCCATTCATTTTTGCAATAAAAAGTTTCATATCATCATTCATAAAAAAAAATTTAGGGATTGGGGGTTAGGGTATAGTATCATGCCCCAAATTCTGGTTAAATCATGATCTAAATAGCAAAACTCTATAAAGCGCATAATGTGTAATATTACAAAATGGTATATGATAAATTTTATTTTAGTCATTAAATCGTTAAATTATTATCTTATTTATCTTCTACTTATGATATTATTGTTTTTTTTATCGGAACCTGTAGTCAGCTTTTATTGATTTGGAATTGTCACATCATCAAGTTTAAGCTAATCAATCAGATTCTGAGCAAACCTATCAAACCAAACATCCACTATATCCCACAGAGTATTCGTGTGCGCCATGATATGCGCAACTTCATTAGCCTTTCGACTAACATATTGTAAAGTCCCACCACCTGTCTCCTCTAACAACTTCCTGATGTTCCTGCAAATCACCCCGAGCTCCGTTTGTATGTCTGAAGAGCGCCTGACACCTGTTACCACGTTCAAAAATTTTGATTCCAGGATCGGTCTCGCAATATGATGGTGGCGCGCTAGCTGTAGCCCAAATTCAGTTGCAAGTGCCTACCCCATCGTTGGATCCAATACTCCTCTGACCTGTTTTGCCGCTGCCGTTATAAAAGCTCCCATGTGGTTACGGACCACCACACCCAGTCCCACACCTTCAGCTCCAACCCTTGCGTCAGTGTTGGTTTTCAGCCTTCCCTCCTCCGGTCTTGTCCATACTTGACTAACTCTTCCCGTTGGAGACCCCTCAGAGCGAGCTTGGTGCATACGATACTCATCCAAGAAGGCCTCTGCCCACGGGACTATCTCCATCTCGTCCATTTTCACACCATTAAAAAGGTGAGCATTCCTCTCCTTCCAGAATATCCATGAGAACCACCCAATCTTCTAACACGTTTTCTGGGATAGCTTTTGCTACCTTCCAAAACCATTCCATGCAGTTTGAATCACCCCGTAACTCGAAGCAGTAGGCGACACTCGAGGCCCTCCATAACCTGCTCATCCACACACATTGATAGAACAAATGAACTTGTGTTTCCACTTGGGTATAAAAGGGACCCGAATCACCCCTTCTTGGGTGATTATTATAGAACAAATGCACTTGTGTATCCACTTGTGCTTCTTCCCGTCACCATTGATATTATTGTTTATAGAATGTCGGTTCTCAGACAATTTTTTAACGGCTTGATATCAATTGAACTAATAAAGTGTGAGCCGTTCACGTTACCGGGTCATGCTTCGATTTGGTTCTGACGAGGACAAAAAAGAGATGTCAGTCGTCGTTTGCGAGGCCTGAAACTGAATAAAAAACGTAAAAGAATAATCAATCCGTAAGCCGAGCACCCGAGCAGCTTAGCTCTCTTCTCAGAAGGGAAGAACGAATCCAAGAGGCGCCAGAGAGCGCACAGAAAAGGAGGAGAAAATTTTGGAAAGAAAGGCCAGTGCTTCGAGGGAACTGGACGTAAGTGGGCAAATGATGATGATGAGCAAGCTTTTGATTCGAAGACGCTTTTTAACTCTGGCTCGCTGCAGTTGTTGAGAAAATGGGTAGTTCCATTTTCCTCTTCGCCGCCGTCTGCACCACAAACATCTCCTCTGCCCACCTCCACCAGCTACCGTTGAGCCGCTGCTTTCACCTGCGATCCGATTCTCTGTCGCTTTCACCATGACCTACTCCTCCTCCTCCTCCTCTCACCATTATAAACCCTCCATCGAATTTGAATTTCTATCCCCATCGCGCATTCGAAATCACGCTTGTTGCCGACGTTCCCATGGACCCCACCGTTCGCCCAGCCGTCGTCATCGACAACGGCACTGGGTATGTCTCAATTTTTCTGCGGTTGCCCATTTTTCGTGTAATTGAATCGGGGACAGAGGTGTTCGACGGGGGAATTCGTTTTGTTTTGTTTTGTTTCTGCAGGTATACTAAGATGGGATTCGCGGGAAATGTTGAGCCTTGTTTCATTCTACCGACAGTAGTTGCAGTGAATGAGTCGTTTCTCGATCAATCTCGGGCTTCCTCCAAGGCGAATTGGCTCGCCCAGCACAGCGCCGGGGTTTTGGCCGATCTGGACTTCTTCATTGGGGATGAAGCAATTACCAAATCGAGGTCTAGTAGCAGTTACAATCTTAGCTACCCGATTCAGCATGGGCAAGTCGATAATTGGGATGCCATGGAGAGGTATTGGCAGCAGTCTATATTCAATTACTTGCGGTGTGATCCGGAGGATCATTACTTCCTTTTGACAGAGAGCCCGCTCACGGCACCGGAGAGTAGGGAATATGCCGGTGAGATTATGTTCGAGACGTTTAACGTCCCTGGCCTTTACATTGCCGTCAATTCCGTCCTCGCCTTAGCTGCCGGGTATACAACATCTAAGGTTGGTACTCAAATTTGAATTCTTTACACCTGCTCTGTAATAGTTGTCTGCCTTAAACTATGGTTTCACTGCTCAAACTTATGCTCTGTTCTAGGAGGGTGTAAATAGGACTGAGATGATTCTTGATGAGTTATCTGTAGGCTATTGAAGTTGTCAAATGGGAATGGCTTAACTAAATCAGACTTATTGCCTCAATGTTGACTATAAACTGGTGAAATTTCTGATTACTCCAGTTCATGGTTCAATACGGAATAAGCATTGTGAAGATGGGTCTATTTCTTGCTGTTTCTTCGCCTATTTGGCTTATATGCAGTATTTGGTTATGTTCTTGTAGTAACCTGCTCATATGAGATTAACCTACTAGCTTCTTAGTGCGAGATGACAGGCGTTGTGGTGGATGTTGGGGATGGTGCTAGTCATGTTGTCCCTGTCGCTGAGGGCTATGTAATTGGAAGTAGCATCAAATCAATTCCTATTGCTGGACGGGACGTTACCCTTTTTGTCCAACAGCTTATGCGGGTGAGTTACTTCTGACCTCAGAGTTCTTAACTATAATAGCGAATGGTTGCATTCTCATGCTTTTATAATTTATATGGGTGCTTCTCATCATCAATATGAGTTGTGGGTTAGTTCTTGGTGTTTTCTGGTCTAAATATTAAACTGAAGTTGTTTCCTGTGTGTTTGAACATTACTTTATGGCAGGAAAGAGGAGAGAATGTACCGCCTGAGGATTCATTTGATGTAGCTCGGAAAGTCAAAGAAATGTATGGCTACACTTGTTCTGGTATTGTCAAGGTGATTTTTGCTTATTTTTTGAATTCTTAGAATGGAAGATTAACATTATGTAAGGTGTAAGGATATAAAAGAGGAGATCATGTAAATTTGTTGTTCAAGTATATAATGCACTTGTGCTCTAATAATTGTAGTGGATGATTCTAATTTGTTTTTACAAATGATTACAGGAGTTTAACAAGCATGATAAAGAACCATCCAAGTTTATTAAGCAATGGAAAGGTATCAAGCCAAAAACCGGGGCGCCATACTCATGTGATGTAGGCTATGAGCGTTTCCTTGGACCTGAGGTTTGTCATTTTTCTCTCTACAGCATCATTTTATGTTGCAAAGCATAATAATGGTATATTTTGGCAACGACTAGTCGTTGTTGCTTATATTATAAGTCAGACTTATTTCTGTCATAAGATTAGACCAATGGGCAGAAGAATTTCATTATTCTTTCCTAGACTACACTTGATTTCCTTACCATGATGGCAAGTTTGAGTATGCTAGACATCACACTTGTCAGTGAGAACTTTGCTTGTGCTGCTTATTTAACCATTATAACTTTACAGTACTAAGATAGGCAGAGCCGGTAGTTGGACTTATTGGGGCAAAAGAAAGCTTGTGAACCCACCACCTCCTTTCTCTCTCTAAACATTACTACCTCTGCCTATCGTAGTAATGTATGTTGAAAATCATGCATAGGCTCTGTTAATATGAAAAGACGAGCGAGCAAGTTGGATTTTCGTTAATATGACATGTTCTGTATCACTGTAGTGTCGTTTCAGATGTTTGCTGTGACTATTGAACACATATTTTTGTTTCTATGAAGTCGATTCGGCTGCCTTCCTTCTGAGGCTCTGTTGTCTTATTTTGCAGATTTTCTTTAACCCTGAGGTCTACAGCAGTGACTTTACAACTCCTCTACCAGATGTAATTGACAAATGCATTCAGTCTGCACCAATCGATACCAGGAGGGCTTTATACAAGGTAACCAGTTCTAGATGAGCTTAGATGAATTTGTTGACAGACGGTGTTTCTTTTGTGCTGCAAATCTTTAGGTCATGGGTCCAACTGATGATGTGTTCTTACATGCTCTTATATTTACTTTAAAGGTAGATTCTGTATTGCAATTGCTTAAGAATTCAGATGGTTCCTTTCTATTGTATGAGCATATGTTTGATAATTTCAGTATGAAGTTCATGCATGTGCAGCTTGACTTTTAGTCCTGTAATGCCAGATCTTGATTCCGTTTCTTATTTTTTTTTAGAATATAGTATTATCTGGCGGATCAACCATGTTCAAGGATTTCGGTAGAAGGTTGCAACGAGATCTGAAAAAGATTGTGGATGCACGAGTTCAGGCATCTGAAGCCATACTTGGTGGTGATATTAAAGTATCCAATTCTTATGCATCTCATATGCTCTTTTTGTAATGCATCACTTTGACTAGAGAAAAGCGGTTGAGAATGGGTTTCTCATGTGGTGGTCTCCAGGCTCAGCCAGTGGAAGTAAATGTTGTCAGCCACCCCATACAGAGATATGCTGTTTGGTTTGGAGGTTCAGTGCTTGCTTCAACTCCTGAATTTTTTGCGGTATGAGCTCTCTCTTCCATGGTTATTTTAAACATACGTGAATCTATGTTGGGGCGCATTTAAAGCGATCATATATGACTCATATCTTCTGCTCTGCTCGCAGGCTTGCCACACAAAAGCCGAATATGAAGAACATGGAGCAAACATATGCCGCACGAATCCTGTCTTCAAGGGAATGTATTAGTTACTTGATACAGCAGCAAAAGCTTCAATCAGCAGACGCTGAGTTGGAGGCATTCCTCGTGATTGGATACGTTCCTGTAAGCTGCACTGTGTACCATGACTTGGCATTCAAGAGTATTTGTTCAGGGGATAGTTGCTGCCTTGCTGAGGAACTGCAAGAAAAGGAGGTGGATTTCGATCAGAAGTCAACAGGGCGCGAAATCAATTTTGTTCAATGGAGTAGGTCTGTCTGGTTCGAAGGTTTATGGTGGTAGCGTTTAGATAGGAACTGTAATTTTAGGAAGCTGGAATTTTTAAATGTTTTCAGCTCGTTTTTAGAGGACGATAGATATTCTTTTCTGGACCTTGTTCTCTTGGCCTGTTCGGGAGGTTGTTGATCATTGTTCACCATACAAAATATAATCTCATTCATTTTAACGAATTGGATAAATGAAGCAACCGTTTCGAGTCAAAACTAGTTTGGAATTTGGATAAATGTAGGCGACACTCTCTTCAAATGGTGGGAACTGGGAAAGCTTGGTAACCAAACGGGCACGATTGATGGTCACAGAGAGGGGTTGTTCATGAAACAAGCATCATTGACCTTCACTCATCCATGAAGCTCCTCAGTAACATCAGCGAGATAGTTGATATCTACTCGTGTTGGAAAAGTCATAAGGATTCAGCTTTTATGAGCAAAAGTGGTGCATTAATGCATATTGATATGGCGCTTAACAAAATTATTATTATTAGTTAGTATATTAAAGCCGCAAGTATGCGGCACTGTAGCATACGAAATTATAGGCAATTATTATATTTTAATAGATAATAGTATATTCTTTACGACATGTACTGTTCATAAGAGGTATTTATCCCCTACATCCAATTTTATCACAAACTTTTTATTGTTTGCATTATATTAAGGTTTTTAAAGTTAGTTTTTTTACAAAATCGTTTACAAATATCAACATTATTTTATTTTAATAGGCAATTAGTATGTATTTATCTCCTACATCCAATTTTATCATAAGCTTTTTATTATTTGCATTACATTAAGGTTTTTAAGGTTAGTTTTTTTACAAAACCGTTTGCAAATATCAACATTATTTTATTTTAATAGGCAATTAGTATATTCTTTTACCACGTGTACTGTTCATGAGATGTATTTATCTCCTACATCCAATTTTATTATAAGCTTTTTATTATTTGCATTACATTAAGGTTAGTTTTTTTTTACAAAACCGTTTGCAAATATCAACATTATTTCTCTATATCAATTAAGTAATTAAAAATATATTATATAAAGCTTACAAATTCAGCATTATTTCTCTATTATTTGCATTATAACAAAATTTTGTAAGGTAATTTTTTTACATAACAATTTTATCAAATTTGACAATTCTGTTTACTTGACTTCACCACTGGATAACACAGTACGAAAAATTTGTGTAACAGTATTCTATAAAAGTCGTGTAGTTAAAACTTCTCCTAATTTCATCATAAACTTTTTATCATTAGATCACATAGTACAAAAGATTTTTGCATCTACCACTATTCTTAATTTGACTTCACCACTGGATAACACAGTACGAAAGATTTGTGTAACAATATTCTATAAAAGTCGTGTAATTAAAACTTCTCCTAATTTCATCATAAACTTTTTATCATTAGATCACATAGTACAAAAGATTTTTGCATCTACCACTATTCTTAATTTGACTTCACCACTGGATAACACAGTACGAGAGATTTGTGTAACAGTATTCTATAAAAGTCGTGTAATTAAAACTTCTCCTAATTTCATCATAAACTTTTTATCATTAGATCACATAGTACAAAAGATTTTTGCATCTACCACTATTCTTAATTTGACTTCACCACTGGATAACACAGTATGAAAGATTTGTGTAACAGTATTCTATAAAAGTCGTGTAATTAAAACTTCTCCTAATTTCATCATAAACTTTTTATCATTAGATCACATAGTACAAAAGATTTTTGCATCTACCACTATTCTTAATTTGACTTCACCACTGGATAACACAGTACGAGAGATTTGTGTAACAGTATTCTATAAAAGTCGTGTAATTAAAACTTCTCTTATTTTCATCATAAACTTTTTATCATTAGATCACATAGTACAAAAGATTTTTGCATCTACCATTATTCTTAATTACAAATATATTATATAAAGCTCACAAATTCAACATTATTTCTTCACAATTTGTTATTTTTGTTAGGTAAGTTATTTTTTACATAACAAATTAATCTAATTTGATATTGTTTTTAGTTGACTTCACCATTGGACCACACCGTACGAAAATATTTGTGTAACACTATTCTATAAAAATTATGTAATTAAAAATATATTATATAAAGCTCTCAAATATTCTTTAAGGTAAGTTATATATCACTTAAACAAACATATGGTCTATGTATTTCATAATGATTAAGACATTACATAAAACTTATGGAACAACCCTACTATGATAATTTTGTGAATTATTTAATTTCAGCTAAATCATTAAATAAATGGATGAACTTTTAAATATAATTAGTTTCTTACCGCTGCGAAGCGCGGGTCAAAAAACTAGTTTATTGTTATTGTTATTATTCGGGTATTAGTTGTCGGTGAAGTAATTTTTAGAGTTAGTGTCCTAGTTTGAGAAGGAAAGAGTTATAGGGTTAGCACTATAAATATGTACTTTGTCTCTACGTTTTATCGTCGAAGAAGAATAAACCTAGTATTTTTAGTTTGCTTTAGTTTTCGTTGTTTCAAGTTCCCAACGTGTGAGGCTATCACGCGTCAATTGGTATCAGGTCTGATGTTCAAAAGCCATGAGCAATGGGGGAAAACACGATTTCGTCCCAAGAGCACAACGACGAGGACGCTGGGCAGCTGCTTCGGGAGCTGGCGGAGGCGGGGGCACGGACGGACGACATCGACCGGCGGGTGAGGGCAGCGGAGGCAAAACTGGACCACTTCCAGGACAACCTCCAAACCAGCATCGAACGAGGCATTGAGAAGATGATGGAGTAGTTTCAGAGAGGGCTCCAACAAGTCCGACTCGACTGGGGATAGGAGCTAGGAGCAGCGCTTAGGGCTGGCTATTTGGTCTGGGCTATTTGGTTTTACCCTGAAAACGAACCGTATAATCCGGACCGGACCCGGATAGCAAACAATCCAATCCCATCTTCGGGCTTAGATTTGAGGTAAAAAACCGTTTGGGACCGGATCGAATTTTCAGTCCTAAATTTATTTTGCATTAAATTTTTTCTATATGTGTAGGTAACGATTAATTGGCATATTTATTGCTTGGTCCCATTTTTATTGCCAAGAATTCATGTCATTAATGGTATTAATCACATGTTCTACGATTTCAAACGATGAAGTCTTCCTTAGTGCATCAACTATGGTTTCTTATTTTTTTTAGAAATAGTCAAATAGGGCTATCACCTGGCTCATGAATAAGCTTTGGCCTCAAATAAAAAATGGATAGTCGAGAAAGCATTGAACATTTATTCTTCATATGCCCCCTAGCAACCAAATTGTGGACTTTAGTGGGATTGAGCAACTTTATTGAGACCGCCCCCGACTGTTAACTTTAGTCTATGGTGGCGACATGTCATGGTCTCTGAGACCTCCCCATTCCACATTCTCCAATGCGTCTGCTTACTTTGGAGAATCTGAAAGTCTAGAAATAAAGTGATTTTTGAATTCTACCAACCTCGTGTCCGTTCCCTAGCCAGACATTTCTACAACCAGGTACTTGATATCTCAAACACTCTCCTCCCTCCCCAACCCCACAATTCTCTTCCCAAACCATCCAACCACCACATGGGTCCCGCCGCCAGACGATTTCTTGAGGATCAATATCGACACTGCTGTTTGTGCCACCGGTGTTTGTCTGGGCTTGTTGTCCTTGAGTCAGACGGGCATGTGGTATTGGGATTTCAAACGATGAAGTCTTCCTTAGTGCATCAACTATGGTTTCTTATTTTTTTAGAAATAGTCAAATAGGGCTATCACCTGGCTCATGAATCAGCTTTGGCCTCAAATAAAAAACGGATAGTCGAGAAAGCATTGAACATTTATTCTTCAGATGCCCCCTAGCAACCAAATTGTGGACTTTAGTGGGATTGAGCAACTTTATTGAGACCGCCCCGACTGTTAACTTTAGTCTATGTTGGCGACATGTCATGGTCTCTAAGACCTCCCCATTCCACATTCTCCAATGCGTCTGCTTACTTTGGAGAATCTGAAAGTCTAGAAATAAAGTGATTTGTGAATTCTACCAACCTCGTGTCCGTTCACTAGCCAGACATTTCTACAACCAGGTACTTGATATCTCAAACACTCTCAATTCTCTTCCCAAACCATCCAACCACCACATGGGTCCCGCCGCCAGACGATTTCTTGAAGATCAATTTGGACGCTGCTGTTTGTGCCACCGGGTGTTCGTCTGGGCTTGTTGTCCTTGATTCAGACGGGCATGTGGTGTTGGCGTTCGGGTTACAGAATCAAGGAATAGTCAATCCTTCCCTAGCAGAGCTCCTAGCCATTAGAGACGCTATTTCCATCATCACCTGAAGATCTTTGACTCACATGATAGTCAAAGGTGATTTCGAAGTGGTCGTCAAGCAGATCCGGCAAGGCTTCATAGAAGACTTGATTGGTGGTCCGGTGCTACAGAACTGCCAACAGTGCTGCCCATAAAGTGGCGTGTAAAGCACTGCTTTTGTCTCGTCTAGAGCTAGATTCTTTCGATTTTTTAGGGTGGCTTCATTAGAATATATTGTAAGGGGTCCTGGGTAGATTTGTATGAATAACTCTTGTCTTCTATTGATATCAGTCAGAAAAAAAAAACGGAGACTAAAAGTTTCATATGCCACATTAATGTTAACCATATTTTATGTTAATACTAACATATTAAATTAACAAAGACGAAAGTTCATACCAGAGAGGAATTTTACAATGCTATATAGCATTAGTGCTCTAGGTTTTTGCCTTTATGGAACAACTTGAAATTGTACCTTTAACGTTATGGTACAACTTCACATTGTACCTATACTTTTTGTACAAATTCTTTTATGGTACAACTTAAACTTGTACCTTATGTGATGGTACAACTTTAAGTTGTAAAGTTGTACCATAACATAATGATACAAATTCCTTTATGGTACAACCTAAACTTATACATTTAATGTTATGGTACAACTTCAAGTTGTACATTAAAGCACCAATACTATATAGCATAGTAGAAGTGCTCCATACCAGAATGATCATATTAAATACGTTGAAATATAAGTAACACTTTTGGATAGTTGGGATGTTACTAGAGTGAAATTGGCTAAAATCATTTAACAAAAACATCTATCGCAATTCGCTATGGATTATCTCCATTGAAAATAATTTGGCATTGAACTACATCTCTTTTTTTCCCCTTCTTTTTTGTAATAAGAAGTGTAATAAAATAGCGGAAGAAAACCAAAAAGAGCCAATGAAGTAATAAAAAACAAAGAACCTTTTTTCTTTTATTAATAGATTTAAAAATGAAAATTGAACAATTCCCTGCCGCGGTTAATTTCCCACGACGTAAACAATACAGAAGAAAAAACAATTAAAAATAGAAAAATGGGTACAATTAAACTTTTCCAGATTACGACGATAATCGGAAACGCTGTTGGGATGTCGCCGAAGCTGAATTTACATTACGAAGTATCCGGCAACGGCAGCAATACCGGCAGCGGCAGAGACGGAGACGGAGCTGGCGTCACTCTTGGGAGCCTCTGCGGCGGGAGCACCAGCGTCGGGGCCGGTTCCCAGAGGACCGGCAGCGACATCGCCGTTGCCGGTGGGGGCGGACGCTGATCCGTCTTCGGTTCCAATGACGTCATCCCCAGCGGGGGCGGCGGCAGGGGCGGCGGTGGTGTGGGCCTCGGTGGCGGACGAGACAGCCGGAGCGGCGGCAGAGGCGACGCCGATGACGGCGGCGAAAAAGAGAGCCAGGACGACGACCTTATTGATTGCCATTATATATATATATTTTTGGCGGTGGCAAATTTTTTGCAGAGATTCTCTAATGGAGTCGTCGATTGAAAGATAGAGAAACACCTGCAGGAAGAAGCGAGAGATAATTCTGAATTTGGCGAGATGGGAAGTAAAAATGAGCCATGGATTTATAGGTTTATCGGATGGCTGTTAGAATTTCGCGTTGGAATTCGTGTTTAACTACAGGCCGGAGTTTCAGGGAAGCCATAGGTCGTCGTTGGTTCGTTCTTCGTCGTCGGGATGATCGACATTGTCCCAGTAATTTTTGGGACGTGAGAAATTATGGAAGGAAAAATCTATTACAGGAAAATCTCTTATCATTTTTTTAACTAAATCCTAACTGTTTACTCCTCTTTTTTTTTTTTTGAGTTTTTCGTTTTAAGCAAAAAATAGTGATACCAATTTTTTCTTCCATTTTTTAGCTAAATATTTTTTTTTTTACTTGATCAATGGTTGCTTGGTAATGTAACCTCTTCTTCTAAGTTCTGACTGGTAAAGAAACTGGTTTACATGAAGAATTTTTTTTTTTCTTTCAGCAATTGACGACACTAAATGAAAACCACATCAAATTAAAATCAGAACTTATGTATATATTAACATATTTGTGGGTTTTTGTTATTTTTATAGCTTAATCACGGAGTTTATAAAAACAATATGCGATTTGTGGATTCGTGAATACACTAGTTTGGTAATGTATTGTTATCCTTTTCTGTACCATCATGGGCCACCCTAACGCCTTAAAACATCATCAAATTGCAAAACGCTTGCCAGCAACCAATATGAATGGATCAAATCAGAAGAAACAGTCTTAATCCCAACTCAACTTTATATTATGTGAGTTTAAAATAGGCTTAGGTTTAAGGAAGACAATTTTCTCCTGAATTTTCTAATCAAGTCAATCGTGTTGGGTATAAACCTCAAATACATGGTAAATGGGTAAAGTTTGATTGATATATATATATATATACTTTTTTTTATTTTTGAGTGATATCAATGGAAAATAATAGTTAAGCTTACAATTCTACCCAGGACCCCCTAAAAGACTCTAAAAAAGCCACCCAAAAAAATCAAAAGATTCTAGCTCTACACGAGACAAAAGTAGTGCTTTACGCGCCACTCTATGGGCAGCACTGTTGGCGGATCTAGGTATCGCCCTAAACTCTATACAAACAGACAAAGAGCTAAGGATCTGAAGACACTCTCGTAACACCAGACCACTAATCGAGTCTTCTAAGACGCCTTGACGGGCTTGGTTGACGACCACTTCGGAATCACCTTCGCCTATCACGCGGGTCAAGGATCTTGATGCTACAAAGGAGATAGCATCCCTGAAAGCTAGAAGCTCTGCCAGGCAAGAGTTGACTATTCCTTGATGCTGCAACCCGAACGCCAACATCACATGCCCGTCTGACCCACGAAAAACAAGCCCAGACGAATACCCGGAGGCACAAACAGCTGCGTCGACGTTGATCTTCAAAAAGCCTTCTGGTGGAGGGACTCAAATGGTGGCAAGAAGGTTTGGGAGTACAGGGCTGCGGGGAGGGAGGGGGGGGGGGGAGAAGACTGGAGATTCGAGGACCTGGTTGTAGAACTGTCTGGCTAGGGTACGAACATGAGGTTGGATAAATTCAAAGGTCACTTTATTTATAGACTTCCAGATTCTCCAAAGTAAACGGACGCATTGGAGAATGTGGAATGGGGAGGTCTCGGAGACCATGACATGTCGCCACCATAGACTAAAGTTAACAGTCTGGGCGGTCTCAATAAAGTTGCTCAATCCCACTAAAGTCCACATCTAATGGCTAGGGGGCATCTGAATAATAAATGTTCAATGCTTTCTCGATGTCTCCAGCAAACAGGCCATCGGTTAGGACAGTTTACTCCACGAGTTTGAAGGGCCACTACTGTGGAAAGTATGACTTTGAGGCATTGCCATATGAAGAATCTGAGCACAATTAATATGGTACCAATTAATTTCATAATTATCCATTGGTCCCAATTAATATGAAAAAGGGACAAAGAAGGAAATGTAACTAAATCCCTTAATTAATCACTCAATTACTCCATGTTTCAAATCCCAGCGATAAAATAGACACTTGATTTGTTTTACTACACTAGCTCAATAATTGATGGGCTAATTATTCTAAAAAGAATGGGTTGATCAGTGAAAGGCTCATTATGATAACCCTTTGATTACGCGCATTACGCCCATTATTAGAGGCTTAAAGCGATCTATCTCGTCATTAAGGAGACGATTTATTAGCCCAATTAAGGCTTTTCCGGCGATTACCGTTTCTGGCCGTAAAGCCTTGTAACCAGCTTGAGGACAAGTGGTTTTAATCTCAATAACTACTGTATTAATTGTGTTTTGCAGGACTTGGCGGACATCAGCGACAGAAAACGGACTCCGGTGAGCCACCGACGGTCTTGATCGAAGTTTCCTGTTTTGAAAAGCACCAACTTTAAAGAAGACTGGATTTCTTCCCATTCTTGAAGCTTTGATGAAATAATCTGAGGAAGGCCAGCCGCAGACGGTGGTACCGGAGAGCGATTCCTCCTCCGTCAATGGATTCGCAAGCCTCTCGACGAGCTGGGCAATCCCGTAGGATCTGGCGGTAGATCTAGCGGGAGGAACCCAGTACGAAGTCCCGGGGAGAAAAGGCATCCAATCGGGGGCGGCGCGGCGAACGATGATGCGGTGGATGGCGTCCTCGAGCCTTCCGACGAGGGGATCGGCGGATTCATCGGCGGCCGCGGGCTCGGCGTTGTTGGGGATGTTGGAGTTGGAGCGGAGGGCGAGGCTAAAGTAGCCATTTGTTGGCTGCTAGGGTTTGTTTACACGTCCGTTTCAGCTTTCCCCCTCCACAAACTGAGAAAAATGAAAAATCCCTTAGAGATAGAGTGTTTCTGTGGTGAATAAGTGGACAAAGTGGTATCTCTTGCCTAGATCGGCGACCTACTGGTGCTTAGGGTTTGCCGGATCGAAAACGGGCATCTTTCGAGGCGAATCGTTGTGATCATACTTGGCATGCTCTTGGATAGAGTTCATCATTTTCTCGAATTCGACCCCTTTCAAGCTGATAGATCTCTCTACCCCCATCTCTCCAGATGATATATATATATATGGTGCCTTTTACGGTACCCCGGGTGAAATCCGAGGTATCGCATACCTTGAGTATGAAAATGCTATTTAGATCTCGAATAAGCAGGATTTTTGGGCATGATACTATACCCTAATCCTTAATGAGTGAAACCTAGGTCCTAATTATCTGAATCATAAACTTTAAATCCTAAGATGATGCATTAATTTTTTTGCCTATATTTGGACGAATCATAACCGTCGATTATTGTTTCTAATTAAATTGATCTTGGGGTATAAGATTTAGAGAATTAAGACCTAAATTTTGATCTTTAAGGGTAAGAGTATAGTATCATGTCCGAAAGATCAGTCAATTCAAGTCCTGGATAGCGTTTTCTTACTCAAGGTATGCGGTACCCGGAATTTCACCCTGGGTACCGTAGAACTCCCCATATATATATATACTCATACCCATTTATTTGGGTTGGATTTTTAATTTATGGATTTGCGTTTATATCCTACATATATATATGTAAATGACTGTTTGATACCTAAACTTATTGAATATCTAGATTGAGTACCTAAAATTATATTTTTTGCATGTAAACCCTAAAAATATCGATGCAATATTACATTTTAATACCTACAAATTTGAGTATTACATTTGTATACCTAAACTTTTAAAGTTTTACAAATAGGTTCAATTTTGTATGCATAGTTACAATAACATCATGTAAATGAGCATCTATACCTGATTCGAGCCATTTTATACATGTTTAATACCCCTTTATCTTTGTCGTTTGGCTTGTGTATCATTGTCCTTGAGCCATTTTAAGCTAGAATTTGTCGTTTTTTAGTATGTTTCAGACTCTAGCATGTGAAATGGGCGGGGATTGAAAGTCGGACGAAATGGATCCAAAACGAGACCAAGTGTTGGAAATATAATGGATCACTGTTCACGACAGATTATCACGAGCTAGGACCGTGAAGATTACCACAAAACTGTGATCAATGCAAGTTACTAGGAGGCTTTGGACGTCTCGTGAGCAATGCACGGATCACGGGTGAAAGGGCGTGAAGAATGCAAGGAAACCGTGAAGTGTGTAAGTGAAACGAGGAAGATTACACTGTTGGGTATAAATATGAAGAGAGAAGATTTCAAGGGAGAGAAGGACCTAGGCATAAATATAAAATCACTTCAATCAATTCAGAAATAATCTTCACTAAAGCTTATATTACTTTTCTAAATAATGAATTTAAATTATTAACACTTTTTATATTTAGGATCTAACGCAAATGGTAGATACTATCCAATGCATTATTAACATTTTTTTAAATATATTTAGGATCCAAACTTGAGTTGTGGATATACAACCAAATATGAGTTTGTTGTCTCCAAGGTTGGATATATAGAGTTAACTGAAAAACTATTAAAAAGATAAGATTGAAAGATGTAGTCTATGGACAATACGTGAATATTCATGTATAATGGAAGCATGATACCTTCTCTCCCTCCTTTCCTATCAAATGAAGGAATAATATTGACAAAAAAAAAAAAAAAAGAAATGGAGTTGAAGGGGAGATCATTGATTACAACATCACAAATCTCATAACTGAATTAACAGTTTAAGATAATCAATGATACCCAACGACATTTATGACTAGAATGAGGTAAATTCTTTTCATGAAAATGATATAATATATGGTGATGTTTTGTTTTTTAATTTGCTCCGGAAAATGTAAAAAAAAAGTGTCTGTTGATGATGGAGATTCTTGATGGTAAAGAATTTATATCAGTCATTTTGAAATATTTATAAAATTGTGTCAATAAGTTTAGTATGAGCTGATATTCCCTTGCATGACTCGTATCGTTTTAATTTCAACCATCCGCATAAAAAATAGAAGACACTGAGTACAAAGTAATAATCTGGATCATGGATGATCGTGGTAAAAAATAACAAACTACCTTGCTATTTTGTAAAATGGATACCACTATATTAATTCACATTACATTGACGTATAATCATGACGTGAATATAAGAGAAGAACATATTATTGTAATTCAAAAACTTAAAATATTTTCTAATTACTGTTATCATATCATATTATAACCGGCCAACAGATCTGGTACAATCTAGTCATTAATCATTATAGTGAAGATACCCTCCGACCCGCCACATTCCTAGTTCCGAATTTCAAATTTCGTCAATTAAAAGTACGATAAAGAGTTAAAGACGGGGCTCGAGTTGTGTATTCGCTTCAATTATAGCAACAATTGGGCTCGCTTCGCTAGTCCATTAAGCAACTTTTCGGATCCTCAAGCCCGACCCAGGAACGGAGGGCGGGTTAGGGCTTCAAAATGGCGGAGGGACAGGGAGAAAGGAGGGAAGCTTCTACTGCCATTCACACTGGTTTATTCACTTCCTCTCCAAATCCACCAGCTCCGTCGTCTCCGTTGAAGCGGAGTTGGAAACCGGGAAGAAAGAAGCGGTGCTGAAAAAATGGCGCTAGCTTTCGACGAATACGGGCGGCCGTTCATCATAATCAAGGAGCAGGAGCAGAAGACTCGATTGCGGGGTCTCGATGCTCAGAAGGCCAACATTTCCGCCGGAAGGTCCGTCGCTCGTATCCTCCGGACTTCGCTCGGTCCCAAGGGGATGGACAAGATGCTCTCCAGCCCAGACGGCGACGTTACCATTAGTGAGTATCCTTTTCCTCGCTCATTCTCCTCTCTTTTGAGTTCCGCGATCGAGTTAGATTGCACGGGTCTTGGATTTCGATTTTATGGCTTTCGATCTGCTGATTTGATGGTCGTAGCTCGTGTGGTTGTGTGTGTCTGTGTTTCGTGGTGAATTCATACTTCTATTCGACTAGCAGCTAGGGTTTAAGGTTCGTTCATGGATCTCTGTGTATCGTTGTTCGTAACTTAAGACTGTTGGAGTAGAGTAAGAACTGGAAGCTTATTTTAGGAGTGCAAATAAAAACCGTGACCTGAATGATTTGATCTAGACAGAATCTACCTCAGTGAATTTATAGCTTGAGAATGGAAGTTGATTTGATGTGATGTGATTTCTTTTGCCGCCTGCACACTTTTATTTTGCTTGACAGAGTCTATTTGCTTATTCTGTTTCCAGCCAATGATGGGGCAACGATCTTGGAGCAGATGGATGTAGACAATCAAATCGCCAAGCTGATGGTGGAGCTATCTAGGAGTCAGGACTATGAGATCGGTGATGGCACCACAGGTGTCGTAGTCATGGCTGGAAGTCTTCTAGAGCAAGCTGAGAAGTTGCTAGAACGTGGGATTCATCCCATTCGAATTGCAGAGGGCTATGAGTTGGCGTCGAGAATAGCCGTTGAGCATTTGGAGCGTATTGCTCATAAGTTTGAATTTGGAGAGAATAACATAGAATCGCTTGTCCAGACTTGCATGACTACTTTGTCTTCAAAGATGTAAGTACCTTGGCATAGTTGATTCTGTCTTCTACTACTCCCTTCTTGCTATCATAGGTGTTCGTATAGGACTAGTAGAGATTTTGAAAAGGCAGGAATCATTTAAATGTGAGGTTCTTTGGTTAAATATTCGTGTCTTTATTTTGTAGTGTGAACAGATGCAAGCGCAAGTTGGCTGAGATCTCAGTCAAAGCAGTCCTTGCTGTGGCAGATTTAGAGAGAAAAGATGTGAACTTGGACTTGATAAAAGTTGATGGGAAAGTTGGCGGGAAGTTGGAAGATACTGAACTAATATATGGGATAGTTGTCGACAAGGACATGAGTCACCCGCAGATGCCTAAGCAAATTCAAGATGCAAACATTGCTATTTTGACATGTCCCTTCGAACCCCCGAAGCCAAAGACCAAGCACAAGGTGGACATCGACACAGTAGAGAAGTTTGAGACTTTGCGTAAGCAAGAGCAGCAGTATTTCGATGACATGGTTCAAAAGTGCAAGGTATGATTGTTTGTCCATTAAGAAGCATCATATATCTTAGCAGTGGTTGAGGGAATTGCTCATCTTATCTAGAATGTATAAACTTTCTTTCTTGAAATTGATGTGACAGGATGTTGGTGCAACTCTGGTTATCTGCCAGTGGGGATTTGATGATGAGGCGAACCATTTGTTGATGCACAGAAACCTTCCTGCAGTACGTTGGGTTGGTGGAGTAGAGCTAGAGCTGATAGCAATTGCCACAGGTTGAGTGTTTGTTCAGAATTCTTCACAAGCTATTCCATTGTTTTTGTGTGATGTACTCTGCTTTTGACAAAACATGTTTTCTTCGTGTATAGGTGGCAGGATAGTTCCAAGATTCCAGGAGTTGACAGCTGAGAAGCTAGGGAAGGTATGTCTTCTTTTGGGAAATTTCCTGCTGTGGATTGATTGTTCACATAGCATGCGCTTGTTGTTCTCTTGAATTTCTTTCTCACTTTCTTCATCGATTCTGCAGGCTGGTTTGGTTAGGGAGAAGTCTTTTGGTACCACAAAAGATAGAATGCTGTACATTGAACATTGTGCAAATTCCAGAGCTGTTACTATTTTCATTCGTGGAGGTCAATATATTTTTGGCTTCTGTCATTCCTTTCTTTATCATTCTTCTCAGCCATACTGATTACAGATATCCTCCTACTTGACGCTCAACCAGGTAACAAGATGATGATAGAAGAGACCAAGCGAAGCATCCATGATGCCCTGTGTGTTGCTAGGAATCTCATCCGCAACAACTCCATCGTGTACGGTGGTGGTTCTGCTGAAATCGCTTGCTCAATTGCTGTAGAAGCTGCTGCGGACAGATATCCTGGAGTTGAGCAGGTTGGTTTTTCATATCCTCCCTTCACAGAACCTTTTTCTTTTCCTGGTTTTATCTCCATATACTAATAGCTTTAAGTATTTTTTTGCTTCAGTATGCCATTCGAGCATTCGCAGATGCTTTGGATGCTATCCCTATGGCACTAGCAGAAAACAGTGGGCTTCAACCCATTGAGACTCTATCCGCTGTGAAGTCCCAGCAAATCAAGGTAACTTGATAAACACTTCCCATAGCTTCTGCCATCCATCACCTCCTACCATTAATATAATTGCTGTGATGTTAATGTTACTTTGATATGGGGGTTGCAGGAGAACAATCCCCACTGTGGAATTGACTGCAATGACGTGGGCACGACGGATATGCGTGAGCAGAACGTGTTCGAGACACTGATAGGGAAGCAGCAGCAGGTCTTGCTTGCAACGCAAGTAGTCAAGATGATACTGAAGATTGATGACGTCATCTCTGCTGCTGAGTTCTAGTTCACCATGTTTTTTTTTTCCCCCCGTGGTATCCTAGTTCCGAAATGCATGCTCTTCTTATTTAGCCTTGATTACAATTTGGTTCACTTGGTGAGAGAGTTCTTTTTTGCGACTCTCGCTTTGGCTTTTACTGGTTGTAACATGTATGTTGGCATCAGTCGTTAGTTTATGTACGGTACGGGTGAGAAATGACAAAACCTACTATGTACTTGAGGAGCTGGCATGGCGCTGAATTTTGTTTCTTTGTTGTTATGTAGTTGTGGTCCGTGACTTGCCTTGTCCATTGAAGTATATTTTCTGTGCCGTCAATCAATTGATGTCGTGACTGTAAAAAAAAAAAAAAAAATCAATTGATGTCGTCGAGTTATTTCATTGCGCCATTGGTTTGACTGATCGTTTCATAATCGATTATGAAAATTTCAATGCTTAATGAGTTTATGACCGGCATGCGTTTGTAATATAGTGTATCATATTTTGGCTGTTTTAATCAGTCGAACTTATAGTTAGGGCTGGCAGCCGGTCGGCTTCGGTTTAACCGAAAATCGAAACCTCGGTTATCGGTTAAACCGAGACATGACCAACTGCTGCCGCCAACCGACCGTCCTTCAGCCTCGGTTAGTCGCCGACTGACCGGCCGGTTTTCGCAATGCAGTCAAAAGCGCGGAAAATGGGTAAAATCGTAAAGCGTAGAATCAAAGCGTAAAAGCGTAAATTTTTTACGCATACTGAAAAAATAACTAAAAATGTATTAAGTAGGACATATGCTATGCAAAATATGAATGCACAAAATTTAGATAAGTCAATAAATACATGCGATTCATGCCTAAAGTAGAACAACTTATAGCATATTAATAATAAGTTTGTAAACATAAATTTTAACAATAAGCCACTTTTCCCACTATGCTAATGAATTTGGGAAAAGCCTAACGGGTGAATTAGATTACTCTATCGAAGTTGAGAATGCATCCAAGTACCTTATATGTATCTTTTAATCTCAAATGTATCATATTGTTGGTGATTTACTTTTAAAATATACTTTTCATAATTAATTTCATGAAAAGAATACTCATTTAGTGAACTAAAAGCGTAAAAACGTAAAGCGTTTTGGAGAACTAGAAGCGTAAAACCGTAAGCTTTTAAGCTTTAAAGCGCAATTTAGTCCGATTTTATACACTTAAGTTTTTATATGGAAACGAAAGCGTTTTGGTGACCTAAAAGCGTAAAATCGTAAGTTTTTAAGTTTTAAAGCGCGATTTTGACTGCATTGGGTTTTCGATTTTGGCGCGGTTTAACCGGGGCGACCGAAAAACGAAGACCGATTCGGCTGACACCTAAAACCAACTGGTAACCGACCAGTAACTGACCGACCAACAGGGAAAAAAAAACTAAATTAATAAAATTATATAAAAAACCCACCAATTAGAAAAAGAATCCCTCTGCTCCCCTTCTCCTTTTCTTTTCCTTTACCCAGCTCTCTCTTTTAATTCCCACTCGTTTACTGACTCACTTCCTCCCTCCCTCCCTCCTTCCCCCTTTGCCAATCCCCGGCATGGATTCCGGCCAGATCTCCACCTGATCTTTTCGGAACGAAACTCCCGCCACCGCCGACTATTCCATCCAAAATCCCAGGAAGAAAGAGGACAACAACAAAACCCCTAATTCCTAATTCCCACAATCGGAATTATTCACCATGGTGCCATACGAGACCGCCGCGATTTCAATCTCCAACCCGCCGGCGACTTCGTCCTCCTCCACGACCACCACCACCATCTCCAAGCCGCCTGAAATCGACGGCCTCCTCGCCAGAGCCAGATACAAGGTCCACTCATCCGACCTCCGCCACGTCGCCCAGCGGCTTGAGATCGCCATGCTCAACTCGCCCTCCCAGCACCTCTCCCTCCTCGCCTCCGACGCCGTCCTCTACAACCCTTCCGATCTCTCCACCTGGGGTACTGCCGATTGGATCAGCCGAGATGGTAGGGTGAAGGCGAGGCGGTGAGGGCGGAGGAACGCGCGGGAGTCGTCGCCGACGGGCTGGCCGAGATGGGAGTGTGGAGGCGGCGGGGCGCAGGGGAGGGGAGTCGTCGCCGCTGCTGAGAAGAAGGCTGGGCGATGTGTGGAGGCGGCTGGGCGATGGATGTGAGGGAGGAACGAAGGCCAGGCTGCTAGGGTTGGGGTGTTTTAGGGATGGCAAAACGACGTAGTTTAGGTCGGTTGGTTAGCATCGGTTAGCCGGTTAACCGACATCGGTCTTTCGGCTAACCGCCTAACCACTAGCCACCTCCGGCAACCGATCGCCACTTGTTTTTTTTTGGTTTCCTGTTAGCCGCTAACCGGCGGTTAACGGTTAGACCGACCGGTTAGCAGCTAATCGGCAACCGAAATGACAGCCCTACCTATAGTAGAAGGCTAGAAGCTCAATTGACATAGGTTTGCTCGCAATTTAATTATTACTTATCACGATTCTGTCATTCCTATTACCACACCTTTGAACGTTTTGTATCACTAACAAATGTGCTGAAATTCTATTCATGGGAGAGTTGGCAATGTTGGGAGAATTCCTCATCCACGGCAACTCCTTCTGGAATTAAAGATTCAAAGAAAGATCAACCCATCCTGAACATTCTCTATAATTTAGTTTTTGTAAAGTTTTTTTAACAGGCATTAACGGCGTCCTAACCTTTATTGTAAACCAATAGGACGGGGTGTTTGAATCCCCACAATGTCAAAATACAACCAATAGCGTAAAGTACTACTCGGGTCATGAATCCCGTGAACCCCGATAGGTAAAGAGTGACAAATGGAAGCGAGGTGATCAGCCACAAAGTTTGCTTCCCTGTAAACATGCTCTATTCTGACAAGCCATGGCCGAGCTAGCCAATAGCGGATCTCTGCTACATAGGTGTAATGTGGATGCTGTGGTGTAGCATTCTCGATCAGGGTCTTCGCAGTGCAGGAGTCTGTCTGTAGAATAACCTTCTCGACCCCCTCCTCCCAAGCCAGCCTCAACCCATATCCAATCCCAGTCAGCTCCGCACGAGTAATTGAGCCCCTCCCAAGTTCGTTGTGAAAGCTCGGATATAGCGCCCATCGTCTCCCCTCACGATGCCGCCATAGGTCGTGCTCACACGAGAATGAGCGACTGAGCCATCTATGTTAATACAGGCCCAACCACTTGGCGGTGGATGCCAGTTAATGTCCAGTCACTCTTGGAGTCCCCCAACTCCAAAGATGGTATTCTCCTGTTCAAAGACTATGTTGATCTGTTGCCTTAGCTGTTTGGTGATGAGCTGGATTTGCTCATGGGTTTTCAGCTCGCTCCAGGTTTTCCACATAAGCGAGCAATTGTCTGCAAAAAAAAGTGATATCAATGATATTACTACGCCCTGATTAGTAGTGCAGAGACCACCGGTGAATGTCAAGTTCGAAGAACGTGGTGTTTGGTACGTCTTCAAGGAGGCCCCCCAAGTAGCTCTCACAAATGGACAGTCCCGAACAACATGAATAGTAGTCTCAGGGCCCCCACCGCATATCTTGCAACTCGTATCAGTTGTAAGGTGTTTTCATCCTCTTTCTGCGTTTGTTAGCAGACGATCATGGTTGAGAAGCCAACGAAATGTGCGCACCCGTTGCATTGTCGAAGTCTTCTAAATGGATCTCCAAATCGGTTGGTTTAGGATCGGGCCGTCCACCGTATCTATGAGCTCGTACGCTGTTCGGAGAGAAAAAGCTCCATTTGGTGAGAGTCGCCACACTCAAACATCAGACGCGATTTTCGTGGGCACCGGGTGTAGCCATACCTGCGAAACAAATTCCTCTAGTAAGTAAGCACATAAAAAAGCCTGTATTCACTCACCATTTAGAACGAATTCTGCCAAAGTCATAGCCTCCTGATAGACCGTTAGTTACACATGTTTTCACCCCTGTTCTTACACCGTTGGAGATGTGGTTTCTCGTGTTTTAGACCGATTTCACACTAGGTTGTGCTTGTTTGTGATATTTCAGGTCCTGGCAAGTGAATGAAGGTTTAGGAGCGAGTTCGGGGTCGATTGGGCGAAGATCGGGCGCGAGGCAAGTCACAAAGGAGGTCACACGGGCTGCCCTGATGTTCACACGGCCGTGTGAAGGAATGGCCTGGCCGTGCGAGTTTTGCCGAGAGCACACACGGGCAGAGCAGACAATCCACACGGCCGTGCAAGTGGCCGGGTTGGCCGTGCCACATTTTGCGAGAGCAAACACGGGCAGGAAGGAGAGTTCACACGGCCGTGCCATTCTGGCCGTGCAAAGAGCCTGGAATTCAACTAAGTGATACGCTGCGTTTTGACTCACACGGGCAACTAGGTGAGCTGCACGGCCGTGCCACCCTGGCCGTGTGAGTCGGGGTTTTCTCCTTTTAAGCAGATTTTCAGCCACAATTCGGGAGGATTCGGGTTTTTGAGAAAGAGAGCGATTCCTAGAGAGAGAAAGTGACGAGCAAGAGTTCCCAAGTGCCCTAGATTGATCTTCAACACCATTGGAGGCCAGCTTGAGCTTGGAGAAGTGCCGATCAACGTCCAGAAGCAGGAATCCATCCTTCGCAGTATGAATTCCGTGTCTGATTCTGCTTTTGCTTTCTTCTCTATGGAGTAGTTCTCCCATTCATCTGGGTATGGAGAACCCTAGATTTGTGTGTTAGGCTTTGATTGTATGAACCCAAGTACTGATTCTATGATTGATTATATTCGATTGAGGTTTTAATGATTGAATGACTTGAATCCTGATCAAATTCCTGTTGTTTCTGCTTTAACCTAGAATGAGAATATCTGCCTAGGTTAATAGAGTATCCTTGATTGAAGGTAGGGAGTTGGTGACTTTAGTCGAGGAGCCAACTCACTATTCTGTACCGGATTTACTCCGGTAGTGGAGGTTTTGTTCTTAGGGCCTCAATCTGTCTACTCCGGTGGAGGTTAGTCGCCCGCTAGAGATTCAGATTGAGAGGGTCTGAAGACCTTTAGTCGAGACTTCAGGCTGTTTAAGAACCTTCCGCAGTATAACTTTCATAGAAACTGAACTTGGTAATTACAATCCGGCTTAACTGCAGTCTAGGGGGAACCATATCCGGGTGACCTCTTTAACTTGAATACAACCAGTTTGTTTGCTTTGTTAGTTTGATAGTTTAGACTTGCATTCCAGTTTCATTGCTAGATAACACGAATTCACTGAGTAGTCATCATATCTAGGACCCGGGTTGATAATTAAACCCAAACCCGCTATACTACGCTTTAGGAAGTGGTTTCACTTGGCCAATTCCTGTAGTGACAGTAGAGTCGAGTCAAGTTTTTGGCGCCGTTGCCGGGGACGGCTAGGTTGTTGAAGAAAAGTGATTTCTGTTAATTTAGCCTTTCTTTTTTGCCTTGTTTGCTTTGTCCCACTTGTGCCTTCACGGGTTTGCTTGCTTGAGTGTGTGCAGGTAGTGCAGCCAGTCGGGAGGTTTACTGTCGTTGAATCCAGAGATTGACCGCACCTGTCGCCAGCTCAGGAGACAACAGCGAGCTAGACTGGCTACGGAAGAGCGCATAGACGGCCACCTGAGTAGCGATTCTGAAGAAGAGCACGGAATGGACGGAGATTACAATCAGCACCAGGGGAATCCTCAGCAGGTTCCCCCAGTGAATCAGGTCCTGGGGAACAACCCCATACCCCAGGATCATGGAGCTCATCATCCACCGCAGCCGGGTCCCACCTTGGAGTACTACTACACTCCGCGGATTGCTGACATCCGCCCGGTCATCCTCTACCCGCCGATCCCAGCAAACAACTTTGAGATCAAGCCATGCTGGATTCAGCTCATCACATCTTCTATCCAGTTCCATGGCTTGAAGAATGAGGAGGCCAGGGTGCATCTTTCCCGTTTTCTGCAACTGACGAACGGGTTCAAGCTGAATGGTGTCCCCGATGATGCGATCCGCCTTCATCTCTTCCCCCATTCTCTGGCGGGGAATGCTAAGAGGTGGTTGGAGACCCAGCCCCCATTATCCATCACCTCTTGGGACGATCTGGCTGACAAGTTCGTGCACCGGTACTATCCGGCATCGAAGACTACAGAGATTCAGCGGGAGATCACTCACTTCCGCCAAGAGCCAGATGAGTCCCTTCGTGATGCTTGGGAGCGGTACATGGGCTATTTCTGGCAGTGCCCCCATCATGGCTTCAGTGATGCATTCACAGTGGGGAACTTCTACAGTGCCCTTTCTCCAGACAGCCAGAGGGTGATTGAGTCTCTATGCCCAGGAGGGGATATTCTTACCAAGACTCCACCCGAGCTGAACCAGATGATCAGTACTTTGGCTGCCAGAGATCATTCTTGGGGACAGGGTAGCCGAGGCAGACAGTCCCGAGACCGTGGTGTGCACGCCATGGAGACCAGATCCGGGCTCGAGCAGCAGGTAGCTGAGCAGGTGCAGACACTGAAGCAGCCCAACAGTCTGATTCCGGGCAGAGGTTTGGCTACACCTCTAGTAGCTCAATGTCAGTGGTGTGAGAGCTCCAATCACCTAGTGGAGGACTGCCAGGCTATGAGGGAGTCTACCACACCCCAGGAGCAGTTGGCCTTCATCGCCAATGCGAGGCGCCTCGATCCGTACAGTAGCACATATAATGAGGGGTGGCGCCAGCATCCCAACTTCGCCTGGAGCAGCAACACCACTAAACCACCTGGTTTCCCAGCACCAGCAGGTGGTTTTCAGCAGAGGCAGCCCTTCCAGGCTCGCCAGGGGCCAGACCCACAGCAGCCCTACCAGCCCAGGCAGGGGCAGCCATTCCAGCAGCCCCAGCGCCAGTTCGCCGAGCCAGCAGCAGCTCCGGCCCCAGATGACAGGATGACGAAGCTGGAAAACATTCTAGCTTCATTCATGACTAGCACCCAGGCTGCTATCACATCACTGGAGGCAGGTCAGCGGAACCAGGGTGCTATTTTGCAGGATCTGCAGACCCAGGTGGGCATCTTGGCCCGCCAGAACACTACCAGGGCACCGGGGACTCTGCCTGCCACCACTGTTCCTAATCCTCGAGATCCTCACCAGCATCAGCAGCTGGATGCCATTTTTACCAGGAGCGGTAAGGTCATATCTACTGATCCTGTCCCGGCCAGACAGGAGAAACCACTACCTGCTTCAGCACTTCCAGCCGACGATGCAGAAGTGCGGGTGGAGAAGGAAGCCCCTGCTCCCAAGCCACAACCATTGGTTAAGGAGCATGTACCCCAGCTTCCCTTCCCCACTCGCCTACACAAGGACAAGCTGGAGACTGAGTTTGCCAAGTTCATGGCAATGTTGAAGCAGCTCAACATCAGCATACCGTTCATGGAGGCACTGTCGAAGATGCCCAAGTATGCCAAGTTCATGAAAGATATCTGCACCAACAAGAAGAAACTTGGGGATCTCTCGACAGTGATGCTGAGCGAGGAGTGTTCTGCTATCCTGCAGAACAAGCTGCCCGAGAAGCGCAAGGATCTAGGGAGTTTTACTATCCCTCTTACTATTGGCAGCATGCATGTAGGCAAGTCCTTGGCGGACCTAGGCGCTAGCATTAACGTCATGCCATATAAGTTGTATAAAATGCTAGACCTAGGTGAACTTAGCCCTACTAGGATGAGCATTCAATTAGCTGATCGTTCTATTGTGCATCCTAGGGGAATCATAGAGGATCTGCTTGTTGGTGTTGGTGCATTCACATATCCTGTTGATTTTGTTATTCTTGATATACATGAGGATGTGGATCTGCCTTTGATTCTAGGTAGGCCATTTCTTGCCACCGCCAAGGCACTTATTGATGTGCATGATGGAAAACTGATCTTGCGTGCTGGGAATGAACAGGCTACTTTTTCTGTGACAGAGTTTGATCACTGTGCTATGATTGCTGTCACGCCTGTGAATGCCATTTCTGATCAGGTACATGAGTCTGTCGTGTACCCTTCTGCACCTCCTATTTTGCAGGACCCTCCTATCACTCCTTCGCCGCCACTCCATCCAGCCTCGCCTCCGAACAAAAAGCTCAAGGAGGAGTGGCGGCCGAAGCCGCAGGTTGCTAAGCCTGCACGGAAGAAGAGTGGAGACCACTATCAGCTGGTCCCACCCCCTGCACCACGACCACCCTGGCCGTCTGGGTACTCGCTCGCCTGCATCTTGCCAGATGGGCAGGTCGAGCTGACTGATGATAGTGGTCGCATCCGTCGGGTGCATGGCCACAACCTGAAGCTGTACCTCAAGAGCGACGTGGATCCGCTCTTGGAGGCACCTGTTCCTGCACCGCCCTGAGGATCCACCATGGGCGTCCAGCTAAAAGACGGTAAAGAAGCGCTTGTGGGGAGGCAACCCCACCACGGTTTGATTTTCTTGTGTTTTGAGTCGGATTGTAACCCGGTTTGGGTTTGGTTTGTTTTCTTTTGGTTTGGATGATATTTTATTGGGCTGACCATTGAACCTAACATATTGTGTTTGAGCTCTTCTGTTTCCCTTTGGCTGTGCGTGCCCCGACTGGCCCGTTTCCAGTCTCCTGCAGTCCGTGCATACCGGTAACATCGTTCCCTTATCCTTCCCGCTTCTCCATTGAGGGCAATGTCGATCTTAAGTGTGGGGGGGGGGGGTGTTTATCTTTTGACTGCATTAGATCTGTTTGTGTGCTTGGAGCCTAGTCCACTGTCCAAATTTTTAAATTTGAGGGCTCCAAGTGCGTGTTTCCTTGTAATTGCCTGCTCAGTATGCTTTGAATTGACAGTCTTTATAGTAATATGCAACCTAGGGAGGTAGTGTAGCACTATGGAGGATGTTGATGCATTTAAGGAGTCTCATTTCTTCTTCATATTGAGTTGGTTGATTGAGTGAATTAGTGATCTTAGGACCCTTGAATTGTGTGGTGTTGTGGATTCTCTGCCTGTCATGGACTCTTGTATCATGTCTTGAAAATAACAGGTGCTCGAAAATGTGCTTGAAAATAAACGTCTCCCGTGCGAATAGGGCGAAAGTGTGTAAGGGGAGGCGGGAATTCGTTCCCAATTTCCACCTACTACCTCCAGCCCCCTTACATGTCTTTCCCCCGCACGAGGCTCGAGACATCCGCTCCTGGCATGGCCGGTAAGAGCAGGTTGGGACCCTTGAAAAGAAAAGAAAAGAAAAAAATAACAGAAAACAAGCAAAACAGAAAGAAACGGGGTTCCAACCATCTTCAAAGAAAATAGAGCACCTTGAAAAATGTGAGTCCATGATCCTTTGTTTTTGAGAATCTCTTCATCCACGATTCATTTGTCCTCTGTTCACTATTTGCCATGATACCGACTCGAGAAGAAGTTATGAGATGACTTGTGCGTCGGTTGACCTCGTAAGCTGCTAAATGATCTAGGAAGTCCTCTACCTACGATCTGGGTTGTTTGTTGCTATAGAGGTCTGGAGAGTTGCATTGGTTTGAGTTAGGTTTGCTTGGGGACAAGCAAACGGTTAAGTGTGGGGGAGTTTGATAGACCGTTAGTTACACATGTTTTCACCCCTGTTCTTACACCGTTGGAGATGTGGTTTCTCATGTTTTAGACCGATTTCACGCTAGGTTGTGCTTGTTTGTGATATTTCAGGTCCTGGCAAGTGAATGAAGGTTTAGGAGCGAGTTCGGGGTCGATTGGGCGAAGATCGGGCGCGAGGCAAGTCACAAAGGAGGTCACACGGGCTGCCCTGATGTTCACACGGCCGTGTGAAGGAATGGCCTGGCCGTGCGAGTTTTGTCGAGAGCACACACGGGCAGAGCAGACAATCCACACGGCCGTGCAAGTGGCCGGGTTGGCCGTGCCACATTTTGCGAGAGCAAACACGGGCAGGAAGGAGAGTTCACACGGCCGTGCCATTCTGGCCGTGCAAAGAGCCTGGAATTCAACTAAGTGATACGCTGCGTTTTGACTCACACGGGCAACTGGGTGAGCTGCACGGCCGTGCCACCCTGGCCGTGTGAGTCGGGGTTTTCTCCTTTTAAGCAGATTTTCAGCCACAATTCGGGAGGATTCGGGTTTTTGAGAAAGAGAGCGATTCCTAGAGAGAGAAAGTGACGAGCAAGAGTTCCCAAGTGCCCTATATTGATCTTCAACACCATTGGAGGCCAGCTTGAGCTTGGAGAAGTGCTGATCAACGTCCAGAAGCAGGAATCCATCCTTCGCAGTATGAATTCCGTGTCTGATTCTGCTTTTGCTTTCTTCTCTATGGAGTAGTTCTCCCATTCATCTGGGTATGGAGAACCCTAGATTTGTGTGTTAGGCTTTGATTGTATGAACCCAAGTACTGATTCTATGATTGATTATATTCGATTGAGGTTTTAATGATTGAATGACTTGAATCCTGATCAAATTCCTGTTGTTTCTGCTTTAACCTAGAATGAGAATATCTGCCTAGGTTAATAGAGTATCCTTGATTGAAGGTAGGGAGTTGGTGACTTTAGTCGAGGAGCCAACTCACTATTCTGTACCGGATTTACTCCGGTAGTGGAGGTTTTGTTCTTAGGGCCTCAATCTGTCTACTCCGGTGGAGGTTAGTCGCCCGCTAGAGATTCAGATTGAGAGGGTCTGAAGACCTTTAGTCGAGACTTCAGGCTGTTTAAGAACCTTCCGCAGTATAACTTTCATAGAAACTGAACTTGGTAATTACAATCCGGCTTAACTGCAGTCTAGGGGGAACCATATCCGGGTGACCTCTTTAACTTGAATACAACCAGTTTGTTTGCTTTGTTAGTTTGATAGTTTAGACTTGCATTCCAGTTTCATTGCTAGATAACACGAATTCACTGAGTAGTCATCATATCTAGGACCCGGGTTGATAATTAAACCCAAACCCGCTATACTACGCTTTAGGAAGTGGTTTCACTTGGCCAATTCCTGGAGTGACAGTAGAGTCGAGTCACCTCCATCCCTGGGGGAGGTTAGGGGCATGATCCCGGAGAACGGTCGAATCGTCTAGCCACCGGTCGCTCCAGAATCTAGCCACCCATCCGTTCTAGATGTTCCAAGAAGTAGCATCATCAACCAAATGTTTGACTCGCAGAACACCATGCCATAGGTTAGATAGTCGCCCGCTGGTTTTGAGTTACAAGCCCCCTCGGTCTGGGAGCAGTACTTCGCTAGTATGACGCGCGCCCAAAGATCGATCGGCTTCGTAAGAAGCCGCCAGAATATCTTCAACATGTAGGCCTCATTTGTTCGAGTAGCATCCCTGACTCATAGGTCCCTCCCTCTTCGGTCTCCAGATCGTCTCCCAGTCTACCAAATAGATTTTACGCCCCTGTTTCGAGCTCGCACATATAAAGGCGCGGATCTTCTTATCAATGTAATCTCTGACGCTTGCCGGTAAGAAGGTCATTTGCATTTTATAGGATGGTAGTGCCGTCAGAACAGACTGAGCTAGATTAATACGCGCAACCATCGACATGGATGATGCTGACCAACCTGCTAGACGGGCGTCGATCCGGTCAATTTTTTATGCCAGTACCGGCAGGGTTGCCAGGTACTTCTTGATTTCATCAAAGACTTGTTGATGCTCTTGAATCCATACGAATTCATCTTCTTGCTTCAGCTTCAACAATGAAGAGAAGACTTGGGTTCGACCAACAAAATTCGAGATGAAACGTCGAATGTAGTTAACTTGGCCAAGGAACCTCTTAAGCTCTTTCTTATTACTTGGTGGCATGGCCTAAGTGATGACCTTGGTCTTACTCTTATCATCCTCAATGTCACGTTGGCTCACAATGAAGCCTAAAAAGTCACCTTAGACTTGACAACAATGTCATCCACATAAACCTCAACAACCTCATCAATCAAGTCATGAAATATAGCATTCATCGACCGTTGGAAAGTGACACCATCATTCTTTAAACCAAAGGGCATGACGAGCTACTCATAGAACCCTATGGCTCCCAAACACCTAAATGCAGTCTTATGGATGTCCTATTTAGCTAAGTGGATCTGATTATAGCCTCTCGGCTTCGGGGATCATGGTACTAATGAAAGTAGAACGTGGAAAGTCCTTGGTGCCAAGATTGATCTCCTCCAACACATCACGAGATTTCACAGGCCTCTGGTCGTCTTCAGCTATACCCGGTACCGAACCTCACGGTGTGAAAGTACCTCAAACATTTGCAACACATCATAAGATTTCACCTGCTAGGATCCGAGGCATACTAAAAACAACCACAACCTAGCGTAAAATCGAACCTCACGGAGTGAAAGTACATCAAACATCTAAGAAAAAAGGGGGTAAAAAGTTTACAAATAAACCCGAATTAGTCCCTAAGATCCAGACTGTGCGATGGGTTTTGGCTATGGCGGCAATGAAGAATTACCCCTTTGTGCAGCTAGACATGAAAAGGCTTTTCTACATGGTGATTTTAAGGAGACTATTTATAAGCATTGTCCAGCTGGGTATTCTAAAGGAGGTCTGAACGTTGTTTGTTGTCTGAAGAGATCATTGTATGGTCTCAAACAAGCTCTTTAGGTCTGGTATGAGAGCTTTCATGGTATAGTCATTCAAGCGGGTTTCGTGCAAAGTCAGAATGATCCATCTCTCTTTCTAAGAACTACAGTCAAAGGTATTACAATACTTTTATTGTACGTTGATGATATGATAATTTCTGGTAGTAATCGAGCAGGAATAAGAGAGTTGTCTGAATCCTTGCATCAAACCTTTAAACTGAAAGAACTTGGAGATGTTTACTATTTCCTTGGGATGGAGATCGAGCGTACTGTACATGGCATTTTTGTTGGGCAAAAGAAGTATGTTCGTGATTTGTTGACTGAAGAACATTTTTGATGGTTGCAAACCTTGTGCAACACCGGTGAAGCAAAACCTGAAGATAAGCAAATCAAGTGATATTTTACTAGATGACTAGACCAATTATCATACTGTCGTGGTTAGTCTTTGGTACTTGAGCTATGCACAACCAGAAATAGACTACGTCGTACACGTGGTTGGCCAGCACATAGGGATAGCCAAGACTGTGCATCTTGATGCAGTTCATAGGATCTTAAGATACTTACTAGGTACACAAGACGTTAGACTCTTCTTTCTGAAGCAAGGCGAGCTAAAAATGGAAGCATTTGTCGACGTTGAAATTGTCGGCTGTGTTGACACCAAGATGTCGACATCGAGTTAGTGCGTAAAGTTTGGACAATCTTTTATCTCATGGCGCAGCAAGAAACAAGACCGAGTATCAAAATACTCAACCGAAGCTGAATATATCAGAACTAGTATGGCTACAACGACTCCTTAGGGATCTAGGTGTTACTTGTTTAATGCCTATGAAGCTTTATGGTGATAATACGAGTGTCATCGGATTGGCAACCAACCCATTACTGCATGACAGGACAAAGCATATCGAGACTCACGTACATGACATTCCGCGGCTCGTTACAGAGGGAGTCATTCATCTTAGCTGTTTGTCACGAAAAGATCAAACTGCAGATTTGTTGACCAAGGCAGTTGGCTCGAGTCATCACTGTTATTTGATTAACAAATTGATGTTGCGTAAGCAATATCAATTTGAGAGAGGGTTGACGAAGTAAGCCAGTTAGGGTTCAGTGTGTAGCCCAACTAATATTATATATATATACACGCATCTATATTGTAAAAAAAAAAAAACCTAAACTAAATAAGATTGACACTGGAGATGAATCTTTGTCAAAAGAGAAATAATAAATTTACTACCACCACCAAAACACGAGCTATGAATAATCTTCCAGTCGGTCATAAAAAGTTCTGATTGCTTAGCTTGGCATTGATATTACTTAAAGGATGTACAAAATCTTATTCATGCATGATTTGTTCCGGTGCACAAACAACCCGCAAAAATAAAGCTCTTCTAGCTAGGTACCCTAAAAAAGAAGCTCATGCATGCCCCTCGTCTCGAGAAATATCAGTGGAGAAAGGACAGGCTACTTATTTTCCTATTTTCATTTCTCCCCCCGGTGTATTTCCATCGCAAACTCATCGTCACCAAATCCAATCGAGTTAGTAGTTCTAATTAATCACTAACAGGTGAACCCAACATCTTCTCTTTACTGGGACATTAATTCTACCAAAACGACCATCATGCCTGTTGTTTCCCATTAATTAATCAGCATGCTAAACCTCTCCTGCAGAGCAGGGCGCCGGCACTGGCGGTCATGGAGGCGACCATATTAGAGGGCTTCGCTGCCAAGCTCGTCGCCTTGGCATAGCTCGAAGTCGCTCCGCTGCCTGAACTTCTGAAGAAGGCGCCGTTTAGAAACATATCTCCTTCCGATCTCCAGTTCCATTTCCTCCATTCACTCTCCGGCGCATTGGCACGCCTCGTCACCTGCATGCCCAAACCGAGCTAAGCTATAAATGAAGTTCATAGACTTTATTTAGAGCTTGCAAAAATACTGAATTGGGACCGGACCGAGTCAAGAACGGACCGGATCAAAACCGGACTGTATACTATAAAAAAAAAACTACTCTGACCTCTTTAGTGAACCTATTGTTCGAGGCCAAAAACCGGTTCCCTTGACTATTGATCGTTGGAGCAGCGCTCCCTCCAATTGCATACTTAAGCCAATGCGTGTAGTCATTGTTCACCACATGAAAGTACCCATGCCTACACCTGTACGTACGGGTCCAGTTCATCCAAATAACTCGAGTTATTGAGAGACGTTCAATCGTGGATCATATACCACATACTAACACCTACATCATAAACAAAAATATAAGGGGAGGAAATTTGGCGTACCTTGGCATCCTTTGGATGAGTCCTTCACCGAAATGATTAAACGCAACGGTGACCTGCATGGCTCTATCCCGAGTGAACCCGTCGTTATGCCCCAACAACATCACCTCGTTATGGTGCGTCATGTAGTTGTTGGAGAGCGTGACCGCGGTCGAACCGTAGGTCACGTCGATCAACCCGTCGAAGCAGCTGGACAGCGAGCAGTGGTCGACCCAGACGAGCCTAGAGCCGAAGATGGAGATTCCATCCCCATCCGACACCTCCCCCACCAACGCATCATCAAGAAGATTGGAAGGATCATCGTCACCCGACGACGACGAGTACAGGCTCCTCGCGCTCTTGCAGTGATGGATGTGGAGGCCGTGGATGATGACATTGGTGACGTAGCGAATCGTGATGCAGGGGCCGCCCGCTATGTGCACGTTGCTGCCCCTGCCGTCGATCGTCTTGTAGGAGCTCACCAGCAGCTCCCGCTTGAGCGTGATCACCATGTCGCGCGCGAACGCGATCCAGAGCGGCCTCTTCTGGATCGCGGCGTAGCGCAAGGTTCCCGGTCTCGGGTGGAACGGGTCGTCGCTCGGGTCGGTCACGACGTAGAACCTGCCGTATTTGCCCCCCGTCGCCTGCTTCCCGAACCCGATCGCGCAGTCGGCCAGGTGTTTGCGATTCTTGTACCACAGCGGGTCGCATTTCCAGCAGTCGTCGATTGGGTTGCCCGTTTTGCACGACCGGAATCCTGAATCCGTCATCGCTTCCGCCGTTGCGTTTCTTATGCTCCTGATAAATAATAATTGAGTTTACATTACAAGGAAGCTGCATGTTACATTTTACCGTTGCAGAATATAGGAAAAAATCCCAGAATATACCAATTATTAAAAAAAATTACCAAAATACAGTACTTATAAAACTAATTCCCAAAATACAGCAGTTTCAACATCACTGTCTTTGTCTAAGACAGTGATGTTGATCACCGTTTTGGTCTAAAACGATGATACATCACCGCTTTAGACTAAAGCAGTGATGTTATCACCGCTTTAAACCAAAGCAGTGATGCCATCATCGCTGTCAAGGACGACAGTGATGGCATCACCGTTGATGTGGCAGGCAGTGAAGCCTTCACCGTTGGATCCAACAGCGGTGAAGGGGCGCGGATCGCTGACGTGGACGCGCGCGGGCACTTCACCGCTGAAGACCAAAGCGGTGATAGCCCCGCTTTCCACGTCAGCGATCCGCCCCCCACCCCGCGCCTTCACCGCTGCCGTCGGATGCAGTTATGCGCGGATTGTGGTTTTTCTCCACAATCCGACGCATCAGGAGAGGCCACGTCAGCGATCCCTGCACATCACCGCGTCCAACAAAGGCGGTGATGGCGCTGTGTTTGTTTGGGGCGGTGATAACTGGCCAGGTTTTTTCCCAGCCCCAAACCCTATAAATTACCCATCCCCCCTCTCATTCCAAACCACACCACCACTTCATACTTCTTTCTCCCTCCATTTTTCACTCTAGTTTCGTTCTAAGTATGCTCTGTGGTTGCGGCTAAGTCCGATCTTCCGCATCAGAAAGAATTACTAGAGTTTTTGTTTTGTTGTTTTGTCGATACTCTCGCTAGCTTTTCGGCAAAAAATGGACGAAGAGGCTTTGAGAGTACGTAAATTTATTTAATTCTTTTGTGCATTTTTTTTTACATGGGTGCTAAAATTTAAATTGATTTGATTTCATATTTTTTTATAGATGGGTGCTGAGATATACGACCCTAGATTGTATATCGATCCTGGCCCAAGGGATCGAAGGTATTTAACCGGGCAAGATCAACATCGCTCTCGTTCAATTTGGAACAATAATCCGGTAGATACACTACAATTATTTCAATAGTTTTAAAGTTTTTATTTTGCTTTCTAAGTTTTTATTTTGCTTTCTATTGACTGACAATATTGTGTTTTTTGTTTTGTAGGAATCACTTATTCCCATCAGTCATCGAGGTACATGTCGATTGCCCCGTTGGCATCCTCGACTGCATCCCTATCTAGAGAGGGCGGGATTGCACAATTTGAGGCACTTTATGAGGCTAGATATTGACAACGATCTGCTGACGGCAATGACAGAGCGATGGCGCCCTGAGCTGCATACCTTCCACTTTCCCGAGGGTGAAATGACGATCACCCTCAAAGATGTTGCCATCCTCACCGGGCTCCCGATCACCGGAGATGCCATCATCGACAGCTCGAGAAAACCAGAAGATGGTTGGGGGCCATTGATTCAGGAACGTCTGGGGTTCAACATGCCGACCACCACGCCCGTCGAAGGGGTTGGGCATCCACCACTGAATGCGGGGCAAGTATCGATCCCGTGGCTTGTTGACCACATCCAATTGGAGGTTAATATAGGCCTGGATACTCCTGAAGATCAGGTGGAGCGGTATGCACGTGTATACCTAATTGCCTTGGTTGGTGGGTTTCTGTTCCCCGACAAGTCAAATAAGTGGATACAAGGCATGTGGTTCCCTATGCTCCTCGGTGACTGGGACGAGATCGGGAGAAAAAGTTGGGGGTCGGCCGTCTTGGCTGGAATCTACCGAGAGTTGTGTACTTGCTCGAGGTTGGGAGCGAAACAAGCTGGTGGTGCGATGTTCATACTTCAACTCTGGGCATGGGAGCATCTTCCGTTTCTCGCACCTCAAGACCCTCGGGAATTCTGGTTGCCAGATGATGAGCTACGATTTGTAGCAAATCCCCCATATGGTTTCAAGTAAGTTCAATTTAAGTTGAATTTATTTTAGATATGCAATGGTAGCTAGTTAGGTGAATTTAGATTTTAGTGAACTTAGTGAACTTAGTATGCAATTTTAAGTATGCAATTATAGTATTTTAGTGAACTTAGCTATCTTCCAACTAAGCGAATTTAGAGACATTTTAGGTCTGCAATTCTAGTATTTTAGTGAATTTAGATATCTTCCAAGTAAGTGAATTTGGATTTATTCTAACCAAATCGTATTTAGCTAATTTAAAAATTGCTTATATATGTACTTTTGCTTAATTAGGTGGATCGGAGCAAATACTAACGACCACCAGGCCGAGCACTCTTTACTGTTTTATCGTGCTGAATTTGATAAGCCTTGGTGGAACCAGGTAAAAATATTGAATGTCATGATTTTAAATTTATTAGGTGGAGTGGATATAATTTTTACTAATTACGTGAATTGTAATGATTGTAGGCGGTATGGGATCCATATCCAAATGAAGTGGTTGAGTTGCATCGTCTTAGACATCCCGAGGATCAAGAGACATGGTTGTGCAAGGTGCCCTTAATCTGCTGGCACATGGTGGAGTGGCACCTGCCCGATCGATCTTTGAGGCAATATCGATTGGAGCAACCAATTCCAGCATCCCCACCTCAAGGGTTCAGGGAGCTCCACGCCATTGACCTACGCTACAACAAAAAGGATTGGACCCGCAAACATGAATTCTACATCAACATATGGGAGAATAGAAATCAGTGGGTGGTCCAAGGGGCGCCGGAGACAAGGCCAATGGGGTACCACGATGGCTACATGCGGTGGTATCGGCACTTCACGCTAAGATGGGTGTCAAAGCAAGGTGCTGTTTGGGGCGCAGTGGTAAGTGAATTCCATTTTGGCCTATTTTAGTTAATTTTTGTAGTATAATTACATGCCTATATTTGCTAGAATGTTAATTAACATTATTAGATTTAATGTTAGTTAATTTTTGTAGTATAATTACATGCCTATATTTGCTAGAATGTTAATTAACATTATTAGAGTTAATTTTAGTTAATTTTTGTAGTATGATTACATGCCTATATTAGATGATAGAAATCATTATTAGATTTACTATTAGTTAATTTTGTAAAACAATTTATTAGGTTGACGGTTTGGAGCATGCGAAGCACACCGTCGAGAGTTGGTTTTTACCCCCATGTTGTACCAAAATGAACAACAAACGCCCTTTATTACAATCACTCAACAAGATTAAAACAAGAAGTCCAAATTAAACATCACAACAACGAAAACTACTCAACAAGATTAAAACAAGGAAGTGAACAACAACAACATCAAGGTAGGTTCGGAATTGGCGCCGAATCTTGCTCTAGAGGTGGACCTGGGCAACGCCTCTTGTCATGACCCGGTTGTCTGCACTTTGAGCAACGCTTTGGACCCCGTCGGGCACGTTGTGATTGGTCCATTTCATTGTGAATCCTTTCGGTCCTAGGACGACCTTTGGTGCGCTTTAAGTGTAACGGTGGGATAATCAACTTCCCATTGTCTACAGGCCAATAAGCTTCATCCGGCAGGGGGCTAAAACTTGACGAGTAGGAGTTCCTGATCGCCTGTTCCGTGTAGTAAGGACTAACCAAACTGTAAGCGCTGAGGGTTATCGACTTAGCTACTGCCATTGCATGTGAACAAGGTACTCTTCTGTTTTGATACTTTTGGCATGTACACTCTCCGGTGCGAGTTTCTACGTGTAGAGTTACGGATTGACGATTATGCCCACGTCTTCCTCCACCCCAGATACCTGTTTGCACAGCAAAAATACCCTCATTGCGGTTGAACAGAACAACTCTGTGCTTACTTGATTTCTCTTCGATCTTCTGCATGCCGTCAAATATATGCTTAGCTATTGAATGACCAGCACGCTCCCTCCCTATAGCAGCATCCCGTCTCTTCACAAACCACTCGTTTACCTTCCAGTATGTCATCTCCACTAGGACAGATACAGGCATTGCCCTAATGCCCTTGTAGACTCCATTTATGCTCTCCCCATGGTTGGTAGTTGCAATTCCGAATCTAGCCCCGTTGTCCATGTGAAATGTCCACATGTGCAGATCTTGACCTTCTGCCCATACTGCTCCCGCCCGGTGTATTTGACGGATCGTCTTCATCTTCTGCTCGTACTTTTTTGGTTGATGTGCAACCGCTACAAGACCGGAGAATTAATAATTAATCCATAAGAATTGTCATTTGAACAATAAACCTTGAACAAGCACTGAATTACATTATTACCTGCACTCCATAATTGATCTCTGATGTCTTTCTTCTTGCCAAATTTGTGTTGGAAATTGGCTAGGAAGTGACGAATACACCAACGCCATGTCCATCCCCATTCGTCCGGGAAACCACGGACGGCGTGTTTAATCCCGGCATGTCGATCCGATATAATTGTAATACCCATTCTTTGTGTGACGTGGGCGTGTAGCTGGTCAAAGAACCATGCCCAACTTAGGTTGTTCTCCCCTTCAACTAATGCAAATGCTAAGGGAAAAATACTTAAATTTCCATCAACCCCAGTGGCAATAAGAAGAGTTCCTTTATACTTCCCAGTAAGGAAAGTTCCATCAACCTGTTAAAATGAATACTGAGTTAGTAAAAATTGAAATTAGTAAAGTAATGAAGTAGTACAATATTTTGAGTCCGTAATATACCTGAATCACTGGCATGCAGAAGGGAAACCCGTCAATGCATGGCTTGAATGTCCAGAACAGACGATGAAACATCAACTCGTTCTGTACTCGAACTTGATCTTCAGTTTCTACGTTGTTGTACCAAGGCACGGAAACCGTCCCAGGGTTGGACTCCTCCATTGCGGACATTAGTCTGGGGAGTAAAGCATACGAGTCATCCCAATCACCGTAGACATCAGCCATGGCCTTCTGCTTCCCATGCCACGCCTTCTTATACCTTATGGTGTAGGAGTGTCGATCCTTCACCTCCGCCATGATAGCTTTTATCTTGATATCTGGTTGTGCCTCGATAAGGTGCTTAATGGTTCTTGCCACTTT